TAACTCCCTTGATAGAGTATAGGCACAATGGGTGTCTATTGAAAGAGAGAAGCAGTTAGTTTAATCCAGATAAATCAGATTGATAGGATTAGAAATGAGGAGAGCTGATTTGCCTCCGGACAAGGTGACAAATAATCGAAGGAAGTGTTGAATAGCAATGACAGCTGAACACCATTCAAGTCAATCTCCAAAAGCAATTAAATTAAATGAATATTGAAGTACCTACCTATGTTTGGAGGTATACTAGAATCTTGGAACCATTATAGACCAAATAAGGATGTGTAGATTCAAATTAAATGATATCTGACCAATTGTAGAAGTTTCCTTGTGGTTCCAAACATTTATTTTATTAAATTAATTGTACAGTGTGACTCTATATCCTGTATGTATAAATAGCAATCCAATGTATCTGGAATACAAGTGATTTTGGGATGATGTTGCAGTGCTAACCCGTAAAAAGGAAAGACACACTCCCACCAGACTGAAACCTCTTTGCTAGCAGCCATTTGGGCCCGGTGACACGCCTAAATTTTGGCTAGACGTCTATGTTGTGAATTGTGACATTTTCACGTATAGATTCGTATCAAGAGGACTGTAATTGAGACCCAGATTGACAGTCAAAGTCAATACTGAATCAGTCTAATAAGTTGAAGGGACCATATACCCATACTACCACAAGTTGGTTAGTTTACCCATCCCTGATACTACCTACGGATAGCAGTCTACCTGTTTGTCAAGCAGGATTATACCAGACTCGGACTACATCCGAAGGATGACCATTCACGTATGACATACCAAGGGTATTCTTATTGGACCTTACACTGGAAGGAGTTTGGAAGAACTTACTCAAGTGACCATGAACCGAGGATTGACTCGAAATGACTTTCTAGAACTCAGGAATTATCAAATACTCCTTCTAGAACGAGATCATGCATTAATCTAAAAGACTGTGATTTAGTCTAATAGACCAATCAAGTTGCATGGTTGAGGAAAATGACTAGAAGAACGATCGAAGTACTGCGAGGCTCCGAAGACATATCAAATGAATGTCAAAGAGTCCTGACGTAGAAAACATTGAAGAATGCAATTAAATGAATACTATGCATAACTCCCTTGATGGAGTATAGGCACAATGGGTGTCTATTGAAAGAGAGAAGTTAGTTTAATCCAGATAAATCAGATTGATAGGATTAGAAATGAGGAGAGCTGATTTGCCTCCGGACAAGGTGACAAATAATCGAGGTAAGTGTTGAACCGCAATGACAGTTGAACACCATTCGAGTCATCCTCCAAAAACAATTAAATTAAATGAATATTGAAGTACCTGCCTATGTTTGGAGGTATACTAGAATCTTGGAACCAATATGGACCAAATAAGGACATGTAGATTCAAATTAAATGGTATCTGACTGAGTGTAGAAGTTTCCTTGCGGTTCCGAACGTTGATTGTATTAAATTAATTGTACTATGCGACTCTATATTCTGTATGTATAAATAGCGATCCGATGTATCTGGAATACAAGTGATTTTGGGACGACGTTGCAGTGCTAATCCGTAAAAAGGAAAGACACACTCCCGCCAGACTGAAACCTCTTCGCTAGCAGCCATTCGGGCCCGGCACTTGTGAGTATAGGAACATTGTGTTCTGCTCCTTGTGACTGCGAGAAGTATATCCAGTTGTTGGGTATTCTTCGAACTTAGGATCAGTTGTTGGTCTTAAGGGCAAATCACGCTGTGTGGTTGTGCCAGCACATAGTTCTAGCCCTCCGTAGGGGTCTGTGTGTTTCGGTTTTAATTTACTTTGATTCAAACCCCCAATTCTTGATATACCCAAATCAATACAAACCAAAGCACAAATCGTGCTGAATCTACCTTGATCAAAGGAATATATCGAATCCTTAGAACGATTCAAATTGATTGATCAAAGCTTCTTACTTAGCTCTCAAAGCTTTGCGGAACCTTTGCCAACGCTACCCCTTGCTATTAAATAAATTTGATAGCAGTGAACTCGCATATTGTGTATTAGATTGGTTGGTTGGAGTGCCCATTAGATTCCTTCCTTTCTCTTTCACACAAAAACGAGGCAAGCTCGTTACCGGCACTTGTGAGTATAGGAACATTGTGTTCTGCTCCTTGTGACTGTGAGAAGTTATATCCAGCTGTTGGGTATTCTTCGAACTTAGGATCAGTCGTTGGTCTTAAGGGCAAATCACACTGTGTGGTTGTGCCAGCACATAGTTCTAGCCCTCCGTAGGGGTCTGTGTGTTTTGGTTTTAACTTACTTTGATTCAAACACCCAATTCTTGATATACCCATATCAATACAACTAAAGCACAAATAGTGCTGAATCTACCTTAATCAAAGGAATATACCAAATCCTTAGAACAATTCAAATTGATTGATTGAAGCTTTTACCTGGCAAAGCTTTGCGGAACCTTTAACAACGCTACCCCTTGCTATTAGATAAATTTGATAGCAGTGAACTCGCATATTGTGTATTAGATTGGTTGGTTGGAGTGCCCATTTGATTCCTTCCTTTCTCTTTCACACAAAAACGAGGCAAGCTTGTTACTGCGCCAACAGAATATCACTGCAGTTGGGCCCTCTTCCCCAATCCCTCTAGTCTCATTGCTCACGGCACATAGTAGCATACTATATTCTAAATTTCCTTGGGGAGCTTATATCAGATGCGCAGAGTATTGGTAATAGTGACTAAGCAATATTGCCGCGAAGCGGCTGTGGATCCTCCGCACGGAGCACTCAGAAATCTGCTGCGGAGCAGTGTGGCACAGCCGCTTTCCCTCATTGATCATATTGAATACTTGAGCTGTTCATCCTTCAGATAAATTCCCTTGCAGCTGTACTGATTTTGGAGATATCTAATTGCTTCCATGTAAGTAATCTTTTTGCTTAATCATTCCAATAATATTTGGTTCCAGAGCAAGTTTGATCCATTGCACTTCCAAGGTTCTACAGGTTAGAATACCTGGAGGTGATAATGCAGGAGACTGCATTTAAACCATGCATAACACTAACACCTTCAAATTTGGATGAACCTGCCACTTACATTGGAGATACATCAAATTTCAGTCTGTTTTGCTTTTGCAAATGGTCAATCAACAAATCCCAATGTCAATTAGTGAAGCAAATAGGCTGAAATCTGCACAGACTGCAGTCATCTGCTCTACTACAAGACAAGGGGTCAAAGCTATTCATCCCAAAGGTCAAGTTGTTTGTTGCACTGTATTACAAATTCTTGAGGCCACACAGATGATACTTAAGCAATGTCTGAGAACATAGAAAATATATTGTGAGGTCTGTTTCATACTATCTCCTATCAATCCTATCCCAGAGGTTCTTTGAAATATGTACCTGTTAACAGACAGTTTACTCTACTGTGCATCAGTATGGTGGTTGTAGAGAGTATACTATACTCACAACTGAGGGACTCTATGGCGCCATGTCTGACCTACCTACCTACTGTACAGTATAATGTAATAACACTGTTTATCTGTCAGACTGGGTTGTACATACGGGGTATTCCTCAACATCAAGCACTATTTCTAGCTTCACAATACATATTATTTGTATAATTGAGGAGCAGAATAACAAGTATATAGTGTGGAGGAGCAAAGCAATGACAAATGGGGGTTTGGGGGCTTGCCCCCAACAAGCTGTGAACCCAGCTGAAGTGCGGTGCAAGCTTTGCGAGCCACCGTGGCGTAGGCACGGGTTCTAAAGCTTGTGTATATATATATTCCTTCGAGCCCGCTGGCTCACACAATTCACAACTGTATCTAGCTAAGTTCAAATACAAGCAAGGTGACGCCAGGAACTGCTTCAATTGTCAGTGGCAGATAGACCTTGACAAGCAAGGTGATTCAGGCTCCAATTATTGAATTGCACAGTTGGGACAAGACATCTGCAAAACCTGGGTTTTCGCTTAATTTTCTCCCAGCAGCTCCCAGCAGTTTCCAGCATTTCCCAGCAAGAGATTCCACAAAAAGTTTCCATCAAGTGCTTTCTTTGCTTTCATTGCTCTCAGGTGCTCTCAGGTGCTTTGGCTGCTTTCAAATTAATTGTAAATGAGGAGAAATCAAAAAGATCAAAAACTGTAATTGTTACATCATAATATTGTACCCTGCAAGTTGACTGTAGATAGGCTAATCGAAATCTACTACTTTACTGAACTGGTAAGAGAAGGATCAACTTTATCTATCGCAAAAAATAGTTCTTTGTTGAAATATTTATTCAATAAAAACTCGTCACTATGATATTGGCTTGATTCTTGCTGATGGCTTTGGCTGAGAGGAGGGTTTGAGATGAGGAAGAACGTGGGCCACAACTTAAGCGCCCGCCGGATTTGGAGCGATGCATTATCCTAGAACACTTAGCTCCAAATCTGGCGGGCGCTTAAAGTTTTGTCTTAGAGCTTTTCCCTCTGCTCTTCCGAAGCAACTTAGGAAGTAAGATATACTTGAAGATTGGAAAGAAAAGTAAGGTTTCACTTTTATCTTGGAATGTTTGGCTGGTAAACTTTGCCTATTCCTAGACTTTTGCCTCATAGTAATGACTATTTTAAAATTATCTGCTGCTCAGACTTTAGCCTTGCAGAGTTATCTTGCTAGAGAAGAAGGACTTCCTCCTGCTCTGCAAGAGATTCTTGCAGCTCTTCCTTCTAGTAGAGCTGGTCCTCAACCTGTTCCTCCCTCTTCCTGGCCTGTAAGTTAGTTTCCCTTTGTTGCCAAGATTGAAAACTAAACAAACAGGTTTTTTAGTTGAGACAGGTGTTCTGTCCTAGTTGTGATCCAAGCCTCAAGGGGAAAGCAAGACAAAATCTCTCACTCACCCTGCCTACTCCCAAATACTGTGAAGTTAGCATTGAGGTTAGAATGGAAGGCTCCAACTCAAATACACCGATGCCCTCGGGGTCTCTAACTCGCCTACCTTCTCCCCAGCCTGCATCTCCCCCTCCTTTTCTGCCTTCCCAGCCACCCTCCAAAATGCCTGACCAGAGCCCCTCCCAAACACCTTTTGAGACACCTCACGGAACGCCCTGTGAATCACCTCTTGAGACGCATTTCGAGATGCCCCGTGAATCGTGTTTCGAGACGCCCCATGAATCACGTTTCGAGACGCCTCTCAAGACACATTTTGAGACACCTCTCCAATCGCATTTCGAGATGCCTTGTGAATCACGTTTCGAGACGCCCCGTCAATCGTGTTTCGAGTCGCCTCTTGAGACGCCCTGTCAATCGCATTTCAAGACGCCTCTCGAGACGCCCCATCAATCGCATTTCGAGTTGTGTTTCGAGTCGCCTCTTGAGATGCGTTTCGAGATGCCTCACAAAAGGCCTTCTGAGACGCATTTTGAATCGCCTCACGAAACACCTTACCAGGCTCCTCCCAAAACACCTCTTCAAATGCCTTACGAGCCACATTCTCTGCAGTTGCTTTCCCCATCGCCCCCCTGTCAACCAGCACCTTCCACGCCTTCATCTGCATCTACTCTTTCTCAGTCTCTGCCTGGGTCCCCTCTGAAGGATCAGCCTCCCCCAAGCAACAGAGATTCCCAGCCCTCGAAGAGAAAGCGTACTAAGAAAAATCCAGGGAGAACGCCTGGAGGAGGCTTCGAGGATCCAGGACCAGTTGCCTGTCCTAGGAAAAGCATTAGAACCAAAAAAAAGGAGGAGAACTGATACCTATGACTACGAGGACAACACAAGGAGCCAATTTGCTATAGGAAATGTAGCGGCCAAACCTTCGAAGGATGTTTCAGTAGACCTTACCACCCAATTGGCTAGGATTTCTTTCGGCACCCAGACTACTGTCGGTCACATAGATTATTCAAGCTGGGTATCGGGTCTGAAGGCAATCATGGAAGGGACTTTAGACAACGTTAAGGACTTGGCAGTTTCCTCTTTACTCAACATTGCCCGTCACTGTGACCTAGCTTCCAAGGTTGACGGAACTGCTCGGTTTGTTTGAATGTTGAACAAACTTTATTTTGCAGCCAAAGTTAACAGGTAAGGTTTAAAAATATTTTAGGAAATATCTCTAACAGGTCAGCTTTCTAGCTGCCTGAATTTGATGAGATTGAAGGATAATAGTCGTCGGCCTAAGCCTACAGAAATATACAAGTCTCTCCAAACTCATAGTATTCCTGAACATAAGAGCTGCAATTTTATGTCTGCAGGTAGCCGATGGGCCTTTTTAGCCAACGCTGGTAAGCGCTAAATTGATATTCTCTATTCTTGGACTAAGTGTGAGGCATAGGCTCCCTTTACTTACTGCTAGTAATTGCCTTCAAAGGAGAAGATGAATATTTCCACAAGAAAGCCTCAGTAACTGTTATACAAGCCTTGTGCAACAAGGTTAGAGCTCCTAGTTCATCAGGTGGAGAATTTCCTATTTGCTTTGGTTCTGAGAACTCTTTTTATTAGAACATTTGCTTATAGGACTTGCAGGAGATATTATTAGACTCAACCTGATTCCTGTTCTGGCAAATCTTTGAAAAGAAATTCCTATCTCAATTCCTACTCTATACCATGGCTCTCTACTGAGGAATCTTGGTTTATCACCTACCTTTGATTGCGGAGATCTAAGAGTGAGCGACAATTATTTTGGATCTTTTTTTCCCAGTGAGTAACTTTCTGATTTATTTATGCTATATACTAACTTTAAAGTCCCAGTACGTTTAGATCTCTTCCAAGAGATTGGGAAGCTTGGAAGACATTTGAGCACTTTCCCCAAACTGACAATTATTTTATAAGCACTGCCTACCTGGAGAGAAGATTTCTTCTTTTTTCACCTAATGAGATTGAAGCTGCTCAAGCTCCCTCTGCAGTTTCTGAGATATCATCCACAGAAGAAGAGCTTCATATTCAGACTCTCCTCTCCTCCTCTCCACATAGTTTTTGATCACATGGGTTTCCAGGCTCAAGATATTGCCGACGTGCATCAAGTACTTCAAGCTCCCTATAAACCCTATAAAACAAAGGAACCTTTTCCCAAGGATTACGGGGGTAGAAGCCGTTGGACAGAAAAAGAAAGATATTCAGCTCTAAATTGTATTGTACCAAGCTCTTTGGAAAATTACGCCCAAGAGGTGAGATATCTTGTTTACTTGGTTGAACTCCGAGGGATAATCAAATCTTTTAGATGAATAGGAATTTTGATAGCTTGGGACAGCTCTCTGATACCCGTTATCTCAAACTTGATAGAAAAATTATTGAAGGGTAAGAATTCAACCTTTTGGCCTAGATCTTCTGTCTCACAGGACTATAGAAAAGTTGTTCAAGTTTTTGATAATAACAAAGATTTGTTATAAACCCTGGATACTACTATGCCTGCGCATCTGAGGGAGAGTCTGAAAATAGCCATACAAGCTTGCTTATCAGACACCTCTGCTCAATTTAAGAGTCAGGAACCTTCCTCCTCAGTTGAAACTGCTTCCTTTTCATCTCTGCACTTCACCAATCAGACGCGATATTTGACTCACGTAAGTTTTCTGTTTTAGTCTCTAGAATCTCCCCAACTTTCATCCGACCAGGGTTACGATACTCCTAAAGATATTCATCCTTTGTACCTGATCAACGCCGAAGGGGGAAGGATGAATCATAGTCAACTTCTATGTTATCCTTCTGAAGACATTCAGAAACTATCTGGGCCTTACGCGGATCTTAAACAGAGTTTGGAGGGAGTGCTACGTTGGGTAGTTGAGAAGGTAAGCTTGCTTTTTACTTTTCTAGCCTGTTTATTTGACAAAACCTTAGGTTTTGCTCATCCATCCTCACGTCTTTCAAGAACTTGTGGCTTCGGTAGATGTCCTCCCCTTGCAAGACACATCTCCGGTCTCTCCTTTTACCAGCATTATGTTTAACATCAACGTCGGAACTCTGGCACACCGCAACCAGAATGACAAATCTGCTTGCATTTGTATAACTGTGGGTAACCCCAAAGGAGGAGAATTAGCCTTGTACGAACCGCGCCTATTACTAGAAACTCAGAACGGAGATGTAGTGGTTTTTTTTTCTGATAAAATCACTCATTTCAATCTACCTTACAGCGGTACTAGGGGATCTATAGTTGTTCATGGGGATAAAACAGGAGTATTGTATCAGAAAGACGGTTTTGGCTGGTTCGAAAATATTTATTTTAATTAATTAGGTAGTTTGTGCTTACCCAAGAGAGTCTATATAGTTTGTTTATATTTGCTGAGTAAGCTTACTCCTCAGACGTTTACTCCTCAGACATTTACCCTTACCTTGCAATGGACCAGCACATTATTTTTCTCCAAAATTCCTCTTCTTTTTCTCCTTACCATCCTTGGGTCGACAGTACTCATGAAACTCACGAAACTCTGGTAAGAATTTGATTCCTAGAGGTAAGTTAACAAGCTAATTATTCTAGACAGAGAAAGAAGCTAGTTATCTCCTAAGGATAGCTGATGCTCAACAAACTTTATGTGCTACCGAGCAAGCAGCTTTAGATCAGAAAATTCAAATAACTAAGCTTATACTGGAACTTCACCTCTGTCGCCAAAACAAACTTTGTTTAGAAAACTCTAAAGCTAGGAGAACAGCCTTGAATATGCAAGAGATCTTGAACGACTACGGGAAAAGTGGTGAGAATCCATATTTCAAACATTTTTTGTCAGGCATTCAAGGATTGTACTCTTTAGATGGCTCTTCTCACCAGCCCAAGACTTATCCTGCTACGGCTCCAAGCTCTCCTCCCTCCATGAGACTGGATATTGGTGATGATAGCAATAGTGATAGCAATATGGGTAGTGAAGCTTACAGAGGAGATGATTGTGATATGGAAGAGCCTTGGGAAGAGAACACTGAAACAACTTCCACGAAAGAGGGAAAGGACCAGAATACAGAAATTCTTTACTTGGATCAAGGTATTTTATTTTATTTGTTTGAGTTTTGTTTTGACGAGCTACTTTAGGACCAGAGTGTTCCAATATGGAGGTGCTACAGGAGGGCTTGTATTGGATTGAGAGACGAAATTTGTACTTTGAATAAGATTTTTCTGTCTCTATTTTGTACCAAAGATGTTATCTGGGGAAAGTGTGGAGCGGAGCACGTCGAGAATTGTGGGTCCAGTTGTACACATTACGTTTTCCTACTTTCTCTTCTCTGCTATCGCTTTCTCTTCTTATGAGTAAACAGCCTGACAAGAATTCAAGGTCTTCTTTGCCTAGTACATTTCCTTTTCCTACCTTCCAAATGTTCAGCTAAAGTATTTTATACAGAGGTGATTTTCACAAAGTTTTTTTGGGAAACTATTCTGAAAAGATTTAGAGGTCTAGTAGTAGAACAACTAAGGGTAAAGGGGGACATGCCAACCAAATGCTTGAGGCAGCTAACAAGATGTCACTTCCTCAACGTTCCTCCTCTCAAGGTCCCAATACCATTTTCTCTGACAATGCTGCTTCAAATCCTATGGCCCCTCCCTTAGAAAAACCAGTATGTTCTTACCAGTAGTGTTTCTTATATTAATCTGGCTATCTATTCAGAAACGGGGACGAGGAAGTAGGGGAGGCAAGTCAACCACTCAAAGTAAAGGACGAAAAACTTCTTCTGAGCAGCCCCCTACTCCTAAGTCTCTGCCTACGATTTCTCCAACTATGGTTTCTCCTACCTCTGGATATCCTCCCCCTCTTCCTTCCATGGGTCATCAAGTGCCTCTTCCATCAAAGGCCCCCATTTCCGAAGCTATTCGAAGAGAACAATCAGATATTGTAAAGGTTTTATCTTTTTACCAACTAAATCTTCCATTAACTAACTTAATAAAATTATAATCAATTTAACTCTTCTTTTTTCCGAGGTAAACTAAATTGACTTCTACTTGTCTGCTTACAATATTTTGTCGCAGGCTGGACTACTCAAGATTTTTCAAATTCTGTTGTGACTGTGCCTGGTGGTAATGCTCCCTTAGGTCTGGAAGAAAATCGTACAAATCTCCATCTTCCTGACGATATTTAGGGAGGGGAAAGGGAAAGCAGAGGAACACAGGGCGTAGAAGATTTTTCTCAACCTTTTGCCCCCGGAGAAGGTAGCTTGGGATACAGAAGTACAGGTCCTAGCGACATAAAACCCAGTTATAACAACCAATACGGTTGGGGACAGTGGGGAAATTACAGGGAAAGTTATGAGAATTAGGGCGCAGATAATAGAGGAGGAGGTTACAGGCGAAATTACCATGAAGAAAACTTGGGGATGCAGGGTGGAGGCTACGAGGGGAACTCAGGAAATCAAGGCAGAGACTACGGAGGATCTTACGGAGGATTTTAAGGGGAAGGTTATAAAGGTCCTGATAGCAGTTACGGGGGGTATAACAGGGGCCTTTATCAAAACTTCGAAAGAAACTATCCTGGCGGAAGAGGATACGACCATTTTTCTCAGTCTCATTCCTTACAGGGGTTTATCAAAGACGATAATGAGCTTGCCTCGTTTTTGTGTAAAAGAGAAAGGAAGGAATCTAATGGGCACTCCAACCAACCAATCTAATACACAATATGCGAGTTCACTGCTATCAAATTTATTTAATAGCAAGGGGTAGCATTGGCAAAGGTTCCGCAAAGCTTTGAGAGCTAAGTAAGAAGCTTTAATCAATCAATTTGAATCGTTCTAAGGATTCGATATATTCCTTTGATCAAGGTAGATTCAGCACGATTTGTGCTTTGGTTTGTATTGATTTGGGTATATCAAGAATTGGGGGTTTGAATCAAAGTAAATTAAAACCGAGACACACAGACCCCTACGGAGGGCTAGAACTATGTGCTGGCACAACCACACAGCGTGATTTGCCCTTAAGACCAACGACTGATCCTAAGTTCGAAGAATACCCAACAACTGGATATACTTCTCGCAGTCACAAGGAGCAGAACACGATGTTCCTATACTCACAAGTGCCGGGCCCGAATTGCTGCTAGCGAAGAGGTTTCAGTCTGGCGGGAGTGTGTCTTTCCTTTTTACGGATTAGCACTGCAACGTCGTCCCAAAATCACTTGTATTCCAGATACATCGGATCGCTATTTATACATACAGAATATAGAGTCGCACAGTACAATTAATTTAATACAATAAACGCTCGGAACCGCAAGAAAACTTCTACACTCGGTCAGATACTATTTAATTTGAATCTACATGTCCTTATTTGGTCCATAATGGTTCCAAGATTCAAGTATACCTCCAAACATAGGTAGGTACTTCGTTATTCATTTAATTTAATTGTTTTGGAGAATGACTCGAATGGGGTTCAACTGTCATTGCTGTTCAACACTTACTTTGATCATTTGTCACCTTGTCCGGAGGCAAATCAGCTCTCCTCGATTCTAATCCTATCAATCTGATTCATCTGGATTAAACTAATTGCTTCTCTCTTTCAACAGACACCCATTGTGCCTATACTCTATCAAGGGAGTTACGCATAGTATTCATTTAATTGCATTCTTCAATATTTTCTACGTCAGGACTCTTTGACATTCATTTGATATGTCTTCGGAGCCTTGCAGTACTTCGATCGTTCTTCTAGTCATTTTCCTCAACCATGCAACCTGATTGGTCTATTAGACTAAATCGCAGTCTTTTAGATTAATGCATGATGTCGTTCTAGAAAGAGTATTTGATAATTCCTGAGTTCTAGAAAGTCATTTCGAGTCAATCCTCGGCTCATGGTCACTTAAGTAAGTTCTTCCAAACTCCTGCCAGTGTAAGGTCCAATAAGAATACCCTTGGTATGTCATACGTGAATGGTCATCCTTCGGATGTAGTCCGAGTCTGGTATAATCCTGCTTGACAAACAGGTAGACTGCTATCTGAAGGTAGTATCGGGGATGGGTAAACTAACCACTTGTGGTAGTATGGGTATATGGTCCCTTCAACTTATTAGACTGATTCAGTATTGACTTTGACTGTCAATCTGGGTCTCAATTACAGTCCTCTCGATACAAATCTATATGTGAAAATGTCACAATTCACAGCATAGACGTCTAGCCAAAATTTAGGCGTGTCAACGACAGAGGTATCAAAGGTTTGGAAGTAGCTGAGAGTGCTAGGACAGGTTTTCAAGAAGCTACCCATCTCGGTATTGCTCAAGCTTCAGAAGTAGCTCAGAGGGGAGTTTCTTCTATTACAGAAAAGCTCAGAGAACCCACTGCTGAAGGAAGGTCTTTTTATTCTTATGTTAGATATGGAAGTCTAATTGCCCTTTTAGATTCTGAAAAAACAAGAAAGTCTTTGGTTCGTAAAACTGCACCTACTCTCTCTCCCTTGTTAACTCAATTTCTAGCTTGAAGGGGAGGCTGACCCTGCCACTGATTTTATCAAGAAGCGCAAGTGAAATTTTCCCAAGCCACCTGATCCTCTAGTTCTCGAAAGTCATGCTAAAAGCCAGATATCTGCTACCGAGGAACAAGCAGAGTTTGAGCACGATCCTGACGCAGACAAGGAAGAAAACGAGGAGAAGAACCTTGGAGATGAAGATAGTACTTTAACTTCACGGGAATATAAACGTGAGCAGTTTCTTACTCAGACGTTGTTTGAGCTTAAACTTTGAGGTTTTAGGCTATGCTTCTACAGCACCCCAATCTGATTTTTACCCGCCATCTTATTCAGCAGCATCAGGTTCTCATTTACGGCTGGGAGCCATTTCTTGTGCTGTTTCTTGTCCAGTTTCTCGTCCAGTTTCTCGTGCTGTTTCTCGTCCAGTTTCTCGTCCAGTTTCCCGTCTAGTTTCTCATTCAGTTTCTCATTCAGTTTCACATCTGGTTTCTCTTTTGCCTACACAACCTGCTTCACCAGATTTAGTCAATTCTTCTTTGTCCAAAGGTCTGTTTGTTCTATTGCCCCTGCGATATTACAATTTCTCTGAAATTTTTCCAATATAGGTCTGTTTCTGTAAAATTCAATACAGGTTATTTAATAACTTTCTGCAGATGCCGAAGATGCCCCAGAAGCAGCAAATCCTGCCAATTCCAAAGGTATATTTATTTTCATATTTTACTTTGCCTTATATTTTACTTGCCTAGGACGTAAATCTAGAGCTAACTCTACCAACGATCCTACAAAGCTTCTTTTTTACACACCTCAAGCAAAAAAAGTAATTATGGGCTCTCAGTTATATATGCACCGGGCTATGGTTCTCCAAGATCCTTTTCTAACGATGGAGAATCACGAAGCTCTACTCCTCAATTGTCTGGATCGATCAATAAAGGAAAGAGGGGAGAAGGGACTCCATGTCAAAGCAGGTGCTTAATTTTCTACTTTTGTTTTGATTCAGATTGATTATTTGCTTTATTTGTTAGGATACATCGATAAACACAAGGAAGATATCATTGTATTTGTGAGTTATTTGCTAGTATTTCTAATTCTTTCTTACTTTTGTGTAATATACTAGTTGTATAAAAGCCAAAGTAGTTTCAGAAATATGCTGAAGAGACTAGCAGAACCGATAGTCATTAGTCAATATGGACTACCTTTACCCAGAGACCAGGAGCCAAATACAGGATTTAATGCTTCTCAACTGGGAGAACTTACAACTGCATACGTGAGCAAGCTTTTGGAGAAGAGTTTCTTCTTGCAAAATGGAAGAGACGCCAACGTAATACACTATTATAGCCTTCTTAGTCTTCCTAAAAGACTTCTAATAATTTTGTTCATATTAGGGCCGAGTCAACAAATTCGCTCACCCCTGCCTGAAGGAAGTGGTGAAAGTTTTATTTTTTACCGGTAACAAGGCTTTAGCAAAAACATTCCCCAAGGATTTTGGGGCAGAGGTACCTCATGGTGCCATTGTTCTAGCTTCCATGCTTATTGAGTTGACTGTTATTAATCGTATCTGCAGCAATCTTTTGACCCCTTTATATTTCAGATTCGATACTGTATTTCCAAATACGAAGATGGCCCCAAGCCCTGGACTATTGATTTTACCACAGCTTCAAATCTTGAGTATCACAGGCTCTATTCCGATATGATTACAGCTATGCTAGGGGAACCTTATCATTCTTCCAAGTTCAAAACAAATCTAAGGTCCTGGGTGTCCAGTTTTGGGTCAGTTTCGTGGTTTAATAGGTGCTTTGTAACTGACCGCTACTTTAGTTTGGAAGATAACTTGGAGCAGGGCAAGACTACCCGTATGAAACATATAGATCTTTTGTGAACTGGACAGGTAGATTTATCCTTATCAGAAGGCTTTTAGCTTACAGTTTCTCCCAGAACTCACCAGTCCAAGTAGCCTGATACAATCAGAGGGAATATGTCACGAAGCGGCAAAGGTGGAGTGACTAGCGGAGCAGGGAAGCGGAGTGACTAAGCAAGGCGATGAGGCGGAGCGGAGGCAAACTGGTCCCAGATAATGACAGAGATATATTGAGTATCGTAGTCATAGGTAACAATAAGTAAGCACATACCTGGTCCCAGATAATGACAGAGAGGTCAAGATAAGGGACCAGGCTGTGAGGGATTGGCTTTATATACATAATCCGATCTGCGAGAAATGACAATGTAATACTGTACAGTTTAGGAACAAGGAAGGTGGTGGAAGCCAGTAGAAGGAGAAGGGTAACAGGTGGATCAGTAATCGATGGGATTTGACAGTGATGTAATTGTACAAGTAAGGGCGTCGAGACGGTGAGAAAAGGAAAATGATAGGGGCTACGTACTTCATGACAGAATACAGATTGCAGAGAAGCGATAACAAAGAGAAAAGGGATCAGCATGTAAGTAAGATACTGGCAAGCCTTGGAAATGGAAGATGGAAGGTGGAAAAGGAGGAGAGGAATTTGGAAGGCAGAAAGGGCGGGAGTGAGGGCGGGAATGAGGGCAGGAGCGGAATCGGGGGCGCAATTTGTAAATACTGCCAAATATGGAACGATTATTGTGAATACTCCAAGCATTTGAAAGCAGTTTCAAGTTTGATGGCAAAGCTAGAAACTGCTAACTGTTTTACGTTCTATACAAGTAGAATTTCCAAAGCTTTTCCCAGCGCTCTCCAGCTAGTATCCTTTCTTTCAATGCTGGGAAATGCTCTCAAGAGCTGGAGAACATCGCCCAGGTTTTGCAGATGGACATTGGTCATTTTTCGTGTGCAAGCAAGTTTTACTATTTTCATGGGTGTTTGTCATTCTTATGGCCTATGTGTGAAGGATTCTGTCATTTCGGTTTACCGTAGATTAGCGCATCCAAGGGGTGTTGTCATACAAGTTGCTTGGTCAATATTTCGGAGTCGTCCCTTATAAAATTCTTATTTCATTGGGTTCCGATTTTGTTCAAAATGAACACAGGTCTCCAGGTGGCCACCTTTTGCTAACTAGGCTTTCTCGTAGCATCAATGTATGGACGCAGGTAAGCGTCTCTCAACTATTACTCAAATTTGATTCACTGCCTTTCCCGAACGTTCAGCACGGTATCTTACAGAAGACTATCAGTCGACTGACAATTGTAGAATCAATCGTTTGGCTTCCAGGCACCGGTGAAGGTGGGTCTCGCATTCGGGATTATTACTTGCACAGCCGAAGACAAATTTTTCAAACCACTCTCTGTTGAGGGCAGCAATGTTGTGAAGCTGGTGCGTCCATATACATTTCTGCTGATCGACAATCTTTACATTTTGAAGCAGAGTTCGAATGGCAAGGTGAGTATAACCTCTGTTTTACAGATATAGAGTGACTGCATCAATTATTACGTCCAGATATTAGGAATATACAAGTTTGAAAATATGAACCTGCAAGGCATCGCTGTTACCCCCGATGGAACGCGTGTTCTTGGGGTCGGAACTCTGTTAAATTCTGCCGATGGTCTTCGGCCAAGTCTTTCAAGAACGGAGAAACGGATCGCAAGCCAGTGATCTACCAAAGGGCATTTTGTGGCCGTATCTCAATCTTTTAGCAGTTTATAACATTGACACGAATCAAATTGAAACGTAAGTTGAATTTGCAAGAAAAGCATGGGTCACAGTTGGATGAGGACAAGGTGGGTCAACTACGAACGTGGACCGTTGAACATTGTCTAACATTGCTTCAAGGCCACTCCACAACTGTGGAAATTAGACGCGTCAAAGAATACTTCCCGACTTACCATCCAGTGAGTTATATATGACCCATTGTTTCTCAAAATGTCCTTTTAAATCGACGCTTCCACAACGTATAGCCAAAGGTACTTTCCTAAGGTACCAACTGACTTTGCAGGCCCGAGTTACTTCGGAGGCAAAAATGAAGAGCTTGTGCTCTGCGTAGACAAGAGTGCGTCTCTTCCTCGTTCACATCACCTAGTACAGACAGAGTCATTCTGTTTTTAGTTGGAGATTTGCACATATGGGATCGAGAATCTGGTACACTTCTTCATCGTATTCGAGCCTACGAACTCGGTCGGGACGTCACTTGTATTGCCTGGAATCACCCTCATGATCCCTTCATGTTCGCCACCGGAAGCCTTCACGGTTCCGTCAATTATGGACAAGGCACGAACAGCAGCTTCTGTCCAGCATATTGCGCAGCGCATCGCCAGATAACATGCGGGACTCTGACATTCCCCTGCCACAGCAAGAACAAGACGCTGGAAGTGGTCAGCGAAACGATGCACTTAGATGAAGGTCGCTTCAATTTCCAATACCGATCTTTAGTATCTATACAGTTATTGTGACTAGTGTTCGACTATGCCGGCGGTGTTTGTGCTTTGCTCATAGTTGGCACAATCTTCCGGTTCTTGTCCATGAACATATCAATTTGCTCGTCTGTGACCTTAGCTCGGCGCTAGATGAAATAAGTGAGAAAGAAGGTTCAGTGGGCTGAAGTAATGAAAGCAACCTCCTGAAAGTCGGAAACGAACTGTTGTAGCAGCTGGATGCATTTAGCTTTCAGCTGGCCCGTCAGGAGACGTCCTGCGCGGTACTCCTAGAACAATGAAACGAAAATATGAGTAGACAGATTGCTACAACACATTTCAACTCACCTCTCCCAAATTAGCTAGCTCCTCGTCATCTTCCAGGAAGAATGTCAGATATTGATATGCAACATCTACCTCCGTATCTCCTCCAAGCCTCCGATGCTCCTCTTCCGTCTCCTGCCCTCCAGAAAATCCATGTTTGTTGATCTTATTCTTTATCTGCGCAGGCTTATCCGTCATATAAATACTGCTATTGGGATCGCTCGCGCTCATCTTCGTTTGCGGGCCCTGCAGTGCAGGGAAGAATTTCGAGTGGATTAACGCGGGCTTGGGATATTTGAGTTTTTGAGCGACGTCTCTGGTCAGACGAAAGTAAGGATCCTGGTCGATTGCGCAGGGGATGAGGCAGGTAATGTTTGACACAGAACCAAAGATTTGAGGGAACGAATTGGAGAATGAGGGTGCTGCTTGGATTGAAGCAAAGTGTATTTTGCCGATATTATCACTGAGAAGGTGAGATTAGTTGACACCGAAGCAGTGGAGGCGGAGATACACACGAGTCATTGAATCCAAACGTAGCTTTCGCCTGACTATATGTGATTTGACGAGATATCTTGGAAACATTTTCGTAGAAAGGTCCAGATACATAGTCATAGTCACTAAAGATGAAGGTCTTATCAGGATTGACCCCGACGGCAATGATATCGCGTGCGTTCATGCGCCCAAAAGCTTTGGTTTGTTCCACTTTGAGTTCGTGTTTGAATAGGAACTTTTCGTCATCTGAATACATCTGATCAACAGCGATAGGACTTGAAGTGCTGTCGTAGCATACCCGTTAATTGGATGACCAATGGAACGTCGAAAACATCCTGCAGCCATCTTGACACCCTCAGCAAAAGTCAGGTTCGATTATGGATAAAGGACGCACTTGGTGAAAACGAAAGGGATCATATGGCCCAAGTGCATGCTATCGCTGCTGGGGCCTCTTCCAGTGTACAAGAAGAATGGTTTGCCTTGCTCATATCGATCCAAAATTTTGTCGAATTCACTTGGCGGCAAGATTAGCATCTATTGCTCTTGAGTAGCGACTAAACTCACCGATGTGAAAAGAACATCCCTCTCCTCAACAAAACATGTGGTTTTCTCCCAGTCAACTTCTCGAACCGCTGCAGTAAAGATTCATCGATACGCCGAGTACCAAATTGCACAATGAGTTTTTCATAATCAATTGCCTGCTGCTTTCCATCATTTGACACAGATCCTTGCACGTCCCAGGGTGTGACAACTTGGTCGTGCGACGAAGCATCCGCCGGCGCTGATGTGACTGCTGCAGCATCGAGAGAGGGAGCCGGTACAGTTGTCGTCGGGTTCGCTGTGGATCTGGAAGCGTTAACAACATGAGAGACCCGTCAATAGTGCAACAGTAGAAAATAATTTACTCTGCTAAGGAAGTGTCGGTTAATGTTTTGGCCAGGTCGTGCACCGAAGGGGGAGCAGTAGGGTCGGAGGACATTGCTTCAGGGAGCAGTGTGGGATTAGCAGCGCTCATCGACTGGTACGTCCTAGAAGTGACTCGAGATAAATTGGCCGCAATCGATAGTGAGAGAGAGTCGAGATAAGATTAGATCGGATAGTTTGATGCCCTTTTCTCTCGTCTCTTGTGGTTCCAACGCGCACGGACAACTAGCAAATGGGACATTGGACGACGCACACACGTTCCAGTTTTGTATATTCGAAGATGAGAACGCAAAGAATTACAGCACATCCGAGAGAATCATCCATATCGCAACTAGCGGGAATCATGTATTGTTGTTGAGCGAGTTTACCGAGGAATCAACTGGCTGGACGAACAGATCTCTTTGGGGCTGTGGTGATGGTCAATCTGGACAGCTAGGGAATCTTGGAAGGAACGAAGATGAAACAGTATTTCGGCGGGTAGACCTCCAGCTTGCAGAGCATGGTCTAGAAAATTATCAACCAAGGTTAATATGTTGTTCTTGGGAAACATCTTATGTCGTATTGTCCTGCGAAGGAAAGCCAGATGTGCTGATCTCTATGGGTAGCAATGACTTTGGGGATCTGGGTGTCGGGGAGAGCTTGTCTGTGCGTGCTAAACTATTCCATACCGTCCTATTTGATCATCTCCCAATCGATGAACTGGCTATGGATGGCGCCTCTTTACGAGTAATCTCCGTCTCCGCAGGTCAACACCACGTCATTGCCCAGATAAAAATCCAGGTCAGCGACCACTATGGTCGAAATCTCATCGTTGGCTGGGGCGCAGCGCGCCATGGCCAGTTAGGCGATACGTCCATGCTCAACAAGAAAACTCCCTTCTTCTCTCTTCCCAAGATCATCGAAGTACCTGATCACCCTGACGACCCAGTAATCCAAATATCACTTGGACATCGACACAGCGTTTTTCTCCACGAATCTCGTCGCCTTTCTTGTTTAGGCTCCAACATGAAGTCACAGATAACTGATCTCGATACGTTTCGCAACGTTTCATTTGTTGAATGCACCTGGAATGGGACGTACTTCATTGATACATCCGGATTCTTATATGCCACCGGAAGCCATTCCAAAGGACAACTTGGTCGTTCATTGTCGCTGGAGCCATCAACTTCCGTTCAACCTCAACCTGTCGAATTTTCTTTCGCCACCACGCTTTCGAAGCATATATCAAGGATCGCGTGTGGTAGCGAGCACGTACTTGCTCTAAGTATTAGAGCAGACTCAGACCTTCGGCCAGAAGTTTGGGGATGGGGGTGGAACGAGCACGGAAATATGGGTTCATGTTCGACGAAGGACGTTCATACACCTTTGAAGCTTTGGCCGCGGGAAGACGATCATGAAAGAGCAATCGCAGTTGGAATTTGGGCAGGATGTGGAACGAGTTGGATTGCGGTGGAGAAGTGAAGATTGAAAAATTATACAGTATTATTACAACGATATACATACATACAAGAGAGGTGCGCGCTCTCCAAGTTCCTACTTAATCGCCAATCGGAAGATCCAGGTCATTATGGATTTGTCTGACGGTTGTTTCCTTCAAATTGGCCAGCTAAATCGCGTTATAACCATGAGCACATGAATAGATAAAGAGGTGGAGGCTAACCCGTCCTATGAGCATCTGTAAGGAGCATATATCATAGGTTTTTTGAGTTCGATCAACGCGTGCCCGGTCCATATCGAGGAAGGGTTTTTACGCACCTGTGCTGCATCCTTAGCCTCATTATAGCGATGAAGTAACTTGATGTGCTTGTTTACAATCTTTTCTGCATCTTCGTCTTGTCTAAATATCGATTAGGGAGGTCCTTGGTGGGATATCCAGCTATGATCCTACCCAAGTTCTTGTTGAAGCCTATTCACTTCTGCTTCAAGTTGAGTGATTCGGGCTTCTTGTATCTACAAAAGGTCCATATTTGAGGATCAGTGAAGACAAAGATTGCTAGAAGATTCGGTACCTGTTGCGAGACGCGTGCGTGCATGGTGTAGCTTGAAAGTTCAAACTCAAGGTAGTGCGTCGTGGAAAATATATTGACGCGTTTACGAGTAACATGTCATTGACTCATTCGTAGTCTCCCAATATTTACCTTCCAGTCCAGGATAAGATAGGATATAAAGAAATAAGCTCATTCGCGCTTGTTTGAAGACCAAAGCATACACACAAGTACAGTACTTTTAAACTATAGAGGATATGTATATGTGCTTTGAGAAAGTGATCGGATTTTGGTTCTGTCGTCTCAGTGTCTGTTCCATTCGTTGGGATAATGGGTGACAGATGGGATAAGAAGTCCCAAATCGGATAATCAGAATGCAATGAACGAAGAGAACATCGGAACCTTGATGGATGTTAACTCATTTGAAGATGGCAAGATGAAAGTGAATGGTAGTGAGGCAGTGCGATGATATCGGGAGATGAGAAGGGAGATGAACATCAGTGCAATATTGCGAGTTGAATGTGGAGAAGGCGAGGCAGGACCTGGCAGGACAAAGGAAAGACCACCGAAGGAGCCAGAAAGACAAAGAGACAAACCAGTGTCGGATCTTGCACTTGCAGCGAACAAAGATCATTCAAACGCGTTCCATTATCCATGTGAAGATTACGGCTATTGATCAGCCGAGAGCCGGGCGCCGGTTACGATGTAACTGCGGGATGAGCGCAAAGGAGCGCATTGACTCAAGATAGAGCAAAGAGCATAAATAGTGAGACGATTCATGGATTAAAAAACCGTTGGGAGCTTTGATAAAGATCAGAGAAACGAAGGCGAGAAATGAAGTGAGTACGAGAATTGTGACCACAGATTGTCATGCGTAGCATATTGATATCTTCGCCAGCAGAAGGGAGAGCACATCCAAGCGAGTGCAAAACCTTGAAGTTTTATGGTCATGGGTATAGGAAGTTTGGGCTGAGGAAGGTAGGATTCAGCGCTTGCTGCAATGATGGGGAAGGATAAAGGAAAAGGCCACGTGGGAAATGACTTGGTTGATCAATCAAATAAAGGCGGAGTTTCAATCTCACCGTATATAAGAAGCCATCTTCCAACACAAACCTCCTTCTCTCCCCCCGTTCCCACGCCTGTCATATAATTTTTTTTTTTGACAATGTCGTTTGCTTTGCCCGCTCGTCAGGTCACTTTTGGCCGTTCCAACGTCTCGGCTCAACAACAACAGCTGTATCAGCAACAGCAGATTCAGCAACAGGTTCAACAGCAGCAAAAGCAACAACTTCAGCAGCAGCAGGCTCAGCAGAGCGGTGGTCTAGCGTTACCCGGCGGGGCTTACCTTCAGAAACCTACCAATCCGGCGGGTCCCTCTCCATTATCGAACTCTTTTCAGCCTTCATTGCAGGCTTCACATCCTCAGACAAACCCAGTACTAGCACAGTCTCAAACTCCACCGTCGACTGTCGGCTCTCCGTCGAATGCCGTGGCTGGTCCATCCACTCCATCTGCCGTCCCTGCTACACCTGCACCGCTGACCCTCGAACAGCAGCATATCACTGCTGTCGAAGGCATTGTGCCCACTCTTCAAAACATCGTCGCGACGGTCAACCTCGATTGCCGACTAGACCTCAAAACCATCGCCTTACATGCGCGGAATGCAGAGTACAACCCCAAGGTTGGTACTTTTCTATGATTACTCATTCCGTGTGTGCAATTCGAACTACTTCGATTTGTTCCACGTATAGCGTTTCGCAGCCGTGATCATGCGTATTCGTGACCCCAAGACTACTGCGCTCATCTTTGCGTCGGGCAAGATGGTTGTAACTGGGGCCAAGTCCGAAGATGATTCCAGGCTTGCATCACGGAAATATGCCAGGATTGTACAAAAGCTCGGGTTCGATGCTAAGTTCTCGGAATTCAAAATCCAAAATATCGTTGGCAGTTGCGACGTCAAGTTCCCCATTCGTCTAGAGGGGCTTGCATACAGCCACGGACAGTTCAGCAGCTACGAACCCGAGGTGCGTCCACTCATAGCATAGATTGGTGGCTTTCTAATATCCACTTCTAGCTTTTCCCTGGTCTGATTTACCGCATGATCAAACCGAAAGTTGTTCTTCTAATATTCGTATCTGGCAAGATCGTTTTGACTGGTGCTAAGGTAATTATTTCCATCTTATTTCTCTATTCCCATGAAATCGTCGATCGAGTTGGCATTGTTTGCTGGACGGATGTTCGACCTTCTTCGATGTCTACTTCGTGAGCTCGTTGATGTCGGTAGTGACTGCCGGTGGAATGTTTGAACATATCCGCTGACACTATTTGTTTCTCTGTCCTCACTAGGTCAGAGAAGAGATCTACACCGCATTCAACACTATCTACACTGTGTTGTGCGAATTTCGGAAACCATAGAAACTGGCCGGTAAACATTGGCTTCGGCTCATGGACCTGTTTGCATCCACGACTTCTTCACTTTGAGGCCTTGCCCGTCGTCGACATCTATCATTATATCCCTTGTCCATTTTCATGGTCGACGGCGCGGTCAGCGTACCTGAAGGCATGATCATCGCTTAAAACATTCTCAATATACGAATGACTCGTAGAAGGCATGGCGTATTTTTTTTTCTGCGCCTTGTCTTGTCTCTACAATTACTAAACCTACCGCATAACTACTGTATCATTTGGCGCTTTACATTCTTGGGCATCGTTTCTTCTCGTTTTCGCTGTACTGTATATCATTGCAATTACCATCACTCCCAATCTCCATGCATTACTTTACTTATACAACACATACATATCAGCATATTCGTATACGTACGTACATTTAACGCGGTGACTTTCACTGTTACTCAGTGTGAATGAAAGTGAACGTTGTACTATGGTTCACAGGGTACTTCCGTAAACAGGGTACTTCCGCATTTTCGAAAATCTCATATTTTGAACGTTTTAGGTTGATAAATGCTCTCAGACTTTTTATGTAGTACTTTCTAGGTTCTCTATAAACATACTGTACTATATGAAATAGATTGTAATTAGGGGATGCATATGTACAAGACCAAAATACTGTAATATACAAGTGTGACTTTAGATTGAAGCCTCAGGAACTGTATGAAGAGCTGGTAGATAACTGTAAAAATGACATGGGCATTAAGTAGAGGTTCTCATTAGCTAGCATAGCAAATTTAAAAGCAATCCAATATGTTGTAGAGATTTGACAAGCAGATAAAGTGAAAAGGGTATGCGACGTGACAATATTTGATTCCAGCTTCATGCCGTAGCCTCGGCAAACCTCTGACACTCTCCAAAAGCGTGATCAACACAAGTTCTGACTCAACCCAGCATCAAATGGCCAAGTGTGCCAGAGTGCCGAGCAGCGGCATTGATGTGACTCAGTGTGACCCAAGATGCGGAAGTACCCTGTTTTTCCTCGGTCATGGTCCGACGCTCTGTTTATGCCTTATCTGCTTTAACATGTAAGACAAAAGACAAGCTTAACATGATTCTAAATAAGACTGTCTACTCAGATTTTTATTTACTCAAAAATTTAAGACATTATTCGCAATATTCAAGAAATCGGAAGTACCCTGTGAACCACAGTATCGACAATGATTTGCGATTGATATCTGTATCCCCCTTAGCTGTTGATGGGTGTCTTGTTTCCACGTCGATGCAGATATTTGTGTCCTGGCTAAAGAAACATCGGTATATACATCGTAAGGTTAAAAAATATATCAAAGAGAAGCTATTAATCAACATTTAATGCTTTCGGCGACCCGCAGGGAACGAGTGGGAAATATCATCTTTTATATCAATGCTCTCTGTTGTCGTCGATATACATACCTACTCCAATCACATTACACACGCAACCATTTTTGCTATCTAACGGTTACCTTTATCAGGAATGTAGGGAGGATGTAGGAGAAGCATCTTGCTTGGTCGTACGGTATGATAGAGACAATTATTCATCATTCGCTACTATATCTATATTGACATGATCAACAACGGTGTATTCGTAACAACAAGCACTTTTTTGCGCTGAGCGGCATACTGTGGGGGGAAGAGGACAAAGATCAGAAGACAAATTGGGGGCGAACATGTCCTTCTTGGTTTCACGTCGAGAAAGAGAACAAATGCAATTTTGTTCAGTGAAGCAAAGACTCACGATTCCATGAACTGACCGACACCCCCTCAACCTTTTCAAGAATCTGTCCAAATTGATGTGATGTGTTGCCATGCGAAATGAAAGTCAGAAAATGAACGACGTCGTACTGTTCGTGGCAAGTGTTCGTGGAATACATATGGAGAAAGCAGTTTGTGAAGAACGAAGTCACGGCACGATGGAGTTCTTGGCGGAGAGATATGAATGAAGCGTGAAGCTTGAAGGCTGGAGATACGGATTGTGGATAAAACCCAGAATCTTCTTCCGACAAAAGTCATTGCGAGGATGCTCCAGAGAGCCCGCGGGAAGCGCGGGAAGTGACCGAGGGTTGCCCGGTGGGCACCGGGAGTCTAGGAGAATCGGAACGACGTCCTCGCTAACCATGAGTCGTCGTTTTCCACGTGTGTATGTGTGTTGACTCTTGAAGAAAGCCGTGGTCAAAGACAAAGAGGTTGTGTCTAGCCGCTACTGTCATTTAAATTGCACGTGTAATCGGAAAACCCTTCCGCAGTTAAACTTATAGATTTAATTGGTATCGCCTTCCGTCTATGTCTGCTTGAACGTTTTTTTCTTCCTTCCACCATGTTCTTCTTTTGTCATTCACTCCTCTGCGTCTGTCTTTTCTTTTCCTTCTTCAACCCCATTTCTGCATCGAACATTGCATCTCGTTTGGCCCGAAGGACGAGTCGCCACGTTCAAAGGTTTACCAACGATCTCAATGTCGCGTTGGATGTCGTTTTAGCATCTAGGGAAAAGCTGCAGCCTCAGGTCCATTTAACCACTGGTTCTCAGACTGTGTTCTGCAAATCCGATTCTGGTGCAACTTCTGCAGGAGGCAATTCTTCTTCTTCTTCTTCTTCCCCTTCTTCCTCTTCGGGTTCATCGGGCTCATCGAAATCTGCGGGTTCATCCACCAATACAGCTTCAGCTGCTGGCAGCTCAAGTACAGGTGTTGCCGTTTCCTCCCCTTATAAGCTTGTCGAAGAACATGTACGTATTTGTGTTATTTCGGGCGTGCTGTGGTTCATCACTCCTTTCAGAGTGGATCCGATTTTTTCAACGGCTGGACCTTCACCGACGCTGCGGACGTCACTACACACGGTAACCGATCTGCGATATATCTGCCACCTTGTTTAGCTTAACAACTGCTACGTAGGACTTGTCAATTATGTCGACCAAGGGACAGCAGTAGGTTGATTATCTTTCTCCAAACTCGACGGTTAATCATTTGCCTCTTCGAACAAGTCTGCCAACAATCTTACTGAGATTACTTCCGATGGAACCGTCATAATGCGAGTAGAAACCACCGCTACGGTCACTGGGAACCGTCAAAGTATCCGGATCACAACCAACAACGTCTATAATTCGGGCCTATGGATTTTAGACGCTATCCATATGCCTACTGGGTGTGGGACTTGGCCGTGAGTGGCTCTGATTCCCCCGGTTTTTTCGCCTCTACTTATTGTTAATACTTGATTCCAGTGCGTTTTGGACAAACGGCCCAAATTGGCCGGATGGTGGTAGGTCCAATTTTCGATCAATAAACGAAAATGATGTTCAATGAGCATCTGTTCACAGGAGAGATAGACATTGTAGAAGGGGTTGGTGACAATACTAACGACCAGGCCACCCTACATACTTTGGAAGGCTGCTCTCTTGCTTCGTCAAGCTCGTCAGCACTTGATATCACAGGATCCGTCATCACCTCTACTGATTGCGTTTCAACCGGGGGAGGCTGCGGTATCAGATCGAGCTCGACGGTATCATACGGAGCTGCTTTCAACGGTAACGGAGGTGGCGTTTTTACCAGTATGTTTCTCACCTCCTTCTCATTTCGTTTCAACACCGTGCTGACACGCTGAAATTATTTCTAGTGACTTTGAACTCGTCCGGTATCGCTGTCTGGTTCTTCGAAAGGTCCGCTATCCCGTCGGATATTACAGCTGGTACACCCTTGCCTGCCCTCTGGGGTACACCATTTGCTTGGTGGTCGTCACCGAGTTGTAATATCACGGAATTTTTTGGTTACCAGTCTACGATCTTTGACACTACGCTTTGGTGCGCTTACTTACTTACTCCCCTAATGTGTCAGCTTTTGACGTGTTTTTTTCTCTTTTGTTTTAGCGGGGACTTGGCTGGCTCTGTATGGGCTGACGCTGGTGCACCTGGTCAGGAGCAGAGCTGTGCGACGCGTACAGGTGTGTCGGATTGCAATACCTTTGTGCAAAACAACGGTGCTGCATTCCAAGATGCTTGTGCGTATTCAATATCTCACTCTCATCTTCTAATCACTTCTAAACTCGATGGCGTACAGATTGGGAACTCAACAGTGTCAAAATCTATCAAATTCCCGGTTAAGACTGAAAGCTTGAACCTTAACCAGACATTCTGCTATGAACTATCACGGAAAACACGAGAAACACGACAACATGTATCCATAGAATAAACGAGATGCTGCCTTAGACGTAATGATTTAAATATTCTCACTGTTGATTTACTTATAGGGATTTGCGCTGTGCGCTGCTTGTAGTTCCTCTTCAAAATTACAAGAGGAAAGGATATTATACATGGAACAAGGTTTTCAGATTTTCGGGACTTGGTAAACTACCTCATTTGTGTAAGACAGGGAGGGAAATGCTTTCGGATTCCAGACCATCGACTTCCGAGTAATCTCGGGATACACATTGGAGCCATATTGCATGGTTAATAACTCACTATAACGGTGTTGCGAGATCATGCGACGGACGCAGGGCTAGGTACTATGAGTGACATACACGGTCCAGATCGGTTGTAACAGCATACGGTGTGGTGTATTTGGCGAAGGTGAAAAAAACAGGCGTAGGATAGTGTAATAAGAGTGCATGCACGGATTGCAAGGTATAGACCATATGTAGGAGAAAAGAAAATTCCAAGGAGCGTCAAAAATCAAAGGGTAAAAAAGAAAGCTTCAGACACCTGCAACAATCCTACAGCAGTAATGTTAACAATCAATGACGAAAATTGAGACGAAGATGGACGTACTCTTCCGCCTTATTCAACGCCTGGACCATACTGATAACTTCTTTTCTCCTGTTAACGACGTACTCGCTCTCCTTGAGCAGATCTTCCAACACCTCCTGCTTATATAGCTCTTGTAGAAGCTCTTTCTGCAAGGTCTCCTTCGCATGATTGACGAGAGTAAGAGTAATCGCCTTAGGCACCATGTCAATCATCTCGCGCTTGACAATGTTGAAGTACGAATGGATCAAAAGCTCTGGATGAATTCAAGATGTTTCAATACTTGTGGAAAGTGAGCATGAATAGACAACGCACTGATAACTTCCGTTTCCATTGTTTCTCTCTCGCTCAAAGCTGCCTGAGGTTTAATAACTGGCGGGGGCGCCTCCATGGTAGAGGGTGTGCTGGTTCCACCCGTCTTCTTGGCTGTTCCCGCTCGGCTGTTCCTTCCGCTACTGGTGAAGAAAGACCCGAAAAAGCCTGTTTCGTCTTTCTTTGCTTCAACATCAAGATCCTTGTTGTTGTTGATGACACCAGGAGCAAGTTTGCCTGTCTTGGCGTCGGATTGGGGAGGTGGGGGTTTGGCAGCATTCAGCCGGTCATTGACAATGGCCATAGCCTAAAGTTAATAACGTCAGCATTTATCTGTCCGTATGTCAAGTCCTAGATACCTTGTGTCCGTTGATGAAATCGGGATGTGTAGTGTTCACATAACATGCTTGCATACTAGATCAATTTCAGCGGATATTTGACGATATATGTTCCGACCACTTACGAGACCATATCGGACACTAGTTTCGTCGTCGGGGTCATACAGTTCTTCAAGAAGCCCACAACAACCGCATTGAATCGTTCGCGCAGAGCAGGGTATCTCTTGAACGCTTGCTGTTCAAAAGACATACCGTCAATACTGTGCCTTTAGTATACAGAGTATCTACTCACAATTTTGGTTAACAATTGGCCAAGGATACGGATGAGCTCGTCATATACGAGCTGACAACACTTCAAACTAGGTTCTTCTAGCCGCTTGATTTGTTGCTTCACGATGACCTCGAAAGCTGCTGTGCCGACAAAAAGCGCTGGGGTGGAGCCCTAAGGTGCGAGCTGAATGAAATTTGGATGAGTAGGGAGCAAGGTAACGTACAGATGAGTTATACAGCAGAATTCGGATGTCTCCGTCTTTCACTTGGTCGAAGGGATCGATATTCTTGATACCGTTGTTGAACAGTTCGTGGAAAACGAAACTGATACGTGCACCTCCTGAAAGTTCATTTACAGATAAGTCGTTTGTGCTACCATCAAGGACTGTCCGGAATTCATTGGTGAACTCCGTAATGACAGATAGGACGACATTGCCAGAGTTATGCTCAGCCATAGGCCCTCCAAGCTGCATAAGTTCGGCATTGTATTTCTGCAGCTGGGAGGAAATTCTGGCTTTAATGTCGGGGAGAGTGGCGCGAATGTGGTGCATAAGGATCTTTATAGATATTTGAATGAGATAGCACCCGCAGGTGAATCAAGCTGCGTACCATGTTAAGTTTACGAGTCAGGAATGGAGTACCGCAATACTGTGCTTTTCCTTTGTAAGACGGATGGTTTTCAAAGAAGTCGCGTTCAGCTTCAAGCGCAAGTGCGATGGATTTGGAAGAGTCAATGTCACGTTGACCTCGATTGACCACTGGTACATAACCCATACGGAGAGGGATGACACGACCGGCAAGGATGTCAACGACATCTGTGCCAGTGTCCCTGTGGAAATGTGTTTTCAGAACTTCGGAAATCTCAAAACCAATATTGGCACTTACATCAAATCGATTTTCGTCAATACACCGATGGTCCTATTTCCTTCAGGGTCTACATCTCTAGCCATCTTCAAACCATCCGAATTGGCCAGATCAACATTTGCCGGCGATACTGCCAAGATAATACACGCAGGTTTCGAGATGTACTTCATGAGCATATCACGAATCTGTTTCTCGATATCCTTTGGCTGGTCTCCGACAGGCACCTTCGTCAGACCAGGAAGGTCGACCAAAGTTAAAGTGAGAACTTTGGGTGAGTATATACGTAAGTTGATGGGTTGAGGGGAGATTCCTGCGTTGCGGCCAGTCTTCGCTTCAGTGTCACGAACAATCTCATCCCGAATCTTGTGAAAGTCGTAGAATTTTTGGCCAGGTAGATGTAAGAATTCACCCCACTCATCTGCGTTGGCCGCAGCGTCTCCGTCTTTCCCCAATTCTGGTGCTGAAGAAACGAAAGTACATCAGTGACTACTCGCGCTAGTACGAAGAATACGCACGACCACCATTCTGATGTGCTGTTGAAGGTCTATGTATCAGTTGCAAGACCTGCAAAGCAACAATTACATGCTGTCTAGCGTCTAGAAACACCAAAAGGACTTGCCAGTGGCCGTCGTGTCACGATACCGGTTCCACGAGGCAGGAAATCTCTTCCGACGATATTCTAAAAGGCAGTCAGTCTCTCTCAAAAGATCAAACAGAAAGGAAGCAGACACACCTCTAGAACACTACTTTTACCACTACTCTGACTTCCCAAAACACATATCTGAGGCAAGTCTATTGAAGCTGTTGAGGTGCCGACAGCGTTGAAGACATCCTGAAGCTTGTTGACAATAGTAACAATCTCTGAGCCCAATCCCGCTGGACCTGTAGACATTTCGAGTGAAATCGAGGTGGTCCAAAATTACAGTCGTAAGGTAAAGAAAGGAAGAATTAAGGTTGCGTGCCCCGCCGCCTCACCTGCGCGTCAAATCACGTTGCACTGCCACTAATCACTTGCTGCGCCTTGCATTGCAAGTTTGCAATAATACTTCATGTACATGCTGCGCTGCTCTGCTTTCGTACGAAAACAAATCAGCAAATACACTCAGGTAGCTGTATGTTGTACCACCCAAAATGGTGCATATCCGTCCGATATATACAGCGGGAAATGTCATGTCTTTGCTGTAACATGTGTTGACCTTTGGTCCATAATTCAATAGCCGCAAATGTTCTCGACCTGATGCCACGACGAACAAGACCTTTCGTCTGCACTTAATTAGATCGGACCGGAGGTTATAACCCGACGTGAGGCTTTTTTGTTTCTTACCTCCATCGTCGTTTCGAGATGTTGTTCTTCGTTTTTCAGCTGTTCCTTTTCTTATACTGGAACACTGCCACCGCCTCTTCCACTCTTCCAGACGAGCTTTTCTCTCCTCTCATACCACAGAAAATAGCCAATACGTCGAACTCTCTACCTTCACCAATCCAGTATCCTCAATACACCAACACATGGAATGTCAGCAATCCTGGAACTTGGCTAGACTTTATACCTGACACTTGGACGTCTGGCTTCTTCCCCGCCTCCTTATACGCATTGAACACCCGCAAAACTCTATGCGGGGCGACCGACGCGAACGCTTTGGGAATTGCTGATTGGCTGGAGCTGGGTCGATCTACGAGCACGGGACTAATTCCGCTGGAAACTAACAACACGAATCTGCAACACGATGTAGGATTCGTCAGTTTTCCGTTTGCCGAAGAACTTTTGATGTGTGTCCTTAAAATCTGCTGAGGCTCTTCTTGACGCTGAGTTTCTCATAGCGATTCACAAAACGAGACCGCTATACAAGCTATTAATTTATTCGCTGCAGATCTTGCCGCAAGATTCAACCCTGTTGTCGGTTGTACACGAAGTTGGGATACATCGGACCCCACCGATTTCACTGTCATCATCGATAACATGATGAACCTAGAAGTCCTTTGGGCATCTTATGCGCTCACTGGGAACCAAACGCTGATCAACATTGCCAACGCACATGCCAACACGACTATGATCAATCATTTTCGCGAAGATGGTGGGCACTCGAGATTGTGCATTTTTCTACGCCCATTGACCTCCGAATCGTTCAGGATCAACTTGGCATGTTGTAGAGTACAATTCAACTACCGGAGATGTCATCCGTAAAAGAACTTCACAAGGATATTCTGATTCCAGGTATGACTATTTAATGCTTTCGAGCTTGCACGATGACTATAAAGCTCGATAGCACCTGGAGTAGAGGCCAAGCATGGGCTTTATATGGTTTTGCAAACAGTGAATTTTGAGACCTTCCTTGTTTACCCAATCATATAGAGACCGTCCTTTCCAGTGTATAACCATACAAAAAACCCAGACTTTCTTAGTACGGCTCAACGTGCCGCAAACTATTTCTTGGACAACATCCCATCTGATGGAAATGTGCCTTGGTACACCGATCTCTGTTATCTGTGCATACACTCTTACTCAAATTAAACCATATCTTCGTAGGGATTTCAATGCTCCACTGGATCCTCCTCCTCGCCCAGCAGACTCATCCGCTGCAACTGTCGCTGCCAATGGGCTACTTCTTCTTGCTCAAGTAGACCCAACTAATGCTGCAAATTGGACAAATGCTGCCATTCAGGTATATTTGTTTCACGGTCGTCGGTGACTGCACCTCTAACTCGGAACATGAGATTTTGCAAAATGTCACTTCTTTAGCGTGGAATCCCTCCTGGCAGAGTCTATTATCGAACGGGACAGTCAATTGGCCCGCGAATAATTTTTTGACTGGTATCGTCTACGGTAAGTTTACGATCGAAGTGTTCCGAGACCCGCTTTTTACAGACTCAACAGGTGACTACTACTACATCACGGCTGCGAACAAGCTTGTTCAGATGGGTCTTGCGGAGTGTAATGGGTCTACAGCATCAAATCCAGCATCAAATCCAACTTCAACACCATCTCCAGCATCAAATCGGGCTTCTTTGGCACAACTCATCTCTCAGGACGTGAATCTATACATTATTATCACCTTACTTTCAGTGTATCTGTATTGAAATGCACAGTCGGTTCTGTTTGCTTAGGCTCTAGTCTGTTTGAGAAAGTAAGTTTCTTCGAACAGGATTAGGAGCTCTATTCGTTTTCGTCTCCTGCGTTGACGTGAATCAAGAAAGCTTGAGAATGGGGCCTAGTCCGGATATAGGAGTGCCACTGTTATAAAAACTGGCGGATTTTTTGGTGTCTGGATAATGTCGTTGACTATGCCTCAGTCATTCTATGAAGAAGCGTACCTTATCCACAAGATTGTCTTTGGGGCAGGCTTTTTCTTTTTTTTGCTTTTGGTGGTCATCGTTGTCAGAAACCGAGCCCATCGTCTACCGCTGCCTCCCGGGCCCAAGGGATACCCTCTGATAGGGAATGCATTGAGCCTCCCCTCGGAAAGGCCTTGGCTCACGTATTGCCAATGGAGCAAGCGCTTTGGTAGTGGAATTTCTCGTTGTTTTCCTTCATTCGTATCGACCTCGTTCATGCGTTGATAGGTGATGTTATTCACTTATCTGCTCTAGGACAATCAATCATCATCCTCAATTCTGCTCGATCTATTTACGACCTTCTGGAGCGTCGAAGCGCATTGTACTCTGACCGTCCATCGACGGTCATGGCAGGCGAATTGTGAGTGTGTCCCTGGACGGTAGACGATATGTACAGTAGACATGAAATTACCAGAGTTGGTTACGGAGATAGTCCCGCCTTCATTTCGAATGGTCCTCGTCATCGGACCTTCCGTCGCCTGTTTTCAGAAGTGTTGATCCCTAGAAGGGTAGAGGAATGGCGACCATTGCAAGAGCAAAAGATTCAAATCCTAGTGAGAGGATTAACGGAAACACCCACAGCATTTCGTGCCCATATTCGGAAGTAAGATTGATGCGTGTGGACATCTTACATCTATCTATCTATGTATCGTTACTGATGCTCTCTTTACTTCAAGATACATCGCGAGTCTGGTGTTCGAAATATCCCATGGGCATATCGTCGAAGGTGACGACGATTACTTTATTCGAATGGCCAAACAGGTAGATGATGACATTTCCGTGCTAATGGTGCCCGGAAACTTTCTGGTCGATTTTTTCTCTTTCTGTGAGCTTCTTATCTATAACCTCCGCGATGATACTAACTTTCTAGTTTGCAACCTTGGAAGTGCGGTATATTCCCGATTGGACTGGAGTACCTTTCAAAAAGAAGGCAAAAATATTTAAGCAAACGTTGCAAAACGCTTTGAACCGACCTTATCAGCAAGTAAAAGAACAGATTGTACGTTGGAATCTCGGTCTCAATCTTCTGGAACGGAAGAATTGATGATGGCAGGCGGCTGGAAATGCTTTACCATCTTTCACTGCAAGCTTGATCGAGCGGAAGGAAAATCCGACAGAGGAGGACACTGCTATTTTCAAATGGGCCTCTTTCGTCTTTTACACAGGTATCAACGGTCGCATTCGGTTGGCACATTAAGATTTGACTTCACTCTCATTTCTATCTTTAGCTGGTGCAGATACTGTGAGTCCTCAAGGCCTGGTGCCCCAGGTAGTAAACATATTCTTAACGAGAAGCTGGTCGTTCAGTCAGTCTCGGTGCTCTCATCGTTCATGCTGGCGATGGCCGTCAACCCAACCAAGCAGCGAAAAGCACAGGCGGAGATTGACCGTGTTATTGGCTCTGGACGACGTCCGGCATTCAAGGATCGACTAGGCCTACCATACGTTGAGAGCATTCTCAAAGAAGTCTACAGACTGAATCCTGTCACCCCAATTGCGATTCCTCATAACCTCAACCCTACTTCCGACGACGAATATCGTGGTTGGAGGATTCCCAAGAAATCTGTAGTCATAGCAAACAGCTGGTAAGGAAAGCACGAGACTACTGTACTATTAGTATGCCATCTAACGCTAAAGGATAGGGCTGTCCTGCACGATGCCGAACTGTATCCATCCCCCTTCGAATTCCTTCCTGAGCGTTATCACCAGCAGGAATACCAAGTAGATCAATCTTTGTCAGATCCAGCCTATGATGGAAACAAGATGAATCCTGATCCAAGGAAATTTGCGTTTGGATATGGAAGAAGGTGGGTGGATGATTTTGGTAACGTTCTGTTCGTTCGACATCTATCATCAGGGTGTGTCCAGGTCAGTTACTGGCAGATGACACCGTCTTCATCTCAATAGTTACTATATTGGCTCTCTTCGACATTGGACCGCTTACATCTGGAGAGGAACCTAAATATACTCCCCATTTGATCAGGTTGGTCCCAAGTTCCTGAAAACTCGAATGTTCATATCATGCCAACCATAGTGTTCGCCCAATGTCCTTCTAGTCATCCGGAAGAATTTACATGCGATATCAGGCCGCGATCAAAAGTAGCGCAAGATCTCCAAGTGTAGCGGATGGAACCCCGATGAGGATTGCGAAGTTCATGAGTTAAAACGACTTCCAAATAAGGCAAACTTGCCGTGAATTGTCGTAGCACATAGAATAATACACAGTGTTTCTATTCAAGAGAACCTGCGGCCTTGACCAAGTAGTTTTCGTTCACACACCAGTGTTGATTAAGATGTAGAGAGCAAAAAAATTAAGCGCCATAATTTAGACGGAAGATGTCGTTTTGACTGTCAAAAATAACAATGAGAATTAATGGCAAGAGAAGCACGAAATACTGACACATAATAGCTGCCGCCATCTGGAATGAGATGGAACGTCTGACTGAATTGCAGTGGGTTGGGGCTATCATCGACCTAGAAAAATAGCTATTGATCAGCAACGATGCTGTATACAAGGAAGTATAAGAACGCACCTGGAGTAATCCAGTGACTGCAACAATTATGCTGGGTGTAGTGGGGGACGATGGTTGGGCATCGAGAGTCTCCACCTTGTGTTGTACCTTCGAGAACGGTAGGCTCTAGATGGGAGATTCAACAGAATTCCAAAAGGTATTGTAACAAGACTCACGGTCAATTTCTCGATGATCGAAGCCGCGCTCTGTATTGGTGTCCCTTCCCATGTCAGCATGGAACCTGGTCGCTGTTAAATTGTAAGATGGTCAGAGATCGCGCTGAAATACAATGGAAAAGCTTGATTGACATAGAGGGAAGACAGATTGGAGCGATCTGAGTCGAAAGTCGAGTAGTAAAATTGGACAAACTGCTGGGCTATGGTAGTGATTTCGGCCATGGTAGGAAAAGTGGAGAAAAGTAGATCTAGAGAAGAGACGTGCGCTGTGCGGGACGAATTTACAGACACGTGACCATCGGCGAAACTACTAGCCCTGGTTCGGATTTCCCATCACTATCAGCAGATTCAGCACCAAACTTTTCATCGTAAAAATGTCCTTTTCTGGAGAACAACATCGACCCGGGATGCGTCGGAAATCCTCTGCGCAAAATCTCCTTTCCTCCTTCAAATCTCCTCCCAACAGTTCAGCGCCACAACCAAGTGCACAGCCATTGACGGTTTCCAGTTCTGCTGCCGCGGCGTACACTGGTCCAGCAGGCGCCCCTACTCCCGTTTCCTCGACCCCTATGGCGAAGGAATGGGATGCGCAGTCGTTGCATGCCGAGTCCTTGGGAACAACGACGCCTGCAATAGGTACTTCCGACGAATATCTTCGAGATCTCGTCCAGAAAAGGATTCTGACATTGACATATATTCGGAATATCCATGAAGGGTATGTTATTGAAACTGTTTTAGTTTTGCTCTTATTTTTGCTGGTTTACAGACGGAGTCACTGGTTTCATACTATATACATATCACGGACAGACTTGGATCGGGTATTTAACAACGTAGAAATGAAGAAACGGTGTGTATCTGAAAGACTCCCGGCGGTGAGATGTTTGGTATTGATTACTGGGCCAGAACGACGCGATTTCTTATCCTCGGAATGTCGCTTGCCAATTTGCTGGACGTGCCGCAGCCTCAAGACTTTCTGCGAGGACTGCTGAACACTCTGCTCGAGTATGATCAAGCAAAGGAGGATACTGAAAAGCCCAAGATGGTCTGATTTTCTTTCCTTTACTTTTGCATTTTCTCAATCGTTATAAAGCGTCAGCCCAGGAGATTATTTCGAGGAAAGCTTGGAGGAAAGCGACCGGGCGTAATGAGCGAATATTCCGGATCATACACAGATTCCACAGAGTCTTATCTAGTCAACCCTCATACAGTACGTTCCATTATGGCTGTAGGATATCAGAGTACCTAACCTTTCTGCAGCCATTCCCGTTAGATTATCACCAAACACTGCTTACACTGCTTGATATTGTCTCTGAAGTGTATCATAAAATCGCAAAGCTCATTGGCCCATCTCCGATTCCCCATTCTTCCCAGCATATGATGGGTCCTTTGGGCCTTCTTATACCGCATCCCGGCGTATCGTACCTGTTCGCCGACGGACCTCAATCCGCTTTCTCTGGTACTCTGAGTCCAAGTCTGTCCCAACATTCATATCCAAATCCAAATCCGCCAGACGAATTACGCGCAAGTGGTAGCTTATGGAGTATAGCTAATGGAGGTTTACCAGCAACTGGAGGGTTTAGTTTCGGTGCAGGACCTCTTCCTGCTTGGTCGTCCAGTTTAGGAGAGCTGGTACTGAAGATTGACAATAAATTCAAGGTGCGCTTGTTGTTGATTGCAATGTACACTGTTTATTGAAGTTTGCGTCTTGCTTAGAAATTAACATCGATTCTACTCAAAGAGTTAGATCAATTTGCTCGTACTGGCATCAAAGAGGAACTTGCTTCGCTTGATCCCCTCCTTCGAAACATTAAAATGCCGGATCTCGAAGCGGCTGGACTCGCAAATTTCGATTAATCTTTCGATACAACCTTGCTTCTTTTTAGTTGAAGGTGTGGGTTTCACATGGTAAGCGTCGTTCTGTTGTTCTCAAGTATAGGTTCCGATCTTTGTGTACAATAGCTTCATCGATCTTTCGTTTGCCTCGATATGTGCATAGCCATCGCTTTGACCGTGCTGCACAGTGGTCCCAGACTCCCAGGCTGTGGTATCATATAGGAGGAAACGTTGACGACCGATAAACGACGCTACATATCACCGGCCTGCACCACACCTACCACAGGCTACCGCAGCTTCACTGCCGGTTGAGAACTAGCGCTCTGTTCTGCGCAAAGTCTATAGTTGGATGTGCCATGCAGTATATATTGGCGATAGATGTGTAATTGTAGAGGATGTTGTAAAACTCTAAGTTATATTGGTGAATGTTAGGGATGTTTATAATTACCTCTATGATCTGAAAACTGAATAAACTTTCTACGGAGGAACTCAGATTTATACCCTGACAATGTCCATTGAGCGCAGGCCGCAGTCAAATCAAAAAAAAATTCCATTGCTTATGGTACTGATTCGGAAAGCATATGCACACAATTGTGCTATTGAACAAGAGACACCACCAGTGATCCTTATTGTACGTGTAACCAGCTGCATAACGATGAGCTTGATGATAGTCACCATCGTGCTTTACTTCTTGCAGTTGCATTCGTTGTCCTTGCATCCACAACTAATAAGAATATTTTGTCAGCATGCGTATGAAACTGCCAACAAGAATGAAACTAACGTGGACGAGCAGCTGCAATCTTGCGAGCCGCAAGCACTGTTGACAAGGATGATCGTTTCGGTCTATTCGTGTATGAGCGCGCATTGACGTTCGCTCGGGAGATGAATACTCACAGCGTACATGGCTTGTGGGTTTCAATGAAGATTTCGATGTTGGGTGTGTGGTTTAGAGGTGGGTTGCTTCAAACCCGTGGAAAGGAGCGAGTCTTTATACTGTACCGAAAGGGCCCGTGCGGGCCCATGTCTGATCCAGATTAGCTGCTGCAATTTGTGCGGCTTTGAAGAAAGCCATACGGTAACATTGTGTTGAGGAGGTCGTACTAGGCAATGCTATGATAAATGTCAAGTAAAGTTTTTGCTGTACTCGATGTAACTTTTCCACCTAAATTAGGGCTCCTTGGAGTATTCAGTGAATAACACTGCCGAAGCTTGTCGACAGGAAGATCCGAATGGGATTATGGGGTTCAACTAAAAACTCACAGTACGATGACAGACGGTCACTAGTCCTTGAGCCGACTCCCATCTACACCACAAAGTGTCAGTGGCGTCCCGTCAGTTACTGAATTCCAACCTCCTCTGGGCAACCTCTAGGCCTCTGGCATTGGCAAGATTACACGGGAATCCTACTTGAAGTTTGTTGATATTTAGTTCAGTATGTATTATGGGAAGTTGCGACAAAACAAAGATGGTAGCACCAAGATCTTTGTTGCACATCAAAGGGGCTGCCAGCCAAGTGCCCTTGCTCGACTCAGATCCAGTCTTTTTTCTATCTCAGATCTTCGGGTGAGAGCTTTAAATGAGCATCAAGATGATAGGAAAGCATATGATTTGCATGCCATAACCGAGGCCCTCAATGTAAACCTGTTCTCATATTCATGGGAGTACTAGTTCTGGAATGATTTCAACTCATACTAAAGGCGACTCACTTTTGAATGTAGCGAACTCCTTCTCTACAAGACCCATGTCTTTGCAAGGAACAAGGAAATGTGCTTGACATAAAGTAGGCGAAGTTGATACTGATTTAGCTGTTCCAACTTACTTTCGACTCCCTCACTTGTAACTTACAAACCACTTCTGAAAATGTAAAAGTGGGTCAGTGTGCTGAGTGCACGATCACGACGAATTCTTCTTACAGAGTTTTCTGCAGAGTTTGGAGGTAGGGAAATAAGAAATAAGTATGGAGACAAGGAAATGAAGAAAGGGTTGGTATTTCAGTATGACAGTGCAGGAAAGTTATGTGCTGTTATGAGCATGGCCTGCAGAATAAACTGTATTCTAATATTCAATGTCAGGCGTAACAGACTTAGAAAGACAGTGAACGAGTGCGTACGAAACGAATGATTGATATTGAGCGGAAATCATGCATGTTAGATCGCAGCAAACAAATGAAACAAAAGATTAGAGTTTGACAGTTAAAAATCAAAGAGACTTGCGCAACCCAGTTACTATTAGCGTCGGGACTCGGTAGCATCTTCGTCCCCGGGACATGTGCATGATACCAGATGAGACCGCGTCTCCAGAAGAGATTGCAATAGATAGATGTATTTCAAATTCTCGCCCATCTGTCTGTGTTTTAAAGAAATTTCCTTTCCTGGCGAGAAAGCCACATGTGGTGCAAAGCTTTTCGCAATATCTGAATTGGTTGCTGGATGCAAAACCCTTTCAGGTACAATGGGTATCAAATCTATAGCTGGCATTCAATAATACGTTACAAAGAATGTAAGCCTTGCTTCTGGTCTATCCGTTTAGTGTTCACCTGCAAAAGAACATCGGGTTAGACGCTCATCTACGCTCATAGGATTCATATGGTTGATCAACGCACTTCCGAGGCATTGATTAGAAAAGCACAAGCAGGGTTCCAGAGAGTTCCCCACACGGAATTTCGTAGGTACTGGAAGATAGACATAGAAGGTATGTATCTTGCGGAAAAAGATCGTATCAATTTCAGCCAGAGCCACGCCTAGGGAATGAATTATACTGGGACAGTCGATACTGTTAACTCCTTTTTGAACCGATAAGGTATTTGACGGTTGACCTCTGCTAAGATGACAGCGGTAGCTTGAGCATGCTCTTTCAGAAAATAAGAGTGTACCTCGATGCAGGAAGAAATTCCGAGTCCCAAGAAGACAGTAGTGCTCGGAGTGGTCAACGTCAGACCCATGCCCGCAAGACCGGACCTACCGATGAGTGCCCATGTAAGGCAGCGACGAGCAGCAGAATTGGCAACGAGCTCAGCTGGGCCAGGCTAGTGCCCGGATGCGATATACGTCAATGGTCAACTTGTGCCCGATATGAGAGAAAACGCACGGCTCATGAGCTACGTCAATAGCTCCCGAAGAGGGTGAATATCTACAGTTTGCTTATAGTTCGCTGCGATCAACAAAATCTTGGAAGGAGTTCCGAGTAATGAATGAAACGCACTCTCTTCAAAGTCTGGAAATTTGCGAACGCAGAACCCGATGGAAGAGGATGGAAGTCAAGCAAGGAATACTTACATGTTTGTATAGCCTTTCGTCGTCATCGCCCTTAACAAGAGAACATTCGAAATCTGCATCCTCTCCACCAAGCTTTCGTGGACGTTGTGTGGGAAGAGGAAGAAAAAGTACCGACCACTATACACTGCCCCTTTGTGGAGCGATTCCAGTCGATTGGATAGACATTAAGGCCAGTCCTAGTTGTAAGTTTACCAGTTATTCATAACGCATCCGTAGGAACCAAGGTGGTATGTAGATTTATACGAGGTGCGGCAGCAGCAGCGAAGTGACCGGACGGACAATGTGAATATATCACAAGGCAATGGGATAGATACTTAATGGAACATCCAAACGGTGTGAGTAAAATTAGATGGGAACTTGGGTCATTGTTCAGGGGATAGCTTTAGAAATTCGGGTTCACTTAAAGAGCGAGATCTACAGTCCGTTGAAGGTGGAAGCGCGAAAAATGCAGATAATTACAGATCATTGAGCAAAATGCAACGTAAGGTCATGATCCAAGCAACGACGAGAAAATGGCGAAGATTCATAAACAATGGGTATTAGGTAGATCTGGCCTTTTTCCACATAACAAAGTCATCAAGGAGGGTGGGCCAGGCCTGATCGGGGGAAGGTTAAGTGGTTGAACAGGCAAAGTTATGGATGCAATACGAACCCCATCGGATTCATAATCCTGCAAATCAACTTTCACAGTCTCGCAGAATTCGAGCATCTATATCAACAACATGAAATGTTAAAGTCGAGCAATATGACCATGAAAAGATTATGACCATGGTCCACAAATCTTTGTTTGTTGCCTTGTATACAGTTTCTTTTTCCTGGAAACAACAGAAACAGGCATCAATGCTTTATTTGGAAACATTCTACAGTGTGCTTACAGCAATGAACTCGAGCACCTCTTGCATTATGGGATATTTCGGAGCGAGTATGACTGACCACAGCGCTGTAGACGTCTTTCCATGTGAGAGTATTCCATTAGTGAAGGAACAACACAAAAGGGGAAGAAACGAGGAGGATACCTCCATGTCGATATTCCGTGATTGCCTGAAGTACAACGAAATAATGAAAGAAACCAAACTGGAAACAATATGACATACTCGGGCTTTGCGAGGCTGAAACAGAAAATATACAGCTTCTGGTATGCGTCTTTGACGTTCTTCGCGTAGTTCAAATATGTTCCCCGATCATAAGGATCCGTTTTGGGATTGGATTTGACAGGAGATTTATCAGAAATGAGAAGGTCGTCGAGTTCGGACAAAGCAATAACGAGCGAAGGCAGCGTAGAAATTCTAGAGCACCAATTGTGAATGACATGGTCCACAATGTAGAAACGCAACACTCACCTCAGTTTCGCTGTGCCCTTTAGCCATTCATCCTTGGTAAATGTCCCCATCTCCTTGGCATCCAATTGCCATGCTAGAATAAGTGGCATCGCGCCGTCCATTGGGATTTTGGCTTCGTTGCATAGCTCTTCAAGACCCGCAGGTCCGATAACTGAACAATCATCGGCGTCAGCGTACTTCTGGAACAAAGCCAGCGCTCGGGCAGGTGTATATGTTTCGGAGTCCAGCCGGGATTTGTTACTGTGAGCTGGTTTAGATGAATGCTTTGCTCTAGAGTCAGAGCAAGGTAATATGAAGGTTCAAACGTTCACGGGCCACTCACTGTTGCACTCTGGTTCGGTTCCCCTTCGCTATCGGGTTTGTCAGAAACGCAACATAAGAATAAGGATAGACGCATGAGGATGCATGCACGCCCCCCACGCCAGGAAGAGATTGTAAAGAAACCGGCGTTCGAGGGCGAATGCGAGAACGATGGAAACGGCTTACGTTGGTTCCTGACATGATGTATTTAACGCCACGTGAAAATCCAAAAAGGAAATACGCGTCTAGTAAGTAGTACTCACGTCGCGACTTTTTTCAATAGTTCAAAATAATGCAGTACACAGAATTGGAGGTTTCATCAGCGGACGTTGAGCTGTATGTTCTGCGCTCACATTGTGCTTGTTGCTGATTTGGTGGTTTTGGTAGTCTTTGGTCTTTTAGCTGGAGGCTCAGAGCCCTGTGAAGAGGAAAAAGATTCAATGATGATCTTTCGAGGATTTTGTACAGACGCACCTTATCACTTTCACTCCCATCCTTGGTCTTCTTGCTCTTGCTATATATTGCGCCTGTCAGAACGAGTTCGCGAGGAAATGTTTGTAAGACAAGTAACCTGCTCGATTTTGTGGTCTTGGGCTTGGCCTCCTTGGCTTTTGATGCTGGCTTTTCTTCTGCCTGTGTACTAGCTGATGTCCGAGTAGCGCTCCTAGTGGCCCTGGCGCTGACGGGGTTAGTGGAGGCTTCAACTGCTTTGCGCTGATCCGAGAGTGAGTTGGAAAACAGCGGGATGAGCAAAAGGTTTACCTTGGGTGGCATTTGTGAAAGAGTACTTTCACCAAAGAAATTTAGAGATGTAGGCGTAGATACAGATGGTATACACTGAAGAACAGCAAATGGCGTCACCTCAAGCATGTGATGTTGCACATGACCTTGAATGAGTAATTGAGGCGCCCTCCCGGTCCGTCACTTTAATCTTTCAACCCAACTTGGCCCCGTTTCATGAACCACCTCTTCTCTTCTTCATGACGAGTAAAACTCAAATCCAAAGACTTATGTCTGATGTCCAAGACCCTTCCGATTTCCCACAACAGTCTGAAGCTCCTGGTCTACGCCTACTTGATTCTGCTCTACGATGCACAATCTGTTCAGAACTATTTGATGGGCCTGTAACTCTCAAATGTGGGCACTGTTTTTGCTCTTTGGTGGGCATCAGTAGGCTTGGCTTTCAAGTGCTCAGTGCTCATATCCGTTTTCAGTGCATTCGACAAGCATTGGCTGAAAAGCAAGAATGCCCTGCTTGTCGCGAGTCCGATGTAAATGAAGGTCATTTGCGAAAGAACCCGGCAATGGAAGAGGCAGTCGCTGCGTGGAAGGAATGTAGGTGTGTTCATTGAGAATTTGTGGCGGTCCCTACCTTAATCATATTCTTGAGACCATATATACTTCAGGTCCTTGACGAGAATAGCCGGCGGGTTCAAGTTGAATCATCCAGACCTTCCAAAAGGCGGAGGTTACATGACGAGTTAGAGTCAACCAGCGAAATCATCTACGTTGAATCTACGGCGTTTCAGGATTCATCCACTCCCACTCATTCTGAACAAGCCGAATCAGATACGCCAAATTCAAACAAAAAGGACACCCAGTCTGCACGACGTGCGTCTTTTGTCACTGAAATTCCGCTGTAGGACTCTTATAATCCCTAGCCGACGATCTCATCGACTGTCCTTTGTGCAATAAGCGCGTCAAATTCAAAGATATCAATCGACATCTAGATGAACAATGTCGGGATGAGCACGAACCTGTTCGCTCATCGTCTAAGTCTCAATGGGACAGTATACTCGGTTCCAAAAGTAAGGTTCAAAGTTCAAAGAAGAGGCAAAAGGAGAGGTTTGTCTGTTTTATTGTTATCCTTGTCCAAGAGCTGATCCTCGCCCAGAGTATTACCGGAGGATATGGATGATTCCCTGCCAACAAAGTCCTACGATACTTTGAGAGACAAAGCAATCAGAGATTTACTGCACGAACATGACTTACTCACAACCGGGGACCGTAAGACGATTGTCGCACGACACCAGCGGTAAGCCTCTCTAGTCTTACCTATGTTTCAATCAGAATGACTAGCGTTCTAGCTGGGTCATCATATACAATGCCAATCTAGACAAGACGCATAAAATGCGCAAATCTTTGACCTCTCTTCGACGCGACTTACGGGATTGGGAAACGCAGCAAAAGAACAAAACGAAGCATGATCTTCCAGATCCTACTGCGTATCAGGTAAAATTGTTCATCCACATATTCATCGTACCGTCGAGATGGATACTAACAATGACGTTGACTCTGTTTCTGTAGATACAACAAAAATCAGAATTCGACATGTTGGTGGAGGCCGCGAGACCAAAGGAAACTTCTAGTGCTATTCGAAAAACATTATCTCGTCATGGACAGACGGAACTTAGTGATAGCTCAAGATCAAGAACCAAGAGCTTGTCTCCTGCCGAGACTATCATCATCGTTGACTGTGAAGGGGAAAATTAGCTCGGACTATTCGCCTTCGTTCGTTGCGATTTAAATTAATCAAAGTACTATGTATCGTAAATGAAACTTTTGGGCCTTCTTTATTTGATAACATTACAATCCATTACAATCCTCCTCAATCTCAGTCTTGTCGAAGCAAAGGTTTTCAGTCAATTACCGTAGTAAGCAGTATTGTTTCAGCAGCCCGCATCTCTCGCTATCTGTCGATAGCTCCGCTGTAATAGCGTATCAGTGAAAAGCAACGAAAGGTACCTAAGAAACTGCGATGCTATATGCGAAATAATACTCTCTCCAAGCTTTCAGGTAAACACTCGTTATCACAGACGAACTCCTTGCTGAGATTACATTCAATGAGGGTGATTCGAACAATCTGGCACCCAAAATATAAATCTGCCCCAAACAGTAATTAGCCGTGGAGGGGTTCGTCTCCGCCTACTAACCCATGGCTCGGGTTGGTCATTACAAAAAAGGGATCGATCAATGCCGCGTTGCTCATGTCGGAGACTCGAACCACTGAAGTCTTGATCGGGACGCGCTGTGGGGCAGGACGAGGATTACCAGACTTACATAGTGGCATTAGGTGAGAGTCCCCACGCCGCGAAAGAAACGGAACTAACTCTGACCTACCCATACAGTAATATTCGCCCCCATGAAATCCGTTTCGAGCTCATGGCAACTTTATATTTTCATCGTTTATGTGAAGACCGAGAAGAATCCGCGCGCCCGATTGATTGACCTTGTTCTGAAGTGAGGGGAAATCGGGGCACAATGCTGTAACAGGCCTTGCTGTATACGTGCGGTGATCTTTCAAAGCGGATCGTTTCTCTTTCCAACGTGGAACATCGTGGTGAAATATGCATATATACATACATACGCAGCCGCCGTTGTTTAGAATTCGCCAGGTGAGTTCGGACAATAATGTATAGCTTTACCATACGGAGGACAACGAAAGAACAAGGAGGAATGGGAATGGGAATACCGTTGCCCCGGAATTTCTCTATCCGCTTTGAGTTTCCTGTTTTCGCGGTACTTTATTCAGCCCTTTTCACAACATTATCTCGAGCCAGCTTGGAGAGGCTTGGAATATTTATGATTTCGTCTCGAAAAGAGAAAAATGGAAGCAAGCATTCAGGTTGTCATTGTCCACTTATGTGACTTTGTTCTTAATGACCCCGCCGGATCCAAGCCGTGTGCGCTTCCGTCAAAAATTACGAGATATTCGCGTGGTTACAAGAGCTTCCAAATATGTCTTGATCAACCCAAAGGCTTTAATGAGGACAAGGGCAAAAGCCGATTGCGGGCCTGCGGCTTTATAAAGAACTCCCTTTCAACGATGGCTGCAATTTTCGTCCCCACTCGATAAATTCCTTTCATCCCCCTTACATTAGGATCCTTTATTCCTTTGTGAACTGATGTCGATGGCGGATCATTTCACCATTGTAAGAGGCTGTTCATCCTTTTCATTGGCAAAGCGTCTAATAATTCTGTTGTCTGGACAGAACTCTGCATCCACGTCTACTTTTGGAAAAGAACAGAATTCCCTGTTGAGGCTGAACGGTCCGCATAAGGTCACATATCAAGCCAAATCTGGCTGGGACTACTACGTCGATGTTACGCAAAGACCAATAAATATGGACTTGATACTTCCACATTATCGTCCACGGCATCAGCCAACCGACCATCGTCTGAACATGTTCGTTGGTACTGAGGCAGGTCCTGTAAAGATCAAACTTGTGAGTTGCTGTATATCTCCTTTAATCTGTCATTCGTACCCTGACGCATATACACAGTGTCGAAGCTTTGCTCGCTGCAAATTCTATCTAGAAGTGCAAGCCTCCATGTCGGACGTGACCTTATGGTTACCTTCAGACTTCAGGGGCCGAATACAATATTCTGGGAAGGCCAAGTTTTCCTCTGGATTCATTAACAGAGTGATGCAGAACGTCTATTTCTCCGGTGACGATGACACCGATGCAACCAACGAAGATTGCCTTGTCGTTGTTACAAACGGGAACATCATGTTCCGTATGTGGGATGTACAGACGTGTGCCCCGGAGAACACGCAAAAAGAGACATTAAAACGAATGTTTGGTTGTTCAAAAAAGGCCCCCGAAACGAGTATTGACTGGGATTTTCTTCTCGAGGATTAACTGCTCTCTTCTATGCTCTTCTATCACTCTTATGCTTTCATGATCTCTCAACATCCAGCATTGAGTATGATTTTTCGTTCTTCATACACGGTTTTCGTTCTCTTTTTGCATTTGCATCTTATCGCTTTCGACCTTCGTCCGCGGCTTTTTTTCTTCACACAATATCTCATTCTTATATATCCATCGCGACACTGTAGCAATACCAAACTGTAGACTATACATTCGCACATCTATGTAGCATTACCTCTGTACAGCACAATTTCCTTTTGTCTTTTGCTCTGGCGACCGTTGTCTTTGATGACGTTCAATTGAATTGAATGTTAGGTTTCTTACTAATATTATACCGAGTAAGGAATTTTGAATTGCAGGCAACGGTACAAAAATGATACGACACTTGGAATCGCATCCATGATACGAACCTACAACACGTGTACAGTATCACCCCGAAGCCGCCCCAGCGCAGGTGATACCAGCAGAACTCGGGACGTTAGAGCAAAGGACTTCCGCGGAACCCGATGGAGGATTCACCTCAAAGTTTTCGAAAATAATCCCACAAGTCCCATCTGCGGGACAGTCGAGGTTGGCTACAACGGACCCTTCAGCTCCCGAGCTATAAACCAAGTCCAGATCAGGAAAAGAATCTCGATAAAAATATAAAATGCGTACGTTGTACCCTTGAAGTTGGAAAATACAATATCAGTGAGCATGTGTGCACTGGGCACACATGTTCCTGTGGATTCGTAACAAACTTGAATTTGAGCAGCATAATCAGAGCTGTCAACTGTTATGTCGTTAAAGGTGACATTGTTAACAGTAGCGACACCGTGGCCAGATGAACCGTCCCAAAGCTTGATACCAGTAGCTTTAGAGGAAGAAGTCATTGTTGCACCTGAAACAAAGATATTTGTGACCTAGGAAGTAACATGAGCCTTAGCGATACAGTAATAAGAAGAAGAGATACATACGGTATTACCACTCGTCCCTTCACCTAAGCTTCCAATGGAGAGTCCATGAGAGCCACTACAGCTTATGTCGGTGACTGTCACAAAATTCGCGCCGCCTTTGAAACTGGTTTCAGGAGAAATCAATGATTTTGAGAAAGAGTGAAGGGTATATGAAACTAACGCTATACAGTCGTCTTGGTTGTCCACAACGACATTCGTTATTGTTACTTGGGACGCAGGACCGATATCAAATCCGTCTGTGTTCTTCGGGGTTACGCCGTTTGAAGGGATGGCTTGCATGGTGAGCCCACTGTAATGAATGTTCGTGGCATCTCCAGCAGCAGACATAAACACGTTTGGTGCGTTTCGAACGAGAAGATTCTCGATCGTGATGTCTGAACCTCCGTCAATGTACACCAGTGTCGGACGAGAGTAACTGCTATCCTCGTTGAATTCTACATGAACAAAGTGAGAACGGATAACTTTTTAAGTTCGGTTGGAAGGGGCGGGATAATGACCTGTCCAATACGGGAGACCATTGCCATCGAGGAGTCCAGCTCCCGTGACAGAATGAATGGTCGCGCCAGTGATATCGTCGAGTAAAATAATGGCTTTGACACCGTCCCAAGCATCGAGATCGTCCGTCAACTTGAGGGTTCCCTCGAGCTGCATCTCACAATTATTGCAGCCCGCAAAACTCAACGTCGACCCTAATTGAAATACAACTCCAGCAGGGATAAGAATGATACCTCCATCTCCACAACTCTGTATGGCTTCTGTGATGGAAGGCACGTCATCAACTCCTGCTTCTCCATGAGAAGTAGGGGTACAAGTGGTCCGTTTTTCGAACGCAGCTCCGAGCGTTAGACAAGGGACAACAGTGAACAGAAACAAGAGGAGAATGTCCAGTCTGGCAGCCATGGGGGTGGGGCCCCAGAAGGTAACAACCGGCAACGTCTAATAGGACTAAGATGTGCTGCGGGCGGCCCGGAGATTCATGATGTTTTATGGCTTTACCAAGGTATATCCGCGAAAATGAGAGTCATTATGTCGCTTGAGAAATAAGCAAATGATACTCCAATATAGATTAGGGTAAAACCCGGAAAAATGGTCCAAAATATGTGAAAGGGACGGCGGTCCGTTGCCTCCAACCTTGAAAAGCCTGTTGGCATTGAGACCGATGACCATAAAACCGCGCTCAGATGGTCTTGATAGCGTCCTGTAGCATGCCATCAGAGCTGAGAACATCAAATCATAAATTTGGAACCAGTGGTGATGTGTGCAAAAGAAAGAGAAGAACTTCATTCGTGCTTACAGGAATGCTACACACCTTAAGGCCCACGAGGTTCAGAATCAGACGTAGGGTTGAAACACATACGAAGAGGAGAGAGTAAGGCTACAAGGTCATTTGCGATTGATCATACATAGAATATATGGCTACGTCCCACGCCCAGGTATACGTCGAAGACTATACACGGCCTGTGAGACAATCCTCTACGGTCTTCACCAATGCAGGGTTTTCCAAAGCAGCTGCAACTCGTTCCTTGTCATTTAACTGCTTGTTCACTACGCCGGGCTAAGATGAAATGACCGTGTATTCGAAGCAAGGAATAATCCTCACCTGCATTTTCGCTCTGATGCGACCCAGGTTTAACGACGATGTCCAGCTTGAATCGAGTTGGTAAGCTTCTTATAAGTCGGACCCGGATGGATAAACCTGGGTGATGTAAGGACTGCAAGTCGTTTTATCATGTAGGAGTTGGTTCACCTATAAGAGTGGACATGCCGCAATGTGGTACAGTAGGCGTGAATTCTACCTTGACCCGGTTCTCTCCAATGTCAATTTGAGGAGCAGAAACGACATGTAATTCTTCAAGTGTATTCGGATGCTCGGGGTCGTAGATGTTCCTAATGAGATCTAAGCAGTGCAGTTCGCTGGTCAACAGCATTATCAAGTAGAAGAAGAAAAGCGCACCAAAAATTTCATCCTGATCTATCGCTTCCTCCTCCTCATCCGTCTCTTGATCTGGCTGGGACCATTCAGGCTCATTGATCCATAGGGATTTTTTGGCAGTCGAAAGTGATCGAGAAGAGTGAGACTTAGCAGATGAGCGAAACACGGTTGGGTTGGGATTGAATATTTCTCCAGACATGATGATGATGAAGCAAAATCAATACAGTAAGCGCCTATTTTCGAATTCGGTCGAGAAGTCTTCAAGCTCATGCTCAGGATACAATTTTGAGATTGCTTTGAATACAATGTTTATAGCCATGATAACATGCAGATGGTGATAGGAGTACACATGTATTTGGTCCTCCAAAGATCCCTACTTTCCAACCACCCGCCAATTTCAGCTTCCAATTTCACCGCTCAGCTTCCTCTTTCGACCGTGGTTTCTCTTCTCCTGCCCGCTGTTGACTATCTGCGCCAGCGACTTTTGCCACTCTTCGTAAGAAAAATTTGGCTCCTCGAGCGCGTCTGAAGCGAAGAATAGCTCTGGTAAAGCGTTTGGTTGATCAATATTGCGTTTGATAAGTTTGAAGAAGCGCGATGAACGCAGTGAATCTTGGGGGCTATGAGTAGCTTTTGATGGTATGGCGAGTTCGTCGGGTAGAGTGGGCAAACCCAATTCGCGTCTGATATCCTTCCACTGGCCAAGGATTCGTATTTTGTCATGACTTTTGGCATAGTTTCGAAAAGTGGTAGCGAAAAAGATGTGCTGTATACAGAGAATGAAGAGAAAAATGCCTGGAATTATAATGATTCGGCGAGAATAGGATGGATAACGTTTGTAGCCCATAATAAGATGGTGGTAGATGGCGTCAGAGTCGTAAGTATGTGAGAAATTGCCGGACGGAAAAGCCGCGGCTCTTTTGCCTAACAAATACTATGTCGACCTCAATGTTTCGCCCATTGGGTCGCTGGTTGACGACCAGACCAGGAAATATCCGAAATCTAGCTACGGGAGGACCGTCACTTCCGCGTCGTCCTCCTCCAAGTTCCTCAGGTTCTTCTGCTCCACCACCACCAAATGCGAAAATTCTTGCCTTTGCCCGGTATTCGCCGTGGTCCAGCTCGTTCCCGGGGAGTTGGAGAACCCGGGCATTACTTCAGGTACTGAGTCCACGGAATGAGACCACAAGCGCAGAATGCTAAATTATTCTTAAATATTAGTCGGCATTCTACGCAGTGGGCATAGTACTCGCGACAAATTACGTCGATTCCGTGTGGTTTGTACGTGGCTTGCATCTACTTCGCTTCGCTTCTGATGAGCCTTTTATAGCCAGCAGGAGCGGAAACGGGCTACGCGTCACCCAGAGAGATCAAAGTCGCCATTGAAAAGTTGAAGCAGGCTTTCCCAGAGGAAGACCGTGTCTCGACGGATTCGAACGTGTTGACTGAGCATGGTTCATCGGATAACTCCTACCATCCTGCTTCACCACATGCTGTCGTCGTGCGTCACATAGCTGCCCGTGTACTGTTCACCAAGCTCAAAAACGTTCTACCTAGGTGCGAGCATTGAGTACAGAAGACGTTGTTACGATTGTAAAAATCGCAACAGAATGTAGAATGCCGATGGTAGTATACTCTGGAGCGACCAGTCTAGAAGGTCACTATTCTGGGGTAGACTTATTTTCCTACACTCTTGCAAGGTGTTTGTAGCTCTAATACTCCCATAGGTATCTCCAGGGAGCATCTGCATCGACATGTCGGCCATGGACAAGATTCTCGAAATACATGGTACATTTACATCTTTTGTTTTTAGTCGATATATTGACTAGTACGTAGAGGCCGATTCTGACCTGATCTGCCAAGCTGGAGCTCAATGGGAAGATATCAATCAGACACTCAAAGACAAAGGCATTCCGTTATTTTTTCCTGTGAGTCTCCTTATATCGTCCCAAACTCAAACCGACTTTTATATCTCGCAGCTTGATCCTGGTCCCGGAGCAGTGAGTATCATACCCGTCTCCGCTGCCAACATGAAATGAAAAATGAGATAGACGATCGGCGGAATGGTTGGGACTGGATGTAGTGGGAGTGCGTCAAATTGAGAAAAATTTTCTTCCTTCGAACTCAACGTGACGACTCTTTTAGCCAACGCCGTAAGATACGGTACCGCCAAGGCTGAATGGTTCTTGAATTTAGTACGAGTTTCGCTGGTACTTCACGGTTAGTACTCACAGACAATTCTAGACAGTAGTACTCCCTAACGGAGAAGTCATCAAAACCCGCAGACGAGCGCGAAAATCCTCTGCAGGTTTTGATACTACGAAATTATTCATTGGGGCGGAAGGGACACTAGGTATTGTCACCGAAGGTACGTGGATATATCTAAAATCCATTAAGACTAGGCATATGTCCTCATTGAGAAATAAAAGCAACCCTCCGTCTGGCTCCCCGTCTACCAACAAAAGTAGCTATGGCACAGTTTGGCAATGTTGAGCAGGCAGTCAATGCTGTTCAAGATATTCTAAACAGTCCATACGGATCTCATATACGTGCGTAATGTTGAGCGAGTCCGTACTTTGTATTCACTTAACGCAGAATGTGTCGAACTGCTTGACGATCGCAGTACGCATCAAGTTTCGTCTTGTTGCTAACATATTCTACATATTTTGACACATTTTTTCACTCCCCGTCATAGTGATGGACGCTATCAATACCGCTGGCGTCAGTACTAAACTTCTACCCGTTCGCGATACGCTCTTCTTCAAACTCCAAGGCGACGACCCCGCGATCAAGCTAACTGCTAAAACTGTCCAAGCAATTGTCAAGAAACACGGCAGCGACCGGTTCGAGTTTGCCAGTACTGATCAAGAAGCAGAGGATTTGTGGCAAAATCGGAAATACGCTCTTACGTCGACAATGGGTGCACATCCTGGGACTAGATGTTGGACCACCGATGTCTGGTTAGTCAATTCTAGAACTAGATCTAGAAATATCGTATTCGTTCTCATTCGCGTGCTTCAATATGTAGTGTACCGGTCTCGAAGCTTCCTGAGCTTGTATACGAAACGAAAAAGGATCTTGCTGAAGCTGGGTTACGAAGTACCATAGTCGGGTAGGCATTACAGTACCGACATCATTCAATGCTGATTTAATTTGGGATACGCAGCCATGTAGGGGACGGCAACTTCCATGCCTTAATTTTATTCGAAAACGACGACGAACTTCCGAAAGTGACTGATGCTGTGCATAGATTGGTGCATCGAGCATTGGACCTCGACGGGACTTGTACCGGAGAGCATGGTGTTGGTATAGGGAAGAAGCAGTACCTTTCAGAGGAATTGGGTGAGGGGACGGTCGAGTTGATGAGATCGATAAAGAACGCAGTGGATCCTCTGAATCTTTTGAATCCGGGGAAGGTCTGTCCTCTGTGCTTACCTTCATTGCCCTTGGCTGACTAGAAGCGAAATATAGCTCTATCCTGACAAGAGCAAATCCCGCACTCAGTAAGGAAATCTTTCAATGTCGTATTGAACATCTTTAGTGTTTGTCCTCTGAATTCCGTTCATTGTCAAATGTACTATTCTATGTCTTCAGTTGAACGGAAAAGGCTTTGTTCTGAGAGACTAGCCTAGCTCCATTCAAGCTGAAGCATATTGCAACAATGATGATGATTCTTCTAAATCATGACCTTGGCTATGTACATATCATTTCACATAAATTTGAATTTGAGTGATAGATATAACAAACTCATAAGAGCAACCACACCCAGGAGGAGCCCAGGAGCACCCTTACAGGTGCATACTTATTGAGTTCTTCAATGTACATAGTCTGGTCTTGTTATCCTATACTCTATCCTACTCTTTATACAACGACTAACACGGCGCTTAAGCGCTTATACTTGACTACGCCCACAAGGAGGCCCGCCGACCAACGGGGTACCACCAACAAAGCCAAAAAGCCTGCCAGTTTGTGACTCGACTGAACAAGATACATCCTCCGCTGGGATGAATTCTTCATAAAAAGTTCGTATGTTCTCATTATTTGGAGTTTACTAAGTACGTGGTGCGGCATTGAAAACAGAGTTTGTAAGCGTCAATAATCATCTTCATAAGGCTTCACGTCCTGCATTTTCTCCATCATCTCTCGTAGCTCGGTCTCGGCAAATACTGCAGCTTCTTTGGCAACCTCGAGTTTCTTTTCTAGTTCTTCAGCCGTCATGGGTCGCTGACCATCACAATCATCAACGACGCCGATGTTTTCAAAACGGCGGACGGTGTTGCCGACTCGAGGCATAAATCCATGGCGGTCCCAACCGCTATCGTTGAAAGCTAGTACTGCTCGAACTGCAGCATTATTAATATCACGATGCAGCTCCTCCAGCTTTGATAACTGGACTTCCATCCAACGTGCCCGACGTTCGAGCCCCAGGGTCAAAGCGGCAACTTCATCCTCCCGCCCATGTCCGTCTTCACCAAAAGTAACAACGGCGGCACCTTCATCAAAAAGGTCATCTCCTTTGAGCATGTCACCAAGCACACCATCAAAAGACGAAGTGGTGTGAGGAAGAAGACGAAGTAAATCAGAGATGGTTTGTGTAAGAGTTTCCAACAGCTGTTGGAACGAGGAGACAGCATTATCGATAGATCCGGAAGGCACGTTATTAGCAAACGAGCCTCCACCGACTGAGAGCGCCGACAATGCGTGTACGAGTGGCCCATATTCCAAAGGCATTTTAGCTGCAGGATTTATTTTGTGCAAGTCAAAGAATGGATGCTTTAGAAGGTCCATTGAAGCATTCATAATATGAATGTCCTCCATGAGATCCTCGAGCGAGGTGGGTACATGGCGTTCGACCGATTGCGAACGGGAATTGTTGGAGCTAGTATTGGTGGAAGGACCCTTGAAACCGGAAGTGTGGGCAGTATCCGAGGCAGTAGCGGAAGGGAACGAAGAGTTTTCATTGGTGCCAAGTTCCTCCTCTTTATGGGGAACACGGATTGGCCGAGTAACTGGTTTGTTTTTCTTCGGCTTTTTGGAGAGGAGGGGTACTTGGGTTGAAAATTCTGAGGAACCTGGCAACGCTTCCTTAACGTTGGTCGCCTTTATATCTACACGCTTGTTTGTAGCCTTCTGGGTATTGGCAGCTCGAGCAGAAGTAACTCCGGCTTTTTTCGCAGCTTTATCCTTCTCTGCCTGCGCAGCTTTCTCCCGCTCTGCTTGTGCCACCCGTTCCCGCTCTGCTCGCAACAAGCGCTCCTTTTCTTTCTCCAATCTTGCATTCTCCGTTTCAAGTCTCACCTTCTCTGCCTTTTCCTTCTCAAGCTGAGCCTTCAATACTGCAGCCCTCTCTTTCTCGGCAGCTTTTTCTGCCGCCATACGGGCTTTCACTACCGCTTTTGCCGCAGATTTTTCTTGTGCTATTTTCTGACGTTCAGCGGCTTTTGCAGCAGCAGCAGCTTTCTTCGCAGCTTTGCGTTCCGCCTTTTCTTGACTCTTGAAATCCTGTTCAATAGGCGTTATAGTAGATAGGGAGGGAGTATCCTGAGAAGTAGGATCCGATATGATAGATGATGGTAGAGCAGGGAAATCAGAGGGAGAGGAAAGGGAAGGTCCTTCCGCTACCTCAGCCCGGAGTTCTGTGTGATAATGCGATGATAGGAGAGTAGAAAAGAAATAATTATCAGCGTCAGAATAGACGTGAAAATCATGAGGTGAGAAGAGGAGGAGGAGGGAGAAGACGCTCGGTGCGGATTACGTTCGACCATATAAGAAGGCTTTGCAACCACAGGCGAAATGAGTCCATGCATAGATCGAGAGGATGGAAGGCCGAATGCATATTTTAATGTCGATAATAGATCTTCCGCACTGAAAGCACGGCAGCTTGGTACACAGGCAGCCCTCCCCTCAGAAGAAAAAGAATATGACTCACCATGCGCGTTCCCATTTCCATCATTCACGCTAACGGGCGTATTAAGGTTTTGCAGGCCTGGAGGAAAAGATAATCCGGGGGGAGGCCCGTACGTCGTATCCACTGGATGCATATAATGCGACTCTGGAGCTGGTGCAAATCTCGCAGCAGACATAATTGCAGGATCATGAAATTGAGGCTGAGCGCCTTTGTATAATCCTTGAGAATCTGAACACTATGTTAAGGACCGAAAAGACAGAGACAGCGACAGCAACGCTCATACCGTGACGTAACAAATTCGGACGGTCTTGGTTGCTTTGAATAAAATCCCGTAATTGGGCCTCGCTTACGCCGCCTGATGAATCAAACGGTTGAAATCGAGATTGGGACGGCACATACATCGGCTGAGCTTGAGCCGGCATCATGGGAGACGGTGCAACAGAATTGGAAGGAGAATAACCAAAGTCTTGTCGGCCATGTAATGACCATTGAGAGACCGCAGGGGAATGCGGAAGCTCACTTTGGCCGAAAACATTGCTATTGGCTTCATTATTGCTAGACGTACTCATCGTAGATGATATCTGTAGTGGTGACGAGGCAGTTGTAGCTGTTCGAGGACCATGACGGGCAAAACCAAATCGGGAAACCCTAGGAGCAGAATCGTCGCCGATAGCATTGGGTGTATTAGGCTTGATGGGGGCGGAAACGGTAGGTGAATCATCTGCGCCATCAGCAAAAGGATTGAATGACCCCATATAATTTGGCTTGTTTGAGCTCTGGTTCTCGATAGGCGTGACCGTACGCTGGACTACCGTTGGATCATAGATCGCATGGGCAGGATTATGCGGATACGGTAGTCCAGGAGGAATGTACGAAGAAGTAGACGCAGACGAGCGCAATGAAGGGAATGCATCCAGGAAGGACCCCAAGAACGGTGTTTGTGACTCTGGCTCCAAATCGGCAAACTCATCATGTGTGGCCTCGTCCCCGGCGAGATTCAAGTCCAGACTGAAAGAAAATCCACCCAGCCCGCCATCAGCCTGACTGAGATTTTCGAGCGTGCGATCGAAATCGGGGAACGGACTTTGTGCGACTACGGTGGGAAGAAGGGATTCTCGCCTAGACGTAACGTCGTCAAGCAATGCCCGCGCAGCATTCGACATCTGATATGACGTCTGCTGTGCAAGTATAGGCGTCTGAGGTGATGCAGTAGCGATACGAGAAGGGTGGGAAGGACCTGCTAAGCCAGGGGGTGGTGGTAAACCAGGAGGAGCAGATAACCCAGGTGGGACAGCTGGCAATCCCGGTGGTGGCGATGGATTTGAAGGGATGGATGATTGTATGGATTCATCTGACTGAGGATGAATTTTTGGAGAGCCTGGTCCGTTCTCCTGGGAGCTAGTAGATTCCGAGTCTCCAGCGGCAGAAGGAGTCGGAGAAGGCGATGGTGCGCGCACAATAGGTTCCTTTTTCTTTCGAGTAACAGGCGAAGGAGGCTTAGGAGGAAGCGAAGGATGAGCTAACGGGAGAGTAGAAGCGGGGGTTGGAGGACGAGATAAGGTCTCCTGGGATGCAAGCTTGGCTGAGGATTTCTTCTCTTGAGGTCGGGTAGACGGACGAGCCTCAGTTTGAGGCCGCATCTGCCGAGTTGTTGCACTAACTCGCTTCCGTTGGGTTGAAACGATATTAGGGACAGTGGGTTGTAGATTGGTTCTCGAACCCCAAGCCGCTGAACGAGGTAAGCCTGATGGGAAAATCAGGATTTGAGACAATGATAGCTAGATCGAAAAACAAACCGTCCGCCTCATCGCCTCTCTTACTGGAAATAACACTCCTAGCTTTCGTTTCTGTTGTCTTTATGGTATGTTTCCTGATCTTTTGTTAGATTTGAGAAGAAGTGAAAAAGTGAATGCGATCCTACAGCGTGGTCAAATCTTCCTTCGTGAAACAGTCCTTTTCGTCGCCCCATTCGTGAAGGTTCATGCAGTTGTGGTCGCTGCAAGTTACACTGCGGAGGAATGCCATGCAATACTTGGTGGTGCCGTAACTAGCTCGCATAAGCTCTCGTCCACCGGCAGGGGACGTACTGCCATCTACAGCGGCAATGGCACGAGCAGCGTCTTCACGCCGATGATAGGTGATATAGACACCCACAACCGGTGCACCACCCCCAGACGAATTCCTCTTGACTAGAATGATCTTATTAATCTTGCCATATTGTCCAAAGTACTCGCTGGATCGTAGAGTGGGGATATACTAAAAGCAGATTAGATCATACATAGACAAATGACCAACTAATTCGCACCTCTTCCTTTGCAAACCTAGGTCCAATACCGACAACGTAAACGACGTTCCGCTGAACTACACGGACATTAGCTAGTTGACGTCGACCAAGCGCGTCGAGTTCTTTGCGCTCGCGCTCCCTCTGCTTTTTCTGCTGAGTGAGACGCTTATGGCTGATTAAAAATCAGCACATTAGTAGCTAGGGCAGAAAGAGACACATACTCTTGAGTGGCAATCGGCTTGAACTCCACAGCTTCATCGGTGTACACCCTTCTGCAAGCAGGGCATCGCTTGTTGAGATTCTCCTTGATGTGGTGCCAGCAGAACCGACAAATCTACGAATAAGGATTAACAGTGATTTTTTTTTACTTGAGGGCATTGTGAAGGAATTACCTGGTACCCACATACACATGGTTTAAAATTGAGGTCGGATATGTCCATCTCTTCAAGACAGAGAGGACATTCGGCATCTTCCTGTATTTCACAGCAGTAATGAGATTTATGGAAATATACCCGCAAAAGAGATCGCACCGCCTCATCATCGCTCCAATACGCGTCTTGGACCCCCGCCAGTACATGCGACTTGGATTGAGGGACCGAGAAACCAGCATGAACGACAGGAGCTGGAAGAGCATGATGAATCCTAGTAGTTGTCATAATTATAGAGCAAGAAAGTCGGGCACTAGTGAGGATCTAGAGGCAACACCGATGTAGGTAGTAATCAAAGAAGGAAACGCGAGGAAGGGCTTCACAACGAGGCTGCTTGCTTTGTCAGCTCCGGTCGGCATCGGTCTGCATCGGTCAGCCTTCCGGAAAATGTGACAATGGCGGTCTCAAGACCCTCAATGAATATCTGAATTTCCTTACATTATTATGCTTTCAATAAGAAAGTACAATGACAATATGAATTCGAAATCAACGAAACGTCCCAGGACAGCGACGAGAGACAGAAATACTCGGCATATGGCAGCTTATCCCTCACTGAGACCGCCCGATCACTGCCCAATCTATTTCTGCTCCTTCGCCATATTTCTCTTTGAGCCATTCGTTTGCTAGTCTAAAGTGCTCATTGCCAAGGAAGCCTCTGTAGGCGGAGAGCGGCGATGGATGAGCAGATCTTTTATCCAAAATACATCAACAAACCATCACGTAGAACGAACTAAAACCTACTTCAACACAAGATGTTTCGTCTATGTCAGGGGAAGAAATTCAATATTACAGGAGAAGGACTGTGATGGTGGTATGTACCTCATCAATTCCGATCTTGTCACAGGTCTTCTGCGCAGGAAGACCCCAAGCCATGAATACAACACCATTGCCCTGAGGTCTTGAAGTGACAGCCTTGAGAGCTTGCGCGGTAAGTGTTTCCCAACCTTTTTTGGCATGAGAGCCTGCTTTATGAGCTCGAACAGTGAGGGAAGTATTTAGCCATAAAACTCCAAGCTGTGCTAGCGGGGTTAGGTCACTACATAGATTTAACGTGAATACAAAGAAAAGGGTTGTTGTTATGCGCTAACCCAGTAGCAGGAACCTTGAATGTGGGTATATCGGCGGCCATTTGCTTGTATATATTCTTAAGAGATCCGGGCAGCGTAGTGGGAGGCAGAACAGAGAATGATAAACCTGTATCAAATATCATCGTACAATCTCATTCGAGAATGTCAAAAGGACGAACCATGCGCTTGGCCAACGTTGTGATACGGATCCTACAATCTGGGTTCGACGTTTGTAAGATACCAGAAGTTCGATGGCGCACCTGTCCCAGTATCACAACCTTCACAATATCCAATGGTGTTAATCGCGACCAAGAGTAAACATCTTTTACTAGATGAAGAGTGGAGAATTGGAATGAGAGTTCGATGTATTGTTGCGATGAACATACATGGAGGATAAACTGTCGAGGTTATAAGCTCGGTAGCTAAAAAGGTTTTAAGCTGGGAGGCATGTTCGTGAGCGAAATAATCACATTTATTGAAAGCGTACCTTGAGAAAATAAGTCTTCTCGAATTCGCTCTTCAGAACTTCATACCACGAAGGATCCATCGTCTCTGTTTCCAGCGCGTCAAGCTGCGCAGCAATAGTAGCACGCAGCTCTGCGGGCAGCGTTTCCGAAGAATTGCTTGTGGATGACGTAGCTTTGGCCACAGAATACACTGAATGTCTAAACAGCGCTGTGTCAGTACTAGCATACTATTGGCGATAGATTCTGAGATCGTCCGACACTTGCTGAATGGATTTCGTTGTTTTGACAGAGCGCGCAATCTTTGTCACAAGCATACTTGGAGCTGAAGAGCTCGATGCTGGTGACTTGACTTTGGGCATGGAATCGTTGCAACAAATCGTAGTGGCAGAAGTTCGAACTTAGCCACTGAGTCAGAGGCGGGTCATGATTAGAGGCTCAGAGTCAGACTCAGAGCGCGTCGAAACGCGATGCACGTGATTTCGGAAAATATTGCCAGGCAGGAACTAGTGACTTACATTGCGGGCCATGGAACATCGCCTTTCCGAGCTCCTACAATCCAACTGTGCTATTGGGGAGGAAGATATAGCCCACATTTCGGACATATGTTCTGAGTCCACTGAAGAATTGGACCGCTTGAACTCCCAGATTCTTCAACTACAGCTTTCCTTGCAGTCAGTTACAATCAAGCGTGACGAGCTCCAAACAAAGCTCGGTGTATACCGGGCTGCTCTTTCTCCTCTTCGGCGATGTCCAACGGAAATATTTCAACAAATCTTCACCTGGACCCTCCCACCTTTTCCTGTACTTTCTTTCGACGAAGGTCCTCTCCTTCTCGGACGTGTTTGTAGCCGCTGGCGCTCTATATCCATTAGTACGCCAGAGCTATGGTCTGCTGTTCACGTCACGATTCCGGAAGCGTTGCATACATACCAAGGATTCAATCGAAAATGCGAGGAACTTCGACATTGTTTATCTACCTGGTTGGGACGAGCAAGTATGCTCCCTCTCCATATTTCTGTGTTTTCGCGAAACGAGAACAGCTATCAAGAGGACGTATCACAGGTGGCTCTTACACTTCAGGTGCTTGTCCCTCTATGTCAGCAGTGGAAGTATCTTAGCCTTCAGGTACCTGCCTCTTGCTTGAGTGTATTCAGTGAGCTTCAAGGAATCGACGTCCCATTGCTCGAATCAGCAATCATTGCATGCTCCGACTCAAACCATTTCGTTCTGGAAAGTACCAATTATCACCCCTCTTTCTTAGAGACTGCCCCCTCCCTTAGACGTCTCAACCTTGGTGATGCCGGACCTCTCTTCCGTCCTGTTGTTCCTTGGAATCAACTGCGTTTCCTATCGTTAGGCCACAACGACTGGAACTTCGGTTCCCGAGAGCTCGCGCACATCCTCACTGAATGTACAGAGTTGAGGGAATGCGAGTTGCGGATACCCGCCCGTACTGATCTAGTCAGGTCGTTGAGCAACCCGATCTGTCTTCCTCACTTGGAGAGGCTTTCTTTGAACACCGACACCACTCTTATGACGGAGGTCCTCAGCCAGCTTTGTCTGCCCAGTCTTCAGCGTCTGCACTTGGATGGATACCGCGCGGTGCTGAACTCTACGGTTTTAGCCTCATTGAGGGGCATGCTTCACAGATCGCATTGCCCTCTGCAAAGTCTCAAACTAGACATCCAACGCTCCTCCAGTTTGACAACATCGTCCGTGATAGATTTATTGAAGACGATATCTTCGCTAAAGACATTGGCACTCATGGAGGGCAACATATGTACACATTTTCCTATTATCGACGAGGAACTTTTAAATGCGCTCTCTGACTCGGAAGACCTACTTTGCCCTCGTTTAGAGTTCATCCACCTTCCCGATCGATTCACTTTCTCAGAATTGACCTTGGAACGGTTCCTAGCTATGCGGCTAGACCCTTCCCTTGAAGAAGTTACAACATTGCAGGCTGCTCACATTGTTAGCTGCAGAAGCGGACTAGCTGATCGCTTTGCTCGGTTTAGAGACCACGTTAAGATCGTGGAAGATATTCCGTATCGAAGTTTACCCTATGGAGGTCGTCCAATGTCACGGTACTTAGAGTACTCAGACGAATATTAAAGTTTCGGAAAGTCCTTTTGTACGTAGTATTCTGAGGTAAGGCTCTGACAGCAAAGTAATGTAGTCGGAGTAATTAGATATGCAGTGTGGCAAAACGAAGTCTGGCAATATGGATTTGGGCAAATCCTGACTACCAAGCTATACTATCAGCGGAAAAAAGCTTCACATTGAAGGAACCAGTGGCAGGAGGTTGACCAGGAAATTGAAGGACCTGAGAAGGCAAATCAGTTACTTGAATCTACAGAGGCAATATTTGGGAAGTAGAATATAATTCAGTTAACGGTTTTCTAAGCCGCCGCTCCTTGGAGCGTAATGCATCGCAGCATGGTTTACTTAGAGCCCAGTGCGTTTCATCTTGCATGAGTTCAAAGAAGACAATCTCACCTCCAGTCATCCCGAGTTGTGTCAGTTTTCATGGCACAGGAACGATAAGGTGTTTCGTAGCGGTCTAACCGCATGAGAGTTAGGAAAGCGAGAAAATGAAAAACAGATGATTCACACGGGTTATACTCATCCTGAGTAAGCAGTATCCCACGAAAAAGATGGTGTCCAGCACAAGCGAAAAAGAAAACGAAACTGCCCCAGAGAGGCTCGAACTCTCGACCTTCCGATGCACCGTACAACATCTAATGAATACGTTTGTAGTAACAGTCGGACGCTGTAACCAACTCAGCCATGGGGCATACATTCGGAAGCAGTAATCAAAGATCAATATTCCATGATGCCTTCAGAAGGGACTGTGGCTACATACCCTGGTCCCTCTCCCTGAGACACATTCTCGCAAGACAAGTTCGCATGATTAGCATTACAGTGGGATATGCTATCGTATAATCAAGGTCTCCACTTCAAGTTTGTAATATTAATTTTGGCACTATGTTCATCGTCAAATGGTTTGACATCTGAGACTGGTTCAGTTGACAGTCAGGCGAGTAAACTCCGTATCTGAAATGGAAGCAGTTGATTTTACAGAGCTAGAAACCGCGATACAATGTGAATAATGTGAATAGATACGATACATTGACAGTTATGAGAATATGGTAGAGAAGAAACGCGGGTCATGGATCAGTTTTATCACTCGGTCCACCATTTGCAGGTCTGATTAAAGAAGGTCAGGAAGCGATTTCAGCCAGACGTGTTTCTTCAACGCACCTAATTCAGACTGCAAGTTTATGACCGCCGCTTTCTTTACTGTGGTCTGGTCGATGACATGCCCCACGATTTCCGCGTAAGAGGTTGAGATTCCGTGATCCTACAGGAAGTCATCAATTGCATGTGCAATGACCCAAGAGAGTGGAACTACCCCAGTGTATTTGACAAGAACTTCACCACCATCTGAAGTCTGCACAGTGACTGTGCTATCAGTCGTCTATCATTCCTTTTTTAGCCTTGTAATTGAATCCAGTGTTAGAACCGCGCACTGTAAGGACTTTGCAAGGAATTCGGACCATTTGGCCTATAAAACGAGGCAAAATTGCAGAATTGACGCGAGGACTAATATCAGACATGATGATCGTTGAAAGGCAAAAAGGAAGTCGTCTTAGTCACGTCGCGTTATCACGCCGTGACATTCGCGCTTTGAACTTCCATGTCTCTCTCCCGGTGACTTTCCTGTCCGGCGTTCCCTGGCCTACCTTGCGACAATGTTATTGAAATCTCTACCTCCGACTATACTGCCTGATGGCCTTGCAGCTCAGTTGGCCTCTCTGGGCATTTCGACGAGCACTGATCTGATCTTTTCAAGCACTTCTTTGCTCGAAATTTACATGCGCCTGCCCTCCAAATCTATATCCTTCACAGATTTCGAAGCATGTATCGATTCCATCTTAGAAAAGCTTGCGACCCCAGGACTAGAAGCCGCGAAACTTGATCACGAAACTCGCCTGGATTTCAAGATGGAGACATTATCTTCTCTGGATAATTATTTTGGTGGAGGCTTACCTTGTAAACGCGTCATTGAGATTTCTGGTGACAAGGGCTCAGGGAAAAGTGTGAGCCTGTCAATACTTAGACCGAACAACTATGTGTTCAAATCGTCTGAAATCAAAGGTTCTCCTTCTCAACTGCGTCTTAACATCGCTTCTCAAGGATAAGGACATTTCAGCTTTGTGGATTGATACAACCGGCGACTTCGCCATCGAAAAAGCGGTCGAAATTCTAGAGTATCACCGGCAAGTTGAGATCATTATCTATTTGCTCAAGCATAGAAGTAACTCGAATGTTCTCAGACTCCAAACAATATGGAAATCATATTACAAAGGCTGCATATATCCACTGCAGTTGATATCGAATCTGTTCAGGAAATCATCCGTGCTCTAGATGTCCAACTCGCACATGTAAGACATAGACGTCGTTTTAACTTTTCGATTCACTCATTTATCAAAGCAAGAGTCCATTCCCCGTATGAGGTGCATCGTCATAGACCCTGTCACACCTCTACTCAGTCCCTATTTGAGTGCTGTCTCGTCTCAAGGGCATGCCATCATGTCAGCCTTCATGCGATATCTTCACGACCTAGCAGCTCGGTATTCTTTGCTCGTACTAGTTCGTGCACCCCGTGGTATGTTTATAAATTGTGCTAATGGGTATACAAGGTAGTCAACAACGCAACGCTCATGCGAGCTCGGTCTACGAACAGAGCACAAATGCCTATTCAAACTGTATCGAATCCTCTATCTGCATTCGCGTCAACGATTCGACAACCTGCTCTGGGACCCTCGTTCGCATTCATGACCGACGCGACTTTGTGGGTTTCCCTTTGGCCTGAGAAAACAGAGAGCGAAGAAAGATCCACTGCTCACGTTATCGAGGTCTTTCGGTCCAAATTCTCAGTGAGCAAGTATTTTGCTAAGAGTGTCGTCTTACCTGACAAGTTCGATATTCAGGTTTCTAATGTCTGGAGCCCGTTCAGGATAAATTCATCGGGAGTCCTCCTTGCAGACTGAGGCTGTACCATATATATAGTTATTTTCTGACAGCGGGTCGTTCAATATCGAGAAATCTCTCCTCTAATGTTCTGCACACTCGCGCCCTTTTGTCTCTACCATTTGAAATAAGATCAGTGTGGTTTCCTCAGTCAGCTGAAACTGGCCCTTTGAAATCAGGTCTTTGCGCGACGATGTTCAGCAGGGGAAGAAATAGAGCTCGATATCCTGGATCTGTTCTTTCGACTACCTCAAGCTTGGCACATCGCTTCAACTCCTCCCAAGTAACCCATTCCCATACTTCACATTTCTCTGGTTCAAGATTCTGATAGCGTCACGTCAGGAAAAAGGCAACTTATCATGATAGATTTCCAGATGCTCACTTCTGCTACAGCTTGATTGTCCACCATCTCACAAGCGACCCATATCGTCACGTAGTGTTTGTTTTCAGCCACCATGACATCGTTTGTCGCTGTCAAAAAACGTATATTCTTGATCTTGAGATTGGTCTCCTCCAATACCTCACGTGCAGCACAATCTTCGAATGATTCTCCAGCTTCAAGATGCCCCCCTGGGAGCGCCCATGTTCCTGCGTAAAGTCATTATAACATACATTTTTGACTGGAGAATGGATATATCGCATACCATGCCCATGACTTCCCTTTCGTTTTCCTAGTACGAATTTTCCCTCTTTGTTGAGGACGAACACCCCGACGCCTACTTTTGGACTAAGCATTTTGGTATGATTCGGTGAACGATACGAAAGATATGATGCAAGTACATAGCAATTATCCTACTACTACATTCCACGTTGTAAGTGGTACACGTTTCTGAAATGACGGCCCGAAATATTTCAAGATGGTGCGTCTTTAGCCTCATAAGTACAGTTCCAATTTGACACGTTGCAAATTGTCCGGGGCTATCCCACAACTGCGGAATACATCTTTCAAACCCAATAACAACTCCTCTTTATCAGACCCCTCTACTTCCTGGCATTTGTGGGTATCCAATAACTCTCCGATCGCAAGAGCCAACCTGCCTTGGTCAGCAAGCAATGGCTCGAGGAATGCCACCCTCAGTCTTCGAAAGGCTAGAGATTTGATAGGCACGATACGATCTAGAGAGCTGCCGGCTTCAGCCCAAGATTCGACCTCTTTCCACGTTCCCAAGTTATTGTCTGCATCTTTTTCGTAGCCCCACCTCTCTAGCTTTCGATCTCTCTCCAGTAGCTGCTCTTCGGTCATTTTTTTCGAGGTGTTGTTAGACTGGTTCCCGACAGTGGACCACCCATGTCCTTCATATATCAGTTGGTTGATTACATATCGCTCAAGATACCTCAGCAGACGAGAGGTGATGGAAGTTGCGCCAGAGAATTGAGTAAATTGCACCAGAACATACCTGGCTAGATCTGAGGAGGATGTAGTGGGTCCCGGGGAGTTGTCATAGATAATCTTTGCGCGTTCAGCAAAGAATTCATCAATTCTTCTATATGAAGGTGGTGGCAAGACAAGAGCAGCAGGGGAGCTAGGCTCTGACGCCAGCTGACTAGAAATGGAAGGACTGTCCTCAGCAGTCGCTTGTGATTTTCGAGAAGTTGTATAATCATAGCACTTTGTATAAACAGAGGAAAACGTTTTGTAGTCCAGATCTTTCGGAGGCGCTTCGGGAGAGTCGAATACGGACTGCAGGATAGGTTCGGCAGCTTGCCAAAAGGATTCTAGCGTTTCCATGCGTCGTACTTTGCGATGCCGATTGGAGATGTCGGTCGACGTCATCGTGGTCAGTGGCCAGGAATCGAGAATAGTGCTTACTCAATCCGAACCTATTCTCCATCCCTTACTATCCGCTTGTGTCGTCTACATGATGTTGTTACGAATGCTAGTGTTTGGTCCTTGATTAGTTGCATTATACTTGGTACACCAACGTAGTATCGAATTTAGGAGATCGTTGAGGTTCGTCAGTTCTATATGAAGTGAAGATTCAAGCTAATAATTCGATAATTTTACGAGGCTACATGCGAGCCTAACTTAGGTACAAAATACAGTCCCTATATATATCCCCTCGTATGGTCCAAGCTTTTGAAATAATAATCAGCAAATAATAATTTCAGAAAAATCAGAACAGGATGATCATACATACATGGTCTATGATGTTCCCTTCAAAAATAGTTGGGACAGATTCCTACAAGTACTTAGAGATTAGAATATATATGATGCGGCTCAACTCACAATCTGACATTCAGAATCGGTAGCATCGTCGTCGCCGGGGCAAGACACTGCATCACCAGGAGAAAGAATATGGATTTCTCCTGCTGGGTGTTCGAAGCCCAATGCCCGCCCTGGGACAATTGGGATTAAATCTTTACAGCATGCTACGTTCAGCGGTCTCATAGGAGAAACAGGGTTCGGTTCGTACCTTGCATATTGTCTATCCGTTTGAAGTTGACCTAGCAATGCCTCGATAAGAACAGACGGATTGGAGGGAACATTGATACAACATACGTCTGAAGCATCGACCAATGCAGCCCAAGCAGGGTTCCCCACTCGTGGTGTTCCGTAGGTCATCGCAGATATAGTAGCGGAAGGAATGTTGAGTCGGAAGAATATCGTATCGATTTCAGCTAGTGCCCCGCCAAGAGAGTGGCCAACCTGTGAGCTCTAATCAGGCCATAGATTTGCAGGGTGCGACGATGGACTATACGGACCGCGACGATATTGCTAGTTCCTACGGAGCTCATGAGGGATTTTACTTCTGCTAAGATGGCGTCGGCAGTCAAAGCATGTTCGTCTTGGAAGCCAGTATGCACCTCGACGTCGGAAGAGATACCAGGGAAGAGAGTGCTGCTCAGTGGGGCCAGAGGAACATCTATGTCTGTGAGGTCGGATTCACTAGTACAGGTACATAAACCTTTGACCGGTACAGGAATTATATTGATCCTCAAAGCTTACAGTTGTGTAGGATCCGTTCCCTATAAACAGGTGAGAATTGACTGTGGCTCAGCATCTGCAAGAGACGTACCTCATGAGCCACGATGATGGCTTCTAAGGAAGGCGAATATCTGACTTAATTTCAGAAACAATTACCAGAACATCGAAGGGGTATGTTATGTACCCGACAAAATCTAAATATGGACAACATTATTGAGCCACGTCCGACTGAAGAAAAAGAAGGGTACCCACAGTTTTGAATATCGTCGTCATCTCCACCAACTAGAGAGACTTCAAAATCCGAGTTTGCCTCACAGGCCTCTACCGGAGCATTTCTCTCAGCACATCTCACTCAAGCAGAGACATACAAATCGCGTACCTCCACAAGTCCAATCCTGTAGAATATCAGTGCCGCAGTAGGCTGCCCTTGCAAACTGTGTGAAGGGAGCAAAACTAGAGAGCTCCGTTGCCGACAACGTAGTGACGGTCCTCCGTTCCAAATCCACAGGATTTGCGGAGGTTAAGCCAACGGCGCTGAGTGCAGCGGAGACGAGCAGCAAAGAGTGCATCCTAGGGGGGGAAATCCGTATGAGGGAGGCCTTAAGTCAACCTCTGTCCGATGGAAACCATTTATTCGTTTTCTCCATGGCTTCAAACAGCTTCAACCATTCTACTGCCCCTGTACGCTAGGAATTGTCGGTAAAAATAGAATTCGAATCGAGTTGGTACATATGCCAATAATATTGTTTGTGCGCAGGGAAGTGCCGACGGGTAGAGGCTTAGAGCAGTCAACTGATCAGGTCGTTGTTGAGCGAGATATCACAGGTTGATGGAATGAGATGAAATACACTCACACTGGACAGCGGAATATGAAGCGTGAAGTCATTTGAGAACTCGGGACAAGGGGATAATGAGACTTTTGCACATGTTTTAAACCTTCATGACCACGGACATCGTGCACACTACAAAGGATGTCGCAAATGCATATGTTGTTGGAGCAACGGTAGACTACTTTAAGAAGCGGGACTGTGGTATAAAGAGAAAAATGAAATGGGCTTGGGAATTTTGCTTGATAAACACCGTCGGGGGTCACCGAAATGCTCAGCTGATTGACTTAGGGGTTTGTGTTACGGTGCAAGTCCTAAAAAGTCAATTCTTTTTCAAATTGTAACATTTTAGGCATATTTAGTTAGCTCTCTTATTGAGATTCAATTTCTCACATATTTTCACATACTCTATGGACTAGTTGCCCCCGCAGGGGACACAAACCTTCAAGAGGTGAGGGAGATTCAGATCGGGTACACGATTCTCACGACCCCCCCCCCCCCCCCCCCCCCAATGAATAGAGAGTCCAGGCAGGGTCTATTTGTAGAACTGTCTCATACGCCCTTCAAGCTCACATATACCTTCCAGACTGTACCTAAGTAGCTGGATATCATCAATAAGTGACACAAACACAGGTATTCGAAGATTTCGAACAAGTTTTATGGCCTCTCGAACCGTCATAGGATGCCGTGCAGCTCGGCTTGGGCTTGGTCAGGGCCTTTCGCGTGGCAACATAAGTACCCCCGATCTGAATCTCCCTCACCTCTTGCAAACCTTGCTTGAGGTGTTCTGGTAAGTCACATGCAAATTGCCCCTCTCTGCAGTGAAGCAGCAAGCTCAATACATACAGATACATATCTTATCGAAGCTGTTGTAAAACAATACAGCCTGACTACAAGGAGTTGAACCAAAACGAACATACATAAACAATAAAAACAGACAACTGTACGTGGCCTTCAGTCTTTGGCCAACCCGGTGGTCCTAGCCACCTTGGAAGGCCCCGCTTTCGCATTTGGTGCACTTGAACGCTGTTTACCATTGGCATTAACTGACTCTGCTCGCAAGCAGAAAGTCGTCAATGTACAATCACATACCTTGCAATGGATGTTCCTCCTCCCCAAATGTGAAAGAAGCAACCTTTGCAACTGTGGCTGTTGTACCTGCCATAGGCTTCAACCCGTTACTGAGGAACTCAGAGCCCTGTTGTGCGGCTGAATCCAACATTAAGTAGCTGGAAACAGGTCAAGCAGAATAAAGGGGTGGTCGCGGGTGCGGCACAAAGTAAAGGCTAACGGCGCAACATTGCACATGGAATCTGAGATGAAACAGAGGCAGAAACTCTGTGTGTAAACGATATGTTCAAATGTCAGTCAGCAACTTGTGATAAGGACATGGAGGAGGCGAAGTAAGAACAGGGCGGTAGAAAAGCTGGATTTGTTATTTGATGTGAAGGTGGTTGGTGGTACTCAACAGGTACAAAGGCGGCTTGCGCCCTGGCATGAATATCTGTCAACCGATTTCAGCCATACATCATACACTGAACTTGTGGTAGATATATAAAGGAGGCAGAGTGGGAACAGGACAAGAAACGGCTGGAGTTGTTATTTGAACAGGAAGTGAATACCTGCCGACCTACCTGAGCACGCTGCACACAACAGTGGAGGGACACTGGTACGGTAGACATGTGGTTAAACAGGACAAAAATGACAGGTTAGAATTAGAAACAAGCGCCGAAACCATGGGTAAAGTTTCCGCAGCGCTAATAATATCGAGTAACAAATGACCTTTGCAAGCAAGGTGAGGTCCTCTGTTAATGACTGTTACAGCTATTACTGTAATTATATGGAATTCGATTTTTTTGAAAAGTTGTAAGGTTGTATTTGGCATCACCTTCTCTTAGATGTGCATCTACACTTTCATTGATATTTGCGCGTTGTCGACATCGTTTCTATTAGCTCCAATGCCATCAAGAGTTATTGCTGGCAGTATAGACACACATTCTCCGCGGACAAACTGCCTCCATTGCACACAGCAATGACCTCGCTTTGCACGCCCATACTTCCGAAGAGATGTCTTGGCATTACGAGCAGCCTCATCAATGAACATGAGCATGTCTTGTTGTGGCACCAGCTTAGCTATCTGCAGCATGAAATGTGCCCGCTCAAGGTCATTGCGCTCGAGTGCCCGTACAGAGACAGTCTTCCGAGATAGGTCTAATTTCCGAAGTGCATGTACAAGTGCTTGCACTGAGACACGAACTCGGCGACATCTTTCTAGCTCTGCTTGTATTTCATCCAAGTAAAGCAAGGTCGGACGGAGATCAATGAGAGCAGAGAGATAGTGAGTATCAGTGCCATTCAAAAGAGAGGGTCGGCCCTGTCGACGCAAGGCAGGTTGAAGTTGTCCATGGTCCCGATACTGCGCAAGGATATGATAAACAACAGATTTCTTCATCCCGAGGTGGTAGCAGATATTCTTCACTGAAACCTGCTGTTCCCAAAACATTAATGGTACCCGAACCCGCATATCTTCAGAGAATCGACGCATAGTACATGCAAGTAAACTGAGGGTGAAAACTTGACATGTGATCTTGCCAAACACAACCTCACAGGTTTTCAAAAAATCAAATTCCATATGGTTACGGAAAGGGCTGTAATAACCTGTGAATAACATAGGTGAAAAATCCATGTGAGACTCACTGTACCCTAATATGTATATCGGTGTCCAAAGAGTTCGAACAGCAAAAACGTTACCAAAAAATTTCAAATGATAACAAATATTAGCCCACCGCGAGGGTCGAACTCGCAGCCTTCAGATCAAACGAAGATCGCAATAGCCTAGATTCTAAGAGTCTGACGCTCTATCCGATTGAGCTAGGCGGGCGGTATGTTTTATAGGTTTACATGTGAGAATATCATGTTATTACGATCTGCTACTTCAGTTACAACAAGATTGTCAAAATGGTACAAGCGGGAAGGATGGGAAGACGGGATTAATGGATACAGTAATGTCATCTGCGCGTACGGTAATAATTTGTAAGGATACATCTCTCAACCAATAACCCAGGGAATCGTGAAAGATCGTCAACTAAAGAGTGACTATAAGAGAACACCAACAGCAGCACCGACAACGGCAATCACGGTGCCAGCACCGTAGATTCCATGTATTGACAATGCACTGTTGCTAGTCGAAGTCGCAGAGGGCGAGGAGAGCGAAGCAGAGCCAGAGGCTGAGGCAGTAGTGTTGAGAGCAAGGGCCTTAGCTTGGAAGGCTTCGAAGGAGCTATTGCTGTTCTCAACAGCGTTGACACTGAATACCATCCCAGATTCGCAGTGAGATACTGGGGTGCTTTGACGACAGTATGCCCAAAATGGTTTGGTCTAAAAGGGGGCGGCGTTAAGACTGAGGACAAGAAAACGAAGAGGTACACGACTTACGTCGTTGATCTGAATAGTTACGGTAGGGAAAGTAGTAGCGTTCGTGGCGACGGGCATGAATCCCGAATCGAAACTGACGGTTCCAGGGCTGCTCGCAGATAGAGCGGTGCAAGGCTAGAAAAGTACAAAATGAGCTATGTTTTTTGAGTGAATGAACGTGGACATACGTCAGCGAAAGAACTCTGAGTGACAGTATGGTTTTTCTGATGAAACTCGAATGTAACGGTGTCCCCAATTTGAGCAGTGATATTGGCGGGATTGTACGTGAGTGTACCATTATCGCCGACAATGACTTTGTGGTCTGTTGAAGTGGCGGCAGTGGGAGCAGACGATCCAGGGTAGGAACCGTAAGTTGTTGTGATGGTTTCCCCTCCAGAAGCAGTGACGGTGGCTGTCACTGTGACTATAGAGGCGGAAGCTGTGGAAGTCGAATTTTGGCCCATAGCAGCAGCTTTGAAGGCGGCGAATTTGGCGTCGGAGCCAGGATTGACGGCAAATACCATGCCTTCTTCGCAATGACCAGTTTGACGACAATATACCCAAACAGGCTACAAAGACGTGTGGCGTTGAACTGAGGAAACGTGAAGAATATTGAAAGTGACTCACGTTGGTGTTTTCAATCGTAAGTTCTGCAGTAATAAAGTCGCTGGTTACATTAGCCGCGACGGGAACACTGCCGATTGTTAACAAGGTGGACCGTGAAGGAACGAATCTTGGACACTCACAATCCAGAGTCAAAGCCGTTGGCAAGTGGTGAACAGGGAGAAGCAAAGGAAGATTGGGTCACAGTGTGATTTTTCTGCTCGAATGTGAACCGGACGACATCGCCGATACTTGCGTTCTGGGAAAAAGTTGGTAAAGTAAAAAATAGAATATATCGAAAGACGTACCACGTATTCTGGGGCGTAAGCAACAGTTCCATTAGGGCCTCCAACGGTAACGTCGATAGTAGCAGATCGCACAACAGGGGGAATGACAGCAAGAGAAATGCCAACTAGGGCAGCAAAGGCAGAAGTTTTGTAAGAGAACATGGTGGCCAGCTCGTATGATTTAAAAAGCAGATGGAGTCGTAAAAGAAGGTCGTGCGTCTAGGGCAAGAAGGAGGAATAGGTGAAGAGAGCATTTTGCGAGGCGGGCTTTTTATATTCGACGCAAAACAATGAAGTTGATGGTCTGGTTGAGAACAATGGCTTTGACACCTGCCTTCTTCGGAAGGACGGCTAAGTTATTCTGTTTCTTTTGTTCTTCCTTCGGGCACGGACTTCAACTGAATGCCGTCCATTGACCTCAAAGTGGTTGTTTGACTTGTTTTGTCCAAAAACACAATAAGAACGATTTGATTCTTTGATTCTCAAAAAGTCATCTTGAACGAATCGGAGTTATGTCGGAGGCAAAGTCCGGAAACCGGAGAAATCCGGGGAATCGGTCGGCCTCTGACTCAGCTCAAGTCATAACCTCAATGGATCTCAGTCAAATACCAGACGGCGCCCAAGGCGGCCAAAATGCAGAGGAAGAAGAAGCGAAGAGGGCGCAAGAGGAACAGATGCGACGTGATATGATGGCTACAGTACTGGATAGTGGTGCTCGAGAACGATGTATGTTTCCTAAATATCAAACTACAATATACAATTTCTTAATCTCTATATGTCCAAGTATCGCGCATATCCCTTGTCAGTCCCGAAAGGTCGAGGCAAATTGAGATGATTCTGTTGAGAATGGCGCAGTCGGGTCAACTAAGAGGACGAGTATCAGAGAATCAGTTGATTGAGCTGCTGGATCAAGTGCGTCGTCTTTCTCGATATGTTGTGCAGAAATCACAGCTGAGATTATGCATGGCCAGATGGAGAGTGCTGGAGGAAAGACAACAACGAAGCAGTCTAAGATTGTGGTTCGTTAGGTCATTTTCTGGTTTTCGCCCCATCAATCGCTTACATCTTACGGTCACAGTTTCAGCGAAGAAAGGACTTCGACGACGACGATTTCGACATTTAACCCTCGATTTATCTTCATCTTTGTATTTTTCGTCTTACTTCCGGCAATCTACTCTGCTTCGATCCCGGATCCCATCCATCATACTCTGAAAACTCCGTCTACGTTGCCAAACCCCAAACTATTATTCAACGTTACAATCTCAAATAGAGATGTCTGACAAAGAATTGAGCAGTTCCGATGATAGTTGTCAGTCGGCTCGATGTACTAAGTCCTCCAACGTTGGAAACTTATATATTCATCCGGTCCAGCTCTAATCTACAACCCCAATCAAGACGCCGACGTTAAGCAGGACTTGCGAAGGAAATATCGGGCTGCCCAGCAGCAATTACAAGGCTAGTTAACCGGTGATTTCTACTGATTGATTCTTGATGACCTTTTACAGCTTTTGACCACAAAGGCAAGCAACGCGCCGGCGAACTTGCAGAAGTCCTCGAGACAGCAAATGTCCTTTTTGAGCGAGGGAGGTTTGAACTCTGTAAGGCATATTGCGTCTGCACTAACTGACAGCCGTCTGCAGTTAAAGATACACCCGAAGCTATTCTAGATTCCCATGTAGTGCTCACAATTTCCTCAAAGTCAGCGCAATTGACCCGTCAACTGAAATTTAGCTCGGGAGTGTTTGATTTCAATGAATATGTATCAAGACTGGTTACGTTCATGGATGGGCGAAGGCTTGAACTTGAATCCGTGGAACACATATCTGACAACGAAGATGACCCGGAAATGGTCGAGCCCTTGAAGTGGGAACGGATAGGGAAATTAGCTTTGAGAAAGACTAGGCGTATTCCGGCTGTTGGTTTTATGTTAGTCCTTTGTTCGCGGTTTGCTAAACTCGTACAACTATGTTCATCCTGCAGGTCAGGTCCTATCTCGCTTGAAAAACCCCGAACCCGGACTAAGAGTGCTAGATTCAAGAAGGATAAGACTGACGAACGAAAACCTCAGGCAGTCACTGCCGAAGATTTACAAAGATCCACGAATGAGACAACGAGGAACGTTATCACAGTGGGTATTTTTTCTGCTGGGAGGCATGGTCACAATTTCTATCATCACTTGTCTAGATACATGCAATCTTGGAAAACATTGGGCCTACAAATCTATTCCACCTCATCATCAATCCCGTCAGTTTCGCCCAATCAGTTGAAAATTTATTCTATCTATCGTTCCTTATTAAGGAAGGAAAAGTTGGACTTTCCTTCGAAGAAGACAAAGAACCGATTGTACATAGTGCGTTTTTCACTTTTTGTCTTTCTATTGCTCATTCAAATTGAATATAATAGTTGTATTAGACGAAGATTCCGATCAGCCTCAAACCCGAACGTATGAAAATCAATCTCAAAGTCGTCAATTGGTATTCGAGCTGGATATGGCTACTTGGAAGGTGTGAACACTTAGGCAGTCGAGGATGTATGATGAGACTGACCTGGTATACATTTATAGCATGCTATCGAAGTATTTGGGATTTCAGAGTCTGTAATTCCACATCGAGAGCCGTATCAGAACAGGATGGGTAGGAAGTGGTAGGGATAAAAACGACTGGGACCGCCGCGTTGAGCAATGAAAGAGCTTCAAGTTTATTCTCAAAACAAGCTAATGTACTGGCTCCTTGATGTCTGATACTCACAACAATCGTGGTCGGGTGCGCGTTGGCTTCACATAAATACTAGTAGACCCAAAACAAACGAAGCACAGGACATGCGTTTTAAATGCGGTTAAAATTACTTACCTAGACATTCTTCTTTTGAAACCCTTCTTGACACTCCGAACAAGATTACATTCATCCTTGAAAGTTGTAAATCGACCAGGATCTTTTCTAATTTGAACTTTTTAACAAATGTTGACAGTTGTGTTACAACGCGTGACTAGTCACGTCACGAATTCGCTTCACCTAGTTGTTTATTGAATCAACCACAAATTTGACCTTCCCAAACCTCGCGGTTTTGACATTAATATCATGCCTCCTAAACGCCCACCTTGCGCGAATCCTCTGTTTCTCAAAATAATTGAGGACCTACGAGATGCCCAAGAGCCAGGTGTGTTTGAAGTATCGAGTAAGAAAACTTAAAAGTGGATTGAATGGGTTCTCAGAATCCTATCGGTATATGGCTTACAACAAGGCTGCATGGAGTATGAAAAGATATGCGGAAGTCTTGCACCGGCCAGAAGATGCTCTCAAAGTACCTCATGTAGGACCAAGAGTCGTGGAGGAGCTCAAAGCGAGGATGGCATCTTCAAGTTCGAGTCTTCAATGCAAGAGCTTCGCGAAGTCTGAGAAGGCGCCCAGTCGACCTAAGAAATCCAAGCCAAGCGCGAAAATCCTAGCCGTGCCATCGGCCCCAATTGCTAGTTCTGTGTCTTCCTTGGCCCCAGCTCGGAATCTGGACCAACCATCTTTGACAAAAGGCGACATCTTCCCATTCTGCTATTTGAGCTATGATAACAGTACGTACTCAGTGCTGTTATGTGATTTTTGCCCTCAAGAGATAGACTAGATCAGAACGAAATTCAAGTAGAGCATAGGTATACAGCTCATGTTGAGATAGATTTGACCTCGGGCCCAGGGCTCTTCATCGAATTTCCTCGCTCATGTCAGCATCCAGTCCTTACCAAGATCATATCGAAGATGCCTCAACCTAAACGAACGATAGGGTATCTGCCTATGGATATCGCTGATCTCCATTTCGCCAAATCCACCTTACCTTTCGATTGGATCAGTCACATCCCTGCCCCTACAATCTCTGAACCTTCTGCAGTCAAACGTCCTGTTGCAGACATCCTTGCTGCAGAAAACGCCCAAATGCTCAAAAAGCGTAAAGGCGGTGGTCTCGATCCTTCTCGTCAGCAATCCAAATCCACTGCTGGTAGCTGGACTATATCGACTTCTGAGTCAACCGGGAACGCTATTCGACGTGCTCAAATGATGCCTCCCCCGTCTACAGTTCCTCGAGCTCCGCAACAGTCAATCGCATCATCTAGCAAGTCAGCTACACGTCGCACGGATTCTGCTCCTGCGGATACTCAAAGAACCAATAGAGCTCGTCCTCGCCTATCCCATGCTATCCCTCTTCCGACCGTTGAGATGGATATTGATATAGAGGATCCATATGCTTCGACTGACCGTTTTGAGTTGGAAGCTTTCGATCCGATAGTCATTCAAAGCCATGAATACGATATAGTGCTCGTCCTTGACAACAGAGAGATTAAGAGCGGTAGGGATCGCAGTGGAATCGCTGATGGACTCCGTCGCCAGGGCGTGGTAGTGGCTCAAAGGTCTCTGAACATCGGGGACTTGTGTTGGATTGCGAAGCGAAAACCCCAATATTGCAATAACTCAGAATACGATGAAATAGTGCTGGACTGTATTCTTGAACGAAAGAGGTTGGATGATCTGGTGCAAAGTATCAAGGACAATCGATTTCATGATCAAAAAGTAAGTAGGTTCTTGGTGGTCAAGTTCTGCTAATAGTGACCCCACCTTGCCATTTAGTTCCGACTCCATAATACTGCCATCACTAAAGTTTACTATTTGGTGGAGGAATACAAGCTCAGTAGGGTCACTGTTTTCTCGAAGTTGTTTAACTCTGATGGTAGATGTTTCCTTGCAGCGGAACGAGGCTGGGAGGAACAAGATAAGAGCACCTATGAACTGGCTATTGACACGGTCCTATCACAAACTGCTATCGCAGACAAGTTTCAAGTCAAGGAGACGAGGTCCATCAATGACACGATTGACTTCTATGTAAGCTTGAATCGGCAGGTCGTTTCCATGTACAAGGTTTGAGCTATGTTGTGTCTCCACGTTCACACGATTCACAAACATTTACTTCCTGAACTAGAACAAAGACCTCCACATCGTTCCTTCTCGCTTGGTCAAACGATACAGCTACCTCATGTTCCAGAAAATGCTTCGTAGAAAATTTCCTGAGCGGTCTTATTTATTGGCTTATACAACTTTCCATGACCTCAACCACAAATCTGGCTTCATCACTGTTCGAGAAACATGGGCAAGGATGCTTCTCTGCATCAACGGCGTCAGCGCAGAAAAGGCAGGTGTCCTGATCCAGAAATTTCCGACTCCGCAGTCATTGTATAGGGCTTGCAAACAAGCTGAACAACAACAAAAGGAGGATGACGAAGATGAGAGGGTTGCAAAAGCGCGCGGGGAAAAACCGAGAAGGAAGCAAGACATCTTTATTGCTAAAGAGTTCCTGAAGGACCTCGGGGGAAACAGCGAGAGGAAGATTGGACCGGCGCTGAGCACAAGGATTTTCGATTCCATGATGCAATAGCGCACTTCGGACTAGCTTGTGATTAATGTTGCTACTGTTCTTGTAATTTTTTGTAATCGAGTAATATGGTATGTCTCTAATCGCTGTCGTTGGGGCGTACACTGTGAATACGGAGAAATTGCACTGCAGTCGAGATGTCGACGGAATCACGCAAACTCTAAAGTGAACGAATCTTGTAGCTTGACCGGGCTACCTATGTAAGAGTAATTGCTATCCGCGATTGAAAGCGATAGAGTCTTTGTCATATTCACTGGTAGAAGATCTTCAGAGATAGACTTTCGGCGCATTATTGAAGGCCAGATTTCTCGACCTTATGAAAAACGGAACAGTTTACGGAGCCGCCCACGATGAGATGTATATACATATGAACCAGAGCGAGGGTTGCCAAATTTGCAAGATTTGCAGGTTTGCAGAAAGCAGCAATGTATTCAGGTACATATTCAAGATATGTATTCAGGGAGGAAGCAGGAAGGAAGAGTGTAAGTCATAGGCGCTTGTTTGGTCGTGTCGATTATTTTACCCAGTTTTACATACACACGACCTTCCAGTTCAAAGCTCAATGCTCTGAATGTCTACTTACAAGCACTCCCTTGCTCCGATAGTCATTCATGCATTCCCTCATCCAATATCAGCACTTTCCTTTGATCCTGTATCGGATGCTCTTTGGGTTGGATCGGGAAACGGCTATGTCTCCGCTCACCATAGCATACAAGGCTTGAGAGGGGTATGCTTCAAGGCGGGGGATCTTCCCGTGCTAAAGGTAGTTGCCGATGAAAATTCAGTCAAAGCAGCTTCCGCAGGAGGAGATGGGGTTGGATCATGGGTGAAAGGTGGTATGAACAAATGGTTTTACAAGTGAGTACAACATAGATTCATTATTACGCCGTATCAATCAGACAGAATGTAGCTCAGAGAATTCTATCATGAACTTCGCTACCTCGTCTACAATGACCGCGCTTTCGACTTCTGGCTCGGAGTTGTTGTTGATCAATGCAATGACTGGAAATCTCTTGAGACAGACCACAATACCTTCTATCGCTACACATCTCGAATTTTCGCATAATATTCTCCTGTCTGGCTCTGCCGATGGTTATCTTCGTGCCTACGATCCTCGAACTGGAAATATACGGAATGGGGGCTCCGAAAGCGTGGTGAAGGCACATTATGGAGGTATTCAAGGCTTGCAAACCACGGGAAACTTTGTCTTCACTATTGGCATGAGCTTACGGTGTGTATATATGCCTATGTTATATATTTCGCTCATCAAATGACAGACAAGCTCATCCATTTCCAGACCCGTTGGTTAAGGTATACGATCTTCGTAATATGCGCGCACTTCCTCCCATTTCGTTCGCCGCTAGTCCTGCATTCATCAACGTTGTTCCAAATCGTTCCGCTACTATAGCCGTAACGTCCAACTCGGGTAGTATTAGCATTGTGGATGCTTCGAACTTTGGAGGTATCTCGAACGACTTTTCTCAGGTGAACGTTTTTCCTCCATAACTGTCGCGATTCACTGACCCGCGATTTTGAATTAGATCGAAGACCTCACCTCCTTCGTTACGGCCGTAGCGATATCGCCAACCGGGGCTTACTTGGCGTGTGGTGACGCTGACGGAATGATTCACTTGAAGTCCCAGGTTGAAGGAGATGAGGTTGTACCTTTGAATGGTTTCGAAGGGCGTCCGGTAGAATGGGCTAATCCTCCAGAACCACTTCCTGAGCTGGAATGGACAGATTCAACGTATGCGAATACTGCGAATAGAAAGCTTTTGTTGCTCATCTCCTCTTTCCTCTTAGACCCTTGAACACAATTGGCCTACCTCGTTATAAAACCCAACTTCTGTCAGCGTGGACACCGCAATTCAACTCTTCAAAGACCATCTCATTTCCTTCTCCCCAGAAAATTCCTGTTCAGGTCTTGAATACTATGAAGATGAATGACAATGTTGCATATGCTCCGCTCCCAAAAGAGCTCCGAGGTAGACGGAACATGGTTGCCCTGGAAAAGAAAAAATTGGGCGGACGTTTCCGCAGTGGAAAATCAGGAACTGGAGATGTAAGATGAGTTTCCTTTTCTGGAGTGGCATTTTAAGGATGCAATCTATATTCTAGCACGAGCTGGAAAGTCCTCTGCTTGAATACGTTGGAGATGATGTGCCAACAATATATCGTCACGTAGAGATCGAGTATTCCAAGTTTGGAGTTGAGGACTTCGATTTTGAGTGAGTACTCTGATCCTTCGACTCAAACGACAGGCCAACTCGCCCTAGATTCTTCAACAAGACTGAATTCAGTGGACTTGAGACTCATATACTAAATTCCTACACCAACCCTATTCTTCAAGTCCTTCATTACAACCTTCCCATCCGACGACTTGCGAAATCCCATATCACCACCGATTGTCTACGCGAGCACTGTCTTTTGTGTGAACTGGGTTTTGTTGTACGCATGCTGGAAGACGCCAGGGGTACCAATTGCCAGTCCAGCAATTTCTGCAAGGCTGTCGGCGTCTTGGCTCACAGCAAGTTTATTAGCATCTGATTAAGATGACTATCGTCCTGACAAAATCTTGTGAATCCAGTGTCCAATGCCATCGATCTTGTGGACTACGGCCGGGAACCCACAGAACTCGACTACGCTCATATGATACAGTCTTTCCAGCGTTTTCTCTTTGACCGTCTCGTACTCGAAGGCAATGATCTTACCGCTAATCCAATCATCCTCAAAGGTTCTTCGTACGAAAGGAATGAACAAACCCCAGTCCCAGCACCCATCACCCAGTTAGTCGGAATCGATACGAAAAACGTCGTGACATGCTTTCACTGCAAAGCGGCTAGAAGCAAGGATAATCTGACTCACGTAGTAGATCTGATATATCCACGAACGGTGTGTATTCTGACTGCTTTATACCTTTAATCTCTTAATCATGTCATACACAGATTCTTCCTAACGACACAGTGCCGTACTCTGACTTCCCCACCATCCTGCGCAATTCTATCCTCCGCAACATGACACACAAAGCCGCATGCACGAATTGCGGCAAGAATTTCAGCAACTTCTCAAGCAGGCGCGAGATATCAACGAGAGATTTGCCTTTGACGCTTGCAGTCAATGCGTGCGTGAACAGCGAAGATAATTTTAAGTATTGGTTCGATCACCGAAACCAAACCTTCCTCAAACCGCAGATTGAACTACACGGAGAGGTGGATGATATGGAAGATCCTGAAGGCGCTATTTACCAGTTACGGGTGAGCACTTGTCCGACCTGGGTGAATATTTGAAAAGTAAAAGGATATTGCACAGGCTGTGATTGTGCAGGTTGCTACTGACGAGCATGCACATTTGGTTGCTATCGTCAAAGGTAATCCTTGATCGCATTTCTGCAGGATGTGATAACTTAGACTGGTTATTATCAGTTCCCGAGGCCGAGGGAAATGAAGACGAAGGTGCTAGTCCTTGGTACATATTCAACGACTTCGTGGTGCGGAATGTGCCCGAGCAGGAAGCTCTCAGCTTTCCTGGCAGGTGGAAGGTACGGCTCTTCTACTTCAGAAGTTATCGAACACCAGACAAAATCTCGTTAGATTCCTGCAATCCTGCATTTTGAACGTGTGGATAGAAAGGACTCATTGGACCTCTCCCAGCTTCCTGATGCTATTGACGCTGCCATACTATGTCGAGATACTTCCATATCTTTGTAAATGTCCTTCCAACGGTGCTGAATCTGTTTACTGAGGGTCTATTGCAGGAATCGGGATCCCGACCTCATAAAACACGAACTTCTTAATTCTGCGGAACTACCTACCCTAGGAACTGTCGTCGCTGTCGATGCTGAATTCGTATCCATGCAACAGGCAAGTGAGCTCTTTTCGATATGTATAAAAGTCACTCCCTAATTCAAGTATCATTCCAGGAAGAGACTGAGTATCGCTCAGATGGAACAAAAAAGGTCCTACGGCCGGCGAGACTCAGTTTGGCTCGTGTTTCCTGTTTACGCGGCAATGGTCCTAAAGAGGGCGTTCCATTTATCGATGATCATATTCACACCAGTGAAGTGATTGTAGATTATTTGACAGAGTTTTCCGGTATCAAATGTAAATTGCCAACCTCCTCGTCAACACGAAATCATGCTCATTTTATTCAGTTGGCGATTTAGATCCTATGCGGTCTCCGCATACTCTGACTCCACTCAAAGTGGTATACAAGAAATTGCGTCTGCTAGTGGATCGCGGATGTATCTTTATTGGACATGGGTTGTCAAAGGATTTCAGGATAATTAGTAAGTTTACAGCTGTCCACTTTGTCGCTTTTCATAGGCGCCAATAATTGCCCAGATATCTTTGTCCCTCCCGAGCAAGTGATTGATACGGTCGATCTATACTTCATCAAGGCTCGTCAACGCCGTCTCTCCTTGCGCTTCCTATCATGGTATTTATTCCGTGAGGTCATACAAACCGAAACACACGACTCGATTGAAGATGCGCATTTCGCTCTGAAGCTCTTCAAGAAATATAATGAGTTTGAGGGAGAAGGTAAATTTGATCAGAAACTGGAAGAGATCTACAAGGAAGGACGTCAATATGTGAGTATCCAAAATTTCAAGGGTGTATCGGACTCTCATTCAGAGGGCATAGAATTACAAACCTCCTCCTCCTCCTGGCTCATCCCCGGTGGATCGTCAAGCCACACCTCCAATACCAATAGGAATCCCAAGTCCACTATCAAGCCCGCCATCTTCTCGCTATCAATATGCATCTAGTAGTCTACTTGGTTCTCCTCCCTCACATAAAGTGTGTTTTAATATTGATATTGATCTTATTCACCGATTTTCACTTATATCTACTATAGTTTTCGTCTCGCTCACGATCTCATGGATTACGTCGATTGTAAAGATGCATGTATATTCAATACATCTGCAAAACCTAGATTTTTGCCACCGGGAAGGATACAGGTCAGAGAGTGCTTTCTCAGCTGGATGCTCTTCAGCTAATAGCCGACAGTACTACAGAAGTCCCTTGGTAAACATGTAGATATTTTACCACTTATATAATGAAGAATGCAGTTGATTCCCAGACCAATGTCCAAATAAAAGCGCGTAAATAATAAATTATAATCGATGCTAGGTACTAGTGGTTGAGTGAATCCTCGTCCATGCGGGGTGGGGGAAAGACCACAGTTCACCCGGTAGCAGTACACGGGTGTGCCAGGAAGATTCTAAAGAAAGCACATCACAGCGAGCAGAGACCCGATCCAGTAAGATAGCTCTTGGGATACATTGCGACAGGCAATCCACTGTTCATGTTCACAGCAGCATTTCCGCTTCCGTCCGAAGTCACCGACTGACAGCTCAAAATATCGACAAGGGCAGTGTTAGCAGACCATCCACTTGAAGTGAGTTTTGTGCTCGGAGTTTTGCTTCCTTCATTGCTGATGAATAACATCATGTTGCCTTTCCTAACACTCATTACAGTGCTCAGGGGGGCTTCGTATGTGGGCTTTGCAGTGAGGAACGCGCTGTCGGAGGTGCTGACGTGGTTGCGGAATGTGTTGAGGGTGGCGAAGTATGCGTACAGTTTGTTGGAGCCAGTTGGGTAACCGGTTAACCAGAGAGCTTGACGATTCTGAGGGGCGTTGTTACCAGTAGACATTTGTTCTTGTCCGTAGAAAACTGATGGAAACAATTCAAAATGTGTAAAAGACCTCTGGCGATCGGGCGACTAACCGATTGGGATTCCATTTCCAGAAAGAACTGTCAAAGCTGCAGCGGTCTTCAGGATAGCGGTGTCGGAAGATATCGAAGCTAGGGAGACAGTAATGATAAGTTCCCGCAAATTTGTACATGAAAAGCTTAGCCTCACCCATTCTTGCGTTGTCGTGATTTTCCATGAACGAACCAAGCAGTGAAACATCCTGAACAAAAACATATTCTTTTAAAATTGAATATATAGGTGAAAAGATATGGAACAAACCTTGCATGTGCTAACGAGACCATTCATCTTACCAGCCAACATGGTCATATTGCCCTGCCCACTGATAGCCTCCGTGGCAAATGTCTTCATGACATAGTTATGAACGCCATCCATGTAATCTTGGTAGGCACATTGGGTTCTGGTCCGAGAAAAGAAACCATAAACATCTAGAGAAAAGTCGACGAATACTTTCACTTACGGAGCATCTCCGTACCATGCCTCTCCCTGGCTGTACACACCGGAAGCGCTGACGAAAGCGGGCCAGAAGTCTTTCCTAATGCTCTTGGCTGCATCAAGACGAGCGCCGTCAAAGCCATATGTGGTGGTCAAGTTACGCGCAAAGTTATTCAAGATGGTGACAACTTGGTCGTCTTCAGTGTTGACATCCATGAGTGGGACATATCCGTCGCCCATCCAACACTGAGAGGGGATGATAATAAGCAGTTGAAAATTGAAATCGTATACAAAGACACATAAATAGGTCCCGACATACTTGCTCAGCAGAAGTCTGGTTATTCCAGTCGACCCAGCATTTGGAATGAAAGTATGATTCGCTATTTAGCGGAGTCAACCCGCTCCAGTTGATGTTTGAGTCTCCCCAGTTCGCAAAGTGGTTTACGACAATGTCGACCATGACATACATCCCGCGAGCATGTGCGGCGTTGACGAGACTCTTAAGGTCATCGGCGGAGCCAAATTTTGAATTTACGTTGTAGTAATTCTTGGGCCAATAGCCTACATGAAGGGGTTAATGAAAGGAATTGAACAGGTGAAACATAGTAACGCACCATGGTAGGCTTCGCCTTCATAAGTATTGTCAGCTATCTGTTCAATCGTGGGACTGATCCATATCTTCATAGAAGCAAGGTTAGCCGGCAGTAGAGATGGGTCTACAGCCCGCACGTACCGCGGTAAAGTTCATTCCTTGGATGTAGTCAAGCTTATTCTCGATGCCCTTCCATGAACCGCCGCAGTAACTGGTAGACGATGGGTCACAGGCTGCGGTTGTCGAACCATCTGTCCGAGCAAATCGATCCGTCATAACCTGCATAAGGGGGAGAATTAGTATAGCATGAGCAAAAAACGAGGCAAAAAACATACTTGGTAAATGGAACGTGAACGCCATTGTTCAGCGTTAGCTGCAAACGAAGGTCGTATTGTGCTCAAGCCGAGAACAAAAGGTAAAACGAGAGACTGGACGAACATCGTCGTAGTGGTGGAAGCGAAGAGAGAAATGAAATAACAGCCTCGTTCTTGCCAGGTCAGAGATGGCCGTCTTGTAGCCGCGCCGAGTTTACAATGTGATGAATGGTGATAACCCAGTTTGGAAATGAGCTTTATACAACGTCTCGGCTTTGATCCAAACGAGCTCAGCCGAGTCCGAGGCGTGGTTCAAACATTTTTGGGAGAATAGCTTCAACGGAAGATTATCAATGCTCGTTGTACAGTAAAGGCCGTGGGTTTAGGAAGGAAAGCAGTGATGTCGCGATGTGACATTTGTGACAGATCGTGTCGAATTTCTCAATGCCGGTGATTACCCCGGTCACATGACGGTCCTTTTCTTTGATGATCTCGAGGTGCTTATCAAGTTGTTATACTCTCTTTAGCTTCTGCCTCACCTTTGTCTTTGCTTCCCCATGATTATTACTGGTCTTCCGTATGTCCTCGAGCTCTTTGAGAATGTTTGTTCGCGCTCTTATATCAAGATATCGTCAAAGCTTGCCAAGCTCGAGTTGCTACCGTCGTCTTTTTTGCAGTCCGAGTCGGTTCACTCGTTTCTACACAGCTACAAAGCTCTGGATCTACTTTCGCTGGCAACTCTGCTTCAGTGCCTCGAAAAATATATACTTGGGATCCAATTCGGACGACCGGTCGACCTTGATTCGAATTTGCTCAACTTCGACTCAAGCTCCATCCCACACTACTTTCTTTCGGGACTAGCTGTGATCGTACTCTATTCTCTCTTGTTCTTGTCCTTGCTCGTGCTACATGCACTTTTGAAGAGGATTCTGAGTTTAACCGGGCTCAAGACTACCACCCATTCCATCAACAACGCACTCAATATCGAACCCAACACCCCACACACACAATATCGTCGTGCAAAGCACCATATCTCTCGCGCTCTCTCCTCCGTCATTATACCAACTCCGTCTGGAAAATCGCGGTTTCCGGCAAGTTTTCTGAGGGTGGCTGGAGCTGCTAGGGTAAGCCGGGTAGCTGCAGTGACCGTGCCACGCTATGCGAATGACGCAGACAAGATTTCGGGGGTCGTTGACCCTGGAAAAGTTGTCAACGTCGTTGAGATTGAGGCAGCCGTTCTTTTGGCTGGGTTGGTTTCTGGGAAGTTGGAGTTGAGGGACCGGTGGATGGGAGAAGAAGGGGATGATGACTTCGGCATCAAAGGCCCCAACCACTCTCGCTCCAAAGACTCCTTGGACGAACTAATCTCGTTAATGAAAGGGTCTTTGGAAGTTTACGAGTACCAGTTCAAGCTCAAAGTGGGAAAGAAGATGTGGGCCAGTGTGGCGAGTTGGGTGGTTCTGGCTGGCTATGGTGGTACCACGACGGCGCCAAAGACAAAGGGTGTAGATTTTCTTCAATGTACTCGATACGTGCAACGCGCCTCCTCTGGACAATATGCACCGATCATACGGTCTATACAGCCTTTTTACTCCGAATCCACTATGAAGCTCGACCTAGACTTTGTCCCCTACGCCTCCTTCGAATCCACACTCAAAGCATTCATTCACTCCATGCCCCTTTCCGAAAACCAGAATATCGACGCTGTCCTGGAGTTCACAGTCCTTGCTCCGCATGTAAAGTGGCTGAGTAGGGAATATGTGTTGTGTGCGATTCCGTTCATGTATACTAATGGTCGAAATGCAAATTCGATTATAGAATCCGATGCTACGCCGCCACCAACGCTGACTCCAACCCCGATGCTCCTCTCGCTCAAACAGGTCATCGAAATTTTGACGTCCTTATCATCGTCGTCGTCTCTCCAAATTCTTTCCTGCACAAACACGTCTTCGGAATGTTCTTCGTCTCTGCGTGAGATTGTACGTGAGCGGGATTTAGTAGGTCTAGATGGAGGTTTGAATCCTAAGGGGCACGCACGTAGTGAATGTGGAGGATATGGAGGATGTGGAGAAGGGTCGTCGTCGTGGATGCGGGAGAGATCGATGATGCTTTGGCAGGCGGCGATCTTGAGGGCTGGATGGGTTCAGAGATGGGTTGTGGTTGTAGGTAGATAGTCATCACAATCAGTATGAACGTCGTGAAACCGTACACTCAGCAGTGTAGTCATATGCTAGTGTAAGATTCAAATATGTTCCGACCACCTTTAAACAGATTCAGGTCAAAAATTCACCGTCATTGAACCTTCCTTCCCCCAGCTGTCACAATGTAAGTACGAGCTTCCTCTAAACCATTGATCTTAGCCACTAGATCTTTTTCTACGTCAAGTTTAGACAACCTGCGCGAGAACACTTTAAATTGTCATCGACTTGGACTTGAAATAGGGAGTCCGAGCCCTTGGCTACTGTGAGCTTCGAATAATCAAAAGTGCTCATACACAAAGTACTGTTATTAGTAAATTCCATCCGAGCCGAAGCTCAATAACTTCTCACCACAGGTATGTTCGCTGGTGTTGAATTCTCCTGTAAACACGTCTCTCCACTGTCAAGCTGTTTTGAATGAGAAACTGAATTTACATTATAGCCTATCATCTACATATTCATTCGACCCCTGGCAATTCCTGTCCCCTTGGCCCCTTGTTCGGCTACCTCGATACACTCACTCCTCATGAATCAGAATTCAAATAGCAGGAAATTCTCTGTCGGGATCCCGAGTCGGCGGCTGCTTTCATTGAAGCGGTTCTCTTTAGTGCCTGTTTGCGATACTTCAAACGACACCTGATAAAGTCGTAGACCACCCAATCGCCGCGGTATTCTTCGAGAAAGCTGAACTTCGCCACAGCCTGTAAGGATAGCAGAGAAGTTGATGATGAGATACATGCACAACTTTACGCTAGATAAATCAAGTCGTGACGACTCACCAGTGTTCGAACCTCTTCGAGTTTCAGATACTGCTGTTTACCGAGAGGTTGCAGGCAGTCTAATTTTGCCTCGACGGTCTCATCGATGAATTTCTAACAAGATTAAGGATGATTAATTAATACTACGCATCCGATGGAAGTGGCATTTTTCGAAAAACAAAACAAAGAAGTGAAGTTCTCCGCACCTTGACCTCATTGAAACGTTTTTCCGGCCACTTCAAGGCAACGCGTAGTAAGTTATACCCCCCTCGACCAGGTTTACCAACTCCCCCGGTGGGCTTTTCGATTTTTCCGTCACTAGAATATCTGAGTCCTTTAGTACTAAGGTCTTTGTCCGAGTGGGCCGCCCCTGGGCCTGCATCTCGGGTTTTTCGCTTGTCCGACCGGGAACTTAAACTTTCACCCTGTCTTTCACTACACTCTGTTGAAAAATAAGCATTCTGGGTGTTGACAATGACGAGACACGGAGTGGCACAGGATGGACTCGGAGACGCCAGGGAACGGTTTGGGGATTCGGTTTGTCCGTAAATGGTGTGACTACTATATCCCCTGATGAAAGAAGTATCGTCATGAGGATCAGTTTGAGAGTGTGTAGTAGTAGCACGAGGAACGACCAACGAAGTGGTAAGTGTGGATGTAGTAGAGGACGACGAAGGGAATCGAAATCTAGTAGGATCAGGGGAAGGTGATCGTTGTCTAATGTATGGAGATGTTCCATGCATCACCCGCGGCGTCCTTGAAGGTCCAACAACGCGATATTGATGATGATCCGAGTCGATGGAGTTTATCTGGGACTCGGGAGATGATTCACGCTCGATGAAATTGTAGTTGGAGGTGTGGGATTGAGCCAAGCCCATGGTAGAAAAGGGAGTTAACCTGAGCAGACAAGGGGCAGAACCAACTCGGAGATATATAAGGGGTTCAAGAGACAAAGGGCCTTTATTGCAATGGTGATGAGATGATATCGTTTCACTCAGAGGATCATGGGTGACATTATCTGTGAGGATGAACATGCGTATGCGTCGTGGCTTGAAGTGAAATGAAAAGCCTAAGGGTTGTATTAATCAAGGTTGTCAAGCTTCAAGCTGAAGAGGAGAAGGACGCTAGGTCGCTTGGAAACACCGGGCCCGAATGAGGATAACATCTCCGAGTTTTGAACCTACCATGCCTGTCGAAACTCCGCTTCACTAATCATGGGTCAGGCCTCATGGAAGTAGGGCAGTGCGCACCGCGCGACACTTGTCAACCTTCTGCTGTTCCTCTCTGCCGAATTACAATCAGCGAAAAACATACCATGAAAGACGGAATCATACATACATGACAATCATTCTTCACGAACTCCCCTGTATAGTATCGAATTCCTGCAGCAAGATCCTCGAATCTCTACGCAGGTATTCGCCTCATACACGGTCAGGCAAGGTCAAACACGAAGATGGAGAGTAAGTGCCTTACCTCGGTCCCATCGTATCACACGATCAAATACATCCGGAAAAGAAAAAACATCGAGTTGTTCGCAAAGGGCTGTACTTAGGTTTTTCTTCGACCATTGCCCGTTTTACTGTCAGGTAGATTATACCTCAACCCGGACATTCAGTGGCAATATTAGTAATATGTTCCCTGATCCTTTTCCGGGGCAAAAGAGTTGTACCTAGAGGATCAGACTCCAGGGGCTGTGAAGAGTCAGATCCTGATGCCCTCTGATGCCAAAGGGCTTGCCGCAGTGAAACCTATGTTGAAGAGAGTACTAAGCGGCTCTAAGCGGCCAGAAGAAGTCAAGAAGACATACGGAGTGCAAGCTAGTGCAAGTGATTTGATAACAAAGATGCGTGACCTCGTGAAGTCGGTGGCCCCCAGAATCCCGAAATAGCGTCGTTTTGGACCTGATTTTAGCGATTTCCTAGTCCTAGAATAGCGAAATTTCAGTCTAAATCGTAAGTCCTTGTCCGCTTACAGCGTCATTTGAGTCGGCGCAGCAGCGCCGAACCGCACATGTTGAACACTGGAACAAGAACACCAACATCTAAATTTTGAAAGGAATTTTGAAGAAATTTCTGTTTCTTTATTTCTTATTCAGATCTCACGTGACAATCCTGGTTCAAATAGCGTCCTGATAGCGTCAATTAGGCTGCACAGTGCAAAGCCCTTTTGTAGTCGCTCCTTAACTAAAACTCCTTGCTGGTCAAGGTGTTTAGGCGACCCTTCTGCTGATTGATCTTCCTCTGCTGTCACTTCCCCGATCCTCAGTGAAGTTCTTTAAGACATCTCTTGTCCCGCCGACCAATCCAGTATTCGACCGCAGGATTTATCAATCACAGTTTATCCCCTTTTTTCACTTGGCATCCAACTTCGTTCCAGCATGCGCTTGAGTATTGTATACTTCATGCTTGGTCTTGGTCTCAGTCTTTTATCAAATGTTCGGGCGATGCCTCTTTCTGTGAGTTATTGACTTGAAAGTCTAGCAATCGATAATTAGGATGGATACTCATTCAATCTTTCTGGTTATACCAGAACAAGGGAGATGCTATGTACAAGAGGACTGAAAATAACGAGGTCTTCCTTGAATTTGACTCGGAATTACAGAAAGACCGCGCGTCCATTTTGCTCACGAGCGGCTGGCCATATATATCCAAGAGCATGCCACCGGCGATGAACTTACAACAATCCAATGTTAAGGTTTCCGTTGGTCATGGACATTCAACAAGCACATCGCTCCAGACCATTCAATTCAAGATCTACGCAGATCCGCAGCTGCAAACATTGAAGGGCTATGGGACCATCAGGCTTAACAATCAGGTCAATTTATGCACATTGCGTGTATTTGACAATGGAATGAGAAATGGAGCGTATATTGGCCCAACCCCGGTACTACCACATTACCTATTGTTATCTCTTTTGTATTTTTAACTAACGACCCACTTCATCCAGGATGACACGGCCCAGTTTGAACTCAGAAATGAAGTGATTGTAGTTGAAGAGAAGTTGCATGAGCAACTGACATCAGGAAACCCACCCATGGGAAATAGGGCATAAATTTGGTAAAATTGCTGAAATTTGATGGATTAGTTATTTCTTGAAATTAGCCAGATTATTTAGCCCCCCATATATTTTAGGTGAAATCAGCACTAAACAGTCGGATTTCTTCAAATTAATGCCTAGTTGCGAGCAGATTTCGAGCGTGAATTTGTTCAAATTTCCCTTTATGATTCAATAACCACATATGAAGCGAATAGTGAATGCATTTGGTATGTGTACAATAAATACAACATAGATATAGTATTTAAAACTAGACTACTCGAAACTCCTCAGCACAGTAATCACCAACAGTACCAATCTGCAAACGTCACAGCAAAAAAATTGGAACACGGCACTTGTTGAGAATCTAGTGTGAGGAACTCAGTATGAGAGATGAGCAAACAGAAATATATGACAACACACCTTTGAAATATTTTTGTGGGTATTGAAGAGTCACACTGAAGAGTCGAGACTTTGTTTAACTCTACCAAGCAAAGCAAAAATACATAGCTCACCTATTAACCCTTAGCCACCCATTGTTTCTTACTTGCTCGACACCAGCCTGTATCTCCATAAGATGTGTTGGAAGCTGAATGCCTAGCAGGAAAAGTTTAGTGACTGGAGAAAATTAGAGAAAGACTGACTGAAGCAATGATGATGGGGGGAAGAAAGCACAAGAGAACGAGCGATAACGGGGGATTTGCAGGGATCGAGTAAATTTAAACTCCGACTATTGACTGAGACGGCGACCTGCAACCGAGGTAATATACAATTCAACACTCAAGTCACCGTCTATATGAATTGGACTTGCTCGAATTTTTCTACTACTTAGGCCTTTAAGATTCTTTTGCTTCAAGTTGCTCACTCCAGGCTTGCTCTATGCTCACTGGTGGTATATTACACACTAAGTCACATCAACTGAGTATTGCTCTGGGCATACAAATTATTCACATACTATGCTACCATAAAAGACTTTTCATGCACTCGCAGAGGGCTCAAATTCACGATATTATGGTAGCTTGTAGTATCACAAACTTCTGTAATTTGGCAAAACTTTTGTCAAATTTAAAAGCCATCATTTTAATCTTTCCAATTTGGCAAAATATATGTCAAATTTAGAAGCCGTGATTTTGATCTCATTAATTTGGTGAATTTCGGCTAATTGATAGGATTAGGAAGATTTCGACCATGAGAGGAAAATTAGTGCCCGATTTTCCGGAGGTGGTTTTCCTGATGGAACAGGCTCAGTCTTAATCATAGACCTTAGACGGAGGTTCTGGGAGGTTCTGGGCCAAGATGGTAGCTGATGGTAGGTTGGGAGATACATAATAATAAGTGATATGCAGTCCTTTTACCGAAAACAATGTTGGATGAATTCAAGTCGTTTTTCTCAAACTTGATCTTCTTTATCGATATCTCTCATGATCCATATCCTCGCCTACTCTCCAAACAAACAAAAATACCAATTCTAGAATCAAAAGTGGGATCATGTCGGACCTCTGGCAGTGGAAGAACTTAAAGAAAAGCTCCTCAGCGAAGCAATCAACATTACGAGGAAGCGTAATTTAAAATACTCCGAGGAGTCTGAGGAATTTGAGGTGTTTAACCCCGGGGGTCGAGGTATACATGGGGCAGATGGAAAGAGGAATGGTGTATTGGTTCGTGAGTACTCGAGTCTCAGTCCATTTCCGAGTAAACATTGTATATATGTAACTGTGAAACTTACGGCGCTTTCAGGTTGTAGGGTACCAAATGGAGGTATGTTCTTTCCCTCCTTTCCTCAATGCTTCAACGTCAACAATTGTGCATGTAGTGTTGTGCTTGATTCCGATGAATCTGATCATTGTTGTTCGTTGTTCGTTGAATAGGATATGTTCTATGTCAAATTGTCGAAGCGTGTATTCAGAATCAAAGATTTTATATCTCTCGATCTCAATCCCAGTCTGACTACTTTCACTCTCGCCCTCCACCCCAAACCACTTTGATCTCGATTTCAACCCCCCAAAAAACGTTTTCTGAGGGTTCAAAAGTCGATGAGGCCAGCAGGAGGAAGCACATGTTCCTCCCAACAAACCCAGAAGGCTTCGGTCATGACTGGTCGGATCCTAACACTGGTAGCGATTGGTGGGAGGATGAAGAAGTGACCAATCCAGTAGCGACAGACAGTGAGCATGGAGGAAGATGATACGCCGTTGCCGCTTGGAATGGTTGTATCCAATTTGAACTTGAAGATTTGATCTACCTGCCATTGCCAATGCTCAGTCTGACTATGTACTAGTCACTTCAGACTGTCGGTGTGTTCAACATTCTGCAATGGTAACTTTCGGGAATTTTTTTGGACCATTTCCGTTGATCATGAACACCCACCGCGGTACCCAACCCTCATGTTGCTCAACTCAAAGTCGGAGCTACCTCCAAAGCATAAACATACTGTATGCCGTAGATTTCCATCTCTGAATCAAAGTATGCGGCACTTGCGCCGGAGTTAATTTCGTGAGAACAAGAATCATAGCTTATCGTTCGACGTCAACGTTCAAGTTCGACTTTGACTTTCCATCTTCGGAGATGTCAATGAGGAACGAGCCTTCAGCTACTGTGAGCTTTTAATCAAGTACTCAATTATTATGCATAACAACACTGCTGATACCTCAAGGATTCTTTCCCATCAGTCCATTCCCCCTGAGCTCAAGTCCTACATCGCCACATTCTGCACCCCAGCAACACTAGCAAACTTAGCTTTGGTGCATAAATCCTTTCAAGAAGAATCTGAAGCAATCCTCTATAAACAGCTTGATGTTTATATCAAAAAGACAGAGTCTACTTCGATTTGGAGTACACTGAAATTGCACCCTGACAAAGCCCTCCTCGTGCGGTCGTTAGCAATATGGTTCCGCCCGCCATGGGACTCTCATAATGACGATGTGCCTATCGCGTATACTGAGCTCTTTTGTTGTGCTCTAGCGAATATGCATGGCCTTGTGGATTTGCGGCTGCATCTCAGTCACCGAGACGTCGAATGGCAAGTACGAATAACGGCGGTTCTGAGGTACCTCTGGGAACTACAATTGCTCTTCATGAATAATGATGCTGATATGTACTGTATAGCAAAAAGCATTTCAACTTACACTCGCTGCATTGCAGCCAGTTCTTTGATCTCTGTGCTATCACCGATGCTCAGTCTGACACACTCCAGATTCTAGGTGTGTTCAGCAATGGTAATCGGGAAAGTTTTCTTTCCACATTCCAGACCATTTCCACCAAACACCCAACCCTCACCTTACTCTCATACGAATGCGAGGGTGTTTATACTATTTTTAAAACTCTGCATATCTATCCTGGGCTATTGCAGGCGGAGTCTGGGTTCTCATGGAAACCTATCTCCGATTGTTTTAGTCGGAATACTAGCCACCCATATATTGGTCTGGAAAGAAAATATGTTACCAGTGTATGTGTTTATCTTTCAGATATCTTTGATACACAGTTCCTTCAGCAACTTGTGGAAGAAATGATTGGATTGTTTCCGAATATCATAGACTTGGAGCTTTTGTTCCAAGACATGCCTCCAGAGGCATGTTTTTTGATTGCTTAAAAGACATCCATGAACTAATGCATACATTATTACTATGACCAGTCGAACATGAAACAATTATCACCAATCATCTCTCTCATCCCTCGTCTACATGAATTGACTTTCGGACATTGGTTTTCTCCAACAACACCATACCATGGACAATCTATCACCAACAGTGATCGGTTCTCATTGGCAAAAACATTGGAGGGAGTATGCCCGGAATTGTGGGTGGTGGTGTTTTCAGATGGTTCTTGGGTAGCACGGTCTGTAGAGGCTAACTCGGATTGGACAACTAAAACTTAGATTTGAACTTGCCAAAGGATGGCCGATGAGTGAAGACAAAGAAAACTAGCACTAAGTTGCCTAGCGAAAATTGAGGGAATGATCGCGGCTTTCAGCGTCTTTCTCAAACTCGATTTACTTCATCGACTGAGCTCCACTGTCCGGTCCACGTCACCGCACATTTCCTACCCTCTGTTTTCAGTACACATACGTGTCCTGAAGAAAGGAAGGAATTTCACAAATATGAAGGTGGAATTGGTGCAGGGTGTGAGTACGCCTATATGCTGCTTTCGACATTCATTCCTTTGTTTTACCTTCGTACATCCAAATAAGTCCGCTGAGAATGCTTATTCCAAACTCAGGATCAAAGCTTTGATAGAATTCCACCAAAATAACATTCCATCTCATGTCCGGCGTTCTCCAACCTCCTCTCCACGATGACCCTCCTCTACTATCTCAATCGAAATCAATCACAACTCTCCCAACCACAATCTCGATTCCAACCCAAAAGCCCAATCCCAACCACATAGTATCCCTCTTCCCATACGCCCCCCTTCTCCCTCTCCTCTGCCACCCCTCCACTGCACCCCGGGCTTCGCTCCCCCCGAGGATGAAGTTTCATAAACGTCTTGATGTTGCTTATGGACCGGAGATCGTTGCGAGGAATAGGAATGGTGGTGAGGGCGGCATGGAGATTTTTTGGTGCAGATTTAGCGAAAACACGGAAGATAAACGGCGCAAGGGAGTTTTGGAGTAGGAGGTTATCGATTGTCACGTTATCAAACCTTCCTTTGTTTGTGGATATATCACCTAGCGCGGCGTTGCTTTTTTCGAAAGGGGATAGGAAGGATTAGGGAAGGGGATGGGGATTAGGTTAGTCATGTTTTTGCGATTTACTTTTGTTTGTTCTCCCTCTCCTTCATCTTTCTTCGACGTCCTCAACATTGTCATATATATCTTTCCCCGTCTTCCACCTCTTCCCGTCTTCCCTTCATCAGGAAACCCACCCATGGGAAATAGGGCATAAATTTGGTAAAATTGCTGAAATTTGATGGATTAGTTATTTCTTGAAATTAGCCAGATTATTTAGCCCCCCATATATTTTAGGTGAAATCAGCGCTAAACAGTCGGATTTCTTCAAATTAATGCCTAGTTGCGAGCAGATTTCGAGCGTGAATTTGTTCAAATTTCCCTTTATGATTCAATAACCACATATGAAGCAAATAGTGAATGCATTTGGTATGTGTACAATAAATACAACATAGATATAGTATTTAAAACTAGACTACTCGAAACTCCTCAGCACAGTAATCACCAACAGTACCAATCTGCAAACGTCACAGCAAAAAAATTGGAACACGGCACTTGTTGAGAATCTAGTGTGAGGAACTCAGTATGAGAGATGAGCAAACAGAAATATATGACAACACACCTTTGAAATATTTTTGTGGGTATTGAAGAGTCACACTGAAGAGTCGAGACTTTGTTTAACTCTACCAAGCAAAGCAAAAATACATAGCTCACCTATTAACCCTTAGCCACCCATTGTTTCTTACTTGCTCGACACCAGCCTGTATCTCCATAAGATGTGTTGGAAGCTGAATGCCTAGCAGGAAAAGTTTAGTGACTGGAGAAAATTAAGGAGAGACTGACTGAAGCAATGATGATGGGGGGAAGAAAGCACAAGAGAACGAGCGATAACGGGGATTTACAGGGATCGAGTAAATTTAAACTCCGACTATTGACTGAGACGGCGACCTGCAACCGAGGTAATATACAATTCAACACTCAAGTCACCGTCTATATGAATTGGACTTGCTCGAATTTTTCTACTACTTAGGCCTTTAAGCTTCTTTTGCTTCAAGTTGCTCACTCCAGGCTTGCTCTATGCTCACTGGTGGTATATTACACACTAAGTCACATCAACTGAGTATTGCTCTGGGCAAACAAATTATTCACATATGCTACCATAAAAGACTTTCCATGCACTCGCAGAGGGCTCAAATTCACAATATTATGGTAGCTTGTAGTATCACAAACTTCTGTAATTTGGCAAAACTTTTGTCAAATTTAAAAGCCATCATTTTAATCTTTCCAATTTGGCAAAATATATGTCAAATTTAGAAGCCGTGATTTTGATCTCATTAATTTGGTGAATTTCGGCTAATTGATAGGATTAGGAAGATTTCGACCATGAGAGGAAAATTAGTGCCCGATTTTCCGGAGGTGGTTTTCCTGATGTTCTTCCTGCTCCAATTTACGTTCACAACAACCCTCAAATCAAAACTAACACCAACCGCTCACACCAAACCCCTACCTATTCCCATTCCCGACAGCTGGTTCCGAACACTAACAATGACCATCGAATACAAATTCTCTATCACCATCCCATCGAATTCATAGAAGAAGACTGCTTTCACAAGGACCCCGTCACCGTCGCCATCGCCGGGCTCCCTCGCTCGTCTCGCTCATCTCACTCAAACCACTCAAACCACTCAAAGCGCACCGTAGGCATCTTCTCTTCGACACGCTTCCTCCATGGGCCACTAGGGAGACACAGACCAAGGACGAAGGTAACTGGCGGGAGGATCAAGAATGTCTTGCGGTATACACACAGAAGGCCACGGAGAGGAATTTGGGTAAGGTGGAGGGGAAGGAGGCCTTTGAGAAAAGGAGGTTGGGGAAGCTCTGATATTGGAATTGGAGTATTGGAACGAGTCGTGGTGAACCTCTAGATCTGAGTTTCATGTAGTTCGTGAATTTTAGCTAATATATGCCTTTCTATGAATCAAAGTATGTATGCGGCACTCTCGGAGTCAATCATCGCGAAAATGGGAACCGTGGCTTATCGTTCAACTTTCAACTTCGACTTTGAGTCCGAATTTTCCATCTTTGGAGATGTCGATGAGGAACCAGCCTTTAGCTATTGTGAGCTTTAATCAAGTATTCAATGAGTAACAACACTACTGATACCCCAAGAATGATTCTTTCTCACCAGTCCATGCACCCCGAGCTCAAGTCCTATGTAGCAATGCAATTAAATCATCATATCAAATTCCAGTTATGCATCCCCCCGGTGCGTGCTGTTGAATGAACTAGATAACAGTGGAACCGGAGGTGGAGCAAGGGCACCAGTTCCACCAATCCCAGCTCCGAGCATTGAATTCGGCACCCCAACCCCATCCCTCAAATTCGAAAGAACATTAGAAATCACACCCCACTCCTTCAGCTCTGCAAATCTCAAAAGCTCTGTCTTCCTATCACTCCTCACGGTCTTGATCAACATCCCAAACACCGCCTCCGCATACTCCAAATCCGAAGTAATCTTAGCACTTCCGATCTTCTCCAACGCCGGGATATCTAGAAGGAGTTGCCAAAATCCTGTTTCGCCGTGTATATCTGTGCTTGTCCTGGAATTGACTGTGGCTGTAACCGTCATGGTACCCAGTACGTCGATTTCGATGGAGAGGTCTTGTTCGCGATTGGGTCCGAGTTTGATGAAATTATAGTAGTCCCGAGTGTGTGGGGAGGAACCGGAAACGACGTATTTATCAGAGCGGTCGAAAAAGACTATCTCTTGGAAGATTTGACCATTTTTGTATTGGAATGCATGTGTGCCTATGAAGAGCACGATTTTTTGGTTTGGAGCGAAGTTTACGATATTGGGGAGGTAGGGTCCGGTGTTGTCTAGTTGGCGACCTAAGCAGATTTTGAATTCTAGAGTGGAAAGTGGTAAGTATGCTGAAAGAAAGACGAGGGAGAGTGAGAGGAAGAGGGGGGGACACAACTCACTTCGCGGCATTGGCGCTTTGGGCAGGGGAGCAGCGTACACCATGACATTGACAAGCATGGCAGTGAAACAGAGGTACATTGAGAGAATTTGATGCAAACGACGAGAGGATGCTAGTGAAAGAAGGAACATGATGATGATACTGATGACAAGTGTGACAGTGGAACTCGTGTGCTCAAAAAACTGCTTTCACACTTAGAGGAATATTAAGTGCAAGGTGGAAAGAGTTGATGGTTCGATTACTGATCGGACCAAGCGTTCAACTAACAGACTCCGACTCCAATCCTGCACTTTACCAGCCTGTCATAAAGTACGCAGCCCCTATCATTTTCCTTTTCTCACCGTCTCGACGCCTTTACTTGTACGATACATCATCCCATCACTGTCAAACCCCCATCGATTACTGATCCACCTGACCCATCTTCTCCTTCTACTGGCTTCCGCCACCTTCCTTGTTCCTAAACTGTACAGTATTACATCGTTGTTTCTCGCAGACCGGATTATGTATATATAGCCAACCCTTCACAGCCTGGTCCCTTATCTTGACCTCTCTGTCATTATCTGGGACCAGGTATGTGCTTACTTATTATTACCTATGACTACGATACTCAATATATCTCTGTCATTATCTGGGACCAGCTTGCCGCCGTTCTGCTTAGTCGCTCCGCCTTGTTGCCTTGTCCAGTTGCTCCGCCTCACCGTTCTGCTTAGTCGCTCCGCTTTCCCGCTCCGTTAGTCACTCCGCCTCTGCCGCTTCGTGACATTAGGTCAAGATCCATTACTGCACTGACAGCCTACCGATAAGGTTGTCCTTGCAGGGTCTATAGACACCACGTCTTCCCCAGTTCCGCCCGACTCTGAAACACCTGTTGCCAGTATAGACTGCTCCGCACTCCCGCACGCACTTGACCCCAGAGACCAAGCTCACGCCCATAACAACGACGATACTTGGCGCGATTGCCAGTCTCAACCTTGCCCCAACGCCCTTTCGAACTCAATCCGAGAGCCACTCACTGTGAGCAATATAACCTTCCTGCCAATTCCCCAGCCCCGATTGCCTACTCCCATCATGTCGACTCCTATCCCGCCTGCCCCAAACACCTCTGCGGAGGATCTCATGGCTCAGCTCATCAGACAAGTAGCTAACCTTGCTACAGCTATGGAGGAACGCTCATCCTCTAAGTCAAGCATGAACAAACCCGAGGTTTTCAAGGGTAAAGATGGCGCTGAAGCCCGTCGCTTCATGGCTCAGTTCCAGAATTGGGCGTCAGAACAACCGGATCTCGCCAAAAGCCAAGTAAAACTCATCAAGTCCGCCTTGGGCTTCTTCACAGAAAGTGCCGGAGATTGGGCAACTCCCCATCTGCTACATTTCAATGCGGAAAATCCCCCCTTCGGAGGAAATTGGGAGGCGTTTCTGAAGGAATTTAGCCAACGGTTTGAACCAATGGACCCAGGTATGGAAGCCCGTAGCGAGATCAAGAATCTCAGGCAAAGTAAAGGACAGACAGTTGCGGAATTCGCTCAGAAGTTCAAGGATATCGGAGATCGGACTGAAATGTCTGATATTGACTTGCGGGAACGTTTCTTCACTGCATTACTCCCAGAGATCCGACAACACCTCATCACTGTAAACATTGCCCAAGGAATTGCTCCGACTCTGAAGGAGGCAATCAAACGGGCCATATCGGTGGATGTCTACCTGCACGATCCCACCATGACTGGCCGGAACTCTGGATACCCTCCCATGCATACCGCTCATACTACCCCTGCTGACCCCCACGCTATGGACATTGATGCAACCCACACCAGTAATGGGAATACTAGGGAAGCATTCCTAGCTCGCATGCGAGGACGATGCTTCGGCTGCGGTGCCCAAGGTCATGTCAAGCAAAACTGCCCACACCGAGAAACCACCTGCCGCTACTGTGGACGTCGAGGACATCTGGAAGCAGTCTGCCAAGACAAATTCATGGGACTCGGACGAGACCGAGGCCGACGCCAGCAACCTCGACGCCAACAGATATCCGCTACGGGGCCCGCGCCATTCTCCCTATTCCCAAACGAATCCGTCCAAATCGCGTCCTCGACCCCAACATCTGCTTCTGCACCCGTAGCTGCTACTCCGAGCCCCCCTAACCAGGACTTTTCCAATCAGATTGGTCAAATAAGGGAATTACTTGATCGTGCTAATGCTATGTCCTCCTCGTCCTCTGGCTTTCAACAGGGTTTTTAAAGAGGGTACCCGCTTCGGCTGCACCGAGAGTACCCCGTAATCAGTTTGTTATGTTCGCTACTTCCTCGTATGACTCGCACCCATCATGTACAATATCGTCGATCCGGGAATTAAACTCTACTTCCCCACATTTCCGAATTCATGCGAGACTAAGAGGAAGGAATCACAGTATAACAACTGCAGCCATGGTAGACTGTGGAGCTACCGCCCTGTTTTTAAACCAAAACTTTGTCACCCGGAACCATGTAAGATGTGCACCCCTCCATAAACCAATCGACGTTTTTAATATCGATGGAACACCTAACCGAGCTGGACGGATAACCCATTTTGCACGTCTAGCACTCACAGTGGATAATCAAGAGCGATGGATGGACTTTCTGATCACCAACCTAGGAGGTGAAGACATCATCCTTGGACTCCCCTGGCTACGGAAGGTAAATCCGGAGATTGATTGGGAGAAAGGACGACTTTCAGTAAAGCCTCCTCGAGTAACGATAGAAGAAGTCCCAGACGAGGAGATCTTGTACTCTCATCTAGCCGCCACTCACACAGAAACCCCGATCCTCGAACTCCCGGAACTGGAACCTCCTGCAGAAAACCCCCACATTGAGGTGCCACTAGAAGCGACCCTTGAACCGAGTGAATCAGCAGCGGTGGAAGAACCACCAATACACCGAATTCGAGCCAATCATAAAACTCGCCGGGCATGGGTAAAAGCAGGAATTCTAGAGGAACAGACGGAGGAAGTCTGGTGCGCCGCAGGATTCACTTACTCCCAGCAGCTAGCAGAGGAAGCCAACCGAGACAAACCCGTTAAAACCTTCGAAGAAATGGTCCCTGAGCAGTATCGTGATTTCAAGAAGGTTTTCTCAGAATCCGCCTCCGAACGATTACCTGCCCACCAACCTTGGGACCATGCGATTGATCTCGTACCTGGAGCACCGGCAACCATGCGTACCAAGATTTATCCCATGTCCCTAAACGAGCAGGAGGAGTTGGATCGTTTCCTAGAAGAAAACCTACGGAAAGGCTATATCGTCCCCTCAAAATCACCAATCTCATCACCGGTCTTCTTCGTAAAGAAGAAGGATGGGAAACTCCGTTTTGTACAAGACTACCGGAAACTGAACGAGTACACGGTGAAGAACCGATACCCGCTCCCATTAGTTGCTGACATCATTAGCCGACTTCAGGGAGCCAGATACTTCACGAAGTTTGATGTCCGCTGGGGTTACAATAACATACGGATTAAGAAGGGGCATGAATGGAAAGGCGCGTTCGCAACAACCCGAGGCTTGTTCGAGCCTAAGGTCATGTTCTTTGGTCTCACAAATTCCCCTGCCACGTTCCAAGCACTTATGAATGCTATATTTGCTGATCTCATTGCAGCCGGCAAGGTGGCAGTCTACCTAGATGACATCCTTATCTTCAGTAACGATCTCGAGGAACACCGACGAATGGTACGGGAAGTATTAACTCGGTTAGAAAAGCACGACCTCTACCTACGACCCGAAAAATGCGAATTTGAACAACAACAGATTGAATACCTCGGACTCATCATCTCAGAAGGGGAGGTGAGAATGGATCCGGTAAAAGTAGCGGCTGTTCGTGACTGGCCAGTCCCTACTAACCTTCGGGAACTACGAGGGTTCTTGGGATTTGCAAACTTCTACCGACGCTTTATCCGGAATTTTGCCAAAATAGCACGACCTCTGAACGACCTGACGAAGAAAGACACCAGCTTTACCTGGACCGACACTCGACAGAAAGCATTTGATACCCTTCGAGAAGCCTTCATCTCCGCACCGATCCTTGCTCTATGGACACCAGACAGGCCTACTCGAATCGAGGTAGACGCATCAGGCTTTGCCACGGGAGGCGCCCTTATGCAGAAGCAAGACGATGGCCAATGGCATCCGGTAGCCTTCAGATCGGCATCCATGCAGCCAGCGGAACGGAACTACGAAATCTACGATCGAGAAATGCTTGCTATCATTGAAGCACTGAAGGATTGGAGGAACTTTCTAGAAGGACTCCCTCAACCATTCGACATCATTACGGACCATTCGAACCTCGAATTCTGGCGCACTGCACAAGATCTCACTCGCCGACAAGCCCGATGGGCCCTCTATCTGTCACGGTTTGACTTTCATATGATCCACCGCCCTGGCAGAGTAAACACCCAAGCTGATGCTCTCTCCCGCATGGCAGTTCATCATGTATCGGACAGCGATGATAACCGACAACAGACAGTCCTTAAACCTGGCCACTTCGTAAAAATTGCAGCTTCGATCCTACAGAACCCCTTAGAGGATCGTATCCGGAAAGCCTCAGAACGGGAAGCACAGGTATTGGAGGGTCTCAAAACAGTCAAAGAGCACGGACTACAGCGCTTGGCCAATGGGATAGCCGAATGGGAAGAGGACAATGGGTTGGTCTACTACCGAGGTCGAGTATACGTACCAGCAAACGACGACCTACGCACTGAGGTACTCCGTCAATGCCATGACCATCCAACTGCAGGACACCCCGGACTACACGGGACACTCGACTTGGTCAGTACCCATTTCTGGTGGCCTACGTTGCGCTCTTTTGTGGAAAAATACGTTGAGGGGTGCGAGGTTTGTGCCCGTAAGAAGATCCAGCGACACCCACGGGCCGTAACTCAACCATTAGATGTACCATCCGGTCTATGGGAAGAGGTAGGGGTTGACCTGATAACACAGCTACCTAACTCCCAAGGCTACGATGCTGTCTTGGTTTGCACAGACCTGTATGGAAAACAAATTCACGCTATTCCTTGCACCAGCTCCATCACAGCCGAAGGCGTTGCCGATATTTACTACCGAGAGATCTTCCGTCTCCATGGTCTTCCTCTTCACTTTAAATCCGACCGCGGACCCCAGTTTGCAGCTAAACTCATGCGATCCCTTCTCGCTAGGCTAGGAATTAAATCAGATCTAACCTCCGGATACCGTCCTCAGTCTAATGGCCAAACCGAACGAGCAAATCAGGAAGTAGAGAAATACATCCGCCTCTATGTAGGACGACGACAAGACGACTGGGCAGAGCACCTTCCCATGGCGGAGTTTGTGATTAACTCACGGACTCATTCTGCGCTAGGCATGTCCCCGTTCGAGCTAACCTACGGCTATCTTCCCCTGTTCAATATCCCAGTGGGTCAACGCAGCGGTATTCCAGCTGTGGATGACCGTATACAGATTCTCCGAGAAGCGCGACAAGATGCCGGAGCTGCCTTACACCTAGGAAAGAAACAACAGAAGGAGGGATACGAACGCGGGAAGCGGAAAGCTCATCAATTTAAAGTTGGAGACCTAGTCTGGCTCAGTGCAGAGGACATTAACCTTCAGCTTTCCAGTGAAAAGTTAGGAGATCGACAGCTTGGCCCTTATCGCATTCTGGAGAAAATTGGCCCTTTAGACTACCGCCTTGACCTCCCCCTATCCCTAGATCGCCTTCATCCCGTCTTCCATGTTGATAAACTATACCCCTGGAAAGGTAACTCCATTAATGGCGAAATACCAACACCACCAGAGCCGGTATACTTAGAGGATGAAGACGAACCGGAATACGAAGTAGAGGAGATCTTAGACAGCCGGGTTCGATGGAAGAAGTTGGAATATTTGGTTAAGTGGAAAGGTTACGATGCAGGGCACAACTCTTGGGAACCCGCAGCCAACCTCAGTCGAGCACCAAAAATTGTTCGGGCCTTTCATAAAAAACACCCAACAGCGGCAAAGCCTTGACCATCGAGGGCAATGGTCATAAGGAGGGGGGTAATGTCATAAAGTACGCAGCCCCTATCATTTTCCTTTTCTCACCGTCTCGACGCCTTTACTTGTACGATACATCATCCCATCACTGTCAAACCCCCATCGATTACTGATCCACCTGACCCATCTTCTCCTTCTACTGGCTTCCGCCACCTTCCTTGTTCCTAAACTGTACAGTATTACATCGTTGTTTCTCGCAGACCGGATTATGTATATATAGCCAACCCTTCACAGCCTGGTCCCTTATCTTGACCTCTCTGTCATTATCTGGGACCAGGTATGTGCTTACTTATTATTACCTATGACTACGATACTCAATATATCTCTGTCATTATCTGGGACCAGCTTGCCGCCGTTCTGCTTAGTCGCTCCGCCTTGTTGCCTTGTCCAGTTGCTCCGCCTCACCGTTCTGCTTAGTCGCTCCGCTTTCCCGCTCCGTTAGTCACTCCGCCTCTGCCGCTTCGTGACACAGCCCCCACAACGAATTCCCCTCACCATATCTGTCTGGTCGTTTGAGAGATTTTCAGAATATTGTCGGAAGGCATTTTCTGCCTCGTGGAACTAGTATCGTGACACGACGACCACTAGTGAGTCTTTTTGGCGTTTCTAGACGCTGGACAGCATGTAATTGTTGCTTTGCAGGTCTTACAACTGATACATAGACCTTCAACAGCACATCAGAATGGTGGTCGTGCGTATTCTTTTTGTAGTAACGCGAATAGTCACTATTGTACTTTTGTTTCTTCAGCACCGGAATTGGGGGAAGACGGAGACGCTGCGGCCAAGGCAGATGAGAACATGACATTGGACTCTTCCAAATCCATTGCACTTGCGCTTGAAGCTGAACGCGACTTCTTTGAAAAACCATCCGTCTTACGAAGGAAAAGCACAGTGTTGTGGTACTCTATTCCTGACTCGTAAGCTTAACATGGTACGCAGCTTGATTCACCTGCGGGTGCTATTTTATTCAAATACTGTATCTGTATAGATCCTTATGCACCACATTCGCGCCACTCTGCCCGACATTAAAGCCAGAATTTCCTCCCAGCTGCTGAAATACAATGCCGAACTTATGCAGCTCGGAGGGTTTATGGCTGAGCATAACTCTGGCGATGTCGTCCTATCTGTCATTACGGATGTTCACACTTGTTTGCACAGCTCTAAGTACTGGTGTAAGTCGCCCCATGCGCTTGCAGTGGTGTGAACATCAAAGATGCGGGTCGTCAACGCAACGTATCAGAACATATCACGCTGTATCCTGTCGATATTATAGCGACGTTACAGAGTGAAAATCCCGGTCCACATGGAGCCCCCACAAGCGAGATAGAGAGCGACAGTTTCCTGCATTTTTCACTTGATAGGCCCTCAATCATCCGAAGGACCCTCTAGCTTAAAAGAGCTCAAATGAGCAGGCCGTTGGGGCTCGTTCTCAGTCGCTTTCAACCAAATGATTCATATTTCTTATATAGCTCAATATGGCTACTAGTATATATAGCTGATACCACTGGTCTTGTAATATTATCACCCTCGTCACTTTTCCCCCGAATTCTCCCCCCAAGTCAACGCTGGTTCGGTGAGCTCTTGTGTTTCCCGCAGTATTCCTGTGGTATTCCTTACAAAAACTAACTACGACGACTGCGTTTTTGTTGTTATACAGTTGCTTGAAAAATTCGCTATCTGTTGGTTGTGAACTCTTGGACTCTTGTTGAACGTTGAACGTTTGGTCTGGTTAGTAATTGAATCATTCACTCTTCACTCGCTTTCCTTCCTCACACTTGGAACCCCTCTCTGCGTGAAAGCAGTTTTTTTTTAGCGCACAAGTTCCACTGTCACCCTTGTCATCAGCCATCATCGCCATGTTCCTTTTTTCACTAGCATCCTCTCGTCGTTTGCATCGAATTCTCGCAATGTACCTCTTTTTCACTGCCATGCTTGTCAATGTTCTGGTGTTCGCTGCTCCCCCGCCCAAAGCGCCAACGCCGCCAAGTGAGTTGTGTCCCCCCCCTCTTCCTCTCACTCTCCCTTGTCTTTCAGCATACTTAGCACTTTCCACTCTAGTCAAATATACCATCCGCTTAGGTCGCCGGGTAGGCACCACCGGACCCTTCCTATCCAATAATATAGGCTTTGCCCCAGACCAACAATTCGTGCTCTTCGTAGGTGATCGTCATACGTTCCAATACCACCACGACACCGGCAAAATCTCGGCTGAGATTGATGTTGTTGATTTCAAGACTTTCGGTTCCTCCCCTCCTTTCATCAAACTCGGAACCGACTACGAACAAGATATCTTCATCAACTTCGGCGAAAGGGAGACCATGACGGTCAAAAGAGCAAACGATACCATACCCATATATGGCTTGCCAGGATTTTGGGGACTCATTCAAGATGTTGAGGATTTGCGGACGACCACAGGTATTCGGTTTAACTCGGACACGGGGTATGTGGATGCGGTGTTTGTGGCGTTGCTGGAGCTCGTGAGGGCTGATGGGAAGACAAAGCTTCTGGAGCTTGAAGACTACCAGAGGTGGCAGAAGATTCATACTCTGAATTGGAATTTGAGAGGTGGGGTTGAGAGGATGCTTGGAGCCTGGGATGATCAGAGCCGCCATCGCCAATAAACGGAAAAGTATTATGGGCAGAATGTAATCGAAGATGGAAAATTGGAAGTCAAAGTTGAAAGTTAAACATTGAAAGTTGAACAATAAGCTAACGGTTTCCCGTTCTCGTCGAGAAATCGACTCTGAGAGTGGCTGCATACTTTTGATTCAAAGAAAGAGGTCTACTGGCCGAAATTACGAACTAGTACGAACTAGTACGAACTACGTAGAACTCCGAAGTCAGATCTAGAAGTTCATTTCACGACTCGTTCCGTTACTCCAATTTCAATGATCAAAGCTTCCCCCAACCTGGCAACCTCCCTTTCTCAAAAGCGGACTGAAGAAAAGATATATTTCGAGGAGTTTGTTTTGATTTTGTTTTAATTGAAGACGTATTTGATTGAATGTATATATGTATATATATATGTAATTCCGTATGTCCATGTTATCGAAGTCTAGATATCTTGAAGCGTAGACTACCATACCATACTATACTGTACCCTACGTAGGAACATTATCCCCGCCGTCCTTGTATCCCCATCTACCCACCCATCCATCTATCCATCTCTACCCATCTACCCATCTACCCATTTATCCAAACAACCCACTCCCAAAAAACCCCCCCCTCCTCCCCTTCCTCCCCTGACGAGGAGAGCGAGGAAAGGGACGACGAAGCGGATCGTACTGGTGCTGATACTACTGGTGGTCGTGAGGAAGGTGGTCGGGAGGAAGAAGCAGATGGTGCAGATGAGAGAAGTGGTGCAGGGTAAGGAGAGGAAGCAGATGGGTTCGGAGAATGATGGAATGGGTTGATGTCATGAAGTCTCATGATGCGCCCTTTGATGCGCCATCAGCGCGGTGTGTTCCCATCAATCTGTTTTCACATGTTTATTGTACTTCATCACACGATCATCCCATTAGTTCCATTTGTTTCCGTACGCTTCCATACAACTCATCCTTATTCATCGATTAGTTCATTATGGTTCATTATCGACTCATTATTACTCGTATATATTGATTCCTCACTCTTGTTCTATATCGCATCGTTATTTACAATCGCTTACTCAGTAGACAAGAGTAGTATATAAAGGACAGTAGACAGGCCCTAGTTCCCCATCTCGACCTCTTGGTCATTGGGCAACTAGGCAAGTACTTGTATCCTTTTAGATACTACCTATCTAACTTGGTCATTGGGCAACTAGATTCCCTTTTGATTGCTGGTGTGATTGGCCTTGGACGCTATCCCACTGTTGTTCGAGATCATTATTTCTTTCATCTGTGCTTTGTGCTTGTTTCTGTGCCTCTTCGCTCTGCCACTGTCGCTCCTAGGCATATCTGGACCTCCTGCCTCCCGCTTCCTGCCTCGTCGCGACATTAGGTCGAGATCCTCTACTTGTACCATCAGCTTGGTGAGCTGATCCTACAAGGCACCCACCACGTCTACCTTCGGAGTCAACGTTGATTGCTCCAACCACTTTCACGCGCTTGATACTGTAACTAACACCACTTGCTACTGGGACGCTGAAGAAGAAGAGTGGGAACCCTGCTCCAGACAACCGTGCCCTAATCGATACGAGAACACATTTGACGCAAGTCCGACCGACCGTTACCAACCCATCCACAGACCAGCACCACCTGCCAGGGTAGGACGAATCAGTACTCCTACTACTTCCACTCCTGCACCTCCGCTAGCATCTGCGGAACCATTAGCTCCTGCTGTCACTGAGACCACAGCCGACCCCGATATCGAAATACAATCAATCCCTGAAGAAGACATGTCCTCAGCACAGGACGTTCGAGACGCTATTACAGAGCTTACAAAAAACCAGGCTAAGCTCCAAGACGTGGTCTCTGAGCTAGTAAGTGGCCTCAGCACTACCAAAAGTGTTGGCAAGCCACAGAACTACAATGGAAAGCGAGGAGAAGATGCCCGGCGCTTCCTAGCTGCCTTTGAGCTGTGGGCCAACTCTATCCCTGCTCTCTCCACGGATCGTAAAAAGAAAATCACATCCGCCATTACATACCTTGAGGGGGATGCAGCTATCTGGGCCACTCCTATCTCCGAAACAATTAATAGATCAAGTATAACTGGCTCAGGAGTACCTTTCCCATACGATACATGGGAAGAATTTGTTATAGCTTTCAAAACACGTTTTGAGACCACAGATGCCTCGGCCGATGCCAAGCAGCTCCTTAAACGGCTCTACCAGAATAGGACCACGGTGGGAACCTATGCCTCTACCTTCCAACAGTACGCAGACCGCACTGGCTACTCAGACAAAGACTTGCGAGACCGGTTCTACGATCACCTTGCAGATCGAGTAAAAGATGGCCTTGTATTCACAACCCGCCCCACTGGCTCCCTTCAGGAACTGATTGAAGCAGCCATCGACGTAGACAACCGACAAATTACTCGAGCGTGGGAGCAAGGAAAGAAACTGGTCGATGATGGAATCCTGACCAACTTTAGACCCACCACTGTTGCGACCCCATTCACTGCGCCTACTCGAGACCCAAATGCTATGGACATTGATGCCACCACCACTCGATCTCCTGATGCCTTTCGTCGCTTCATGATAGGACGATGCTATGGATGTGGATCTAAGGAACATCGCAAGGCTGATGGTCACCATGAGCGGGACATCTGTCGACACTGTGGCCTCAATGGCCATGTAGAGGCTGTGTGCCGTCGTAAGTTCTTAGGACTCCCTGGAAGGAAGGCTACTACCATTAGTGCCACCAGCATTCCGGATACAACTCAGTCTGCCGCTCCGGGTACCATCATTGCTGCTACACCAGATCTTGCCGCGCTACTAAAGGAACTTGCAGCCAATCAGCAAGTTCTTGCTGGGCAAATTGCCGAATTACACAAGAATTTTTAAATTGGGAACCCGCCACCGCTGCAGCGTCGTTCCCCAAGTCGTGCTCAAGATCTCCATCGTCTGTATATGCCTCTATCACCTCCTGTACTATTAGCGCACTAGAATTCAATGATATATCCCATTTCCGTGTGCCCATAGAGCTTAAAGGACGATTCCGGAGTACAACAAGTGCAGCTATGATTGATTCCGGTGCCACTGGTCTCTTTCTACACCAAAAATTTGTTAACAAGCATCATATCTACATTCGATCCCTACCCCGCCCCATTGAACTCTACAATATTGATGGAACCGCTAATTTAGCAGGGCGGATCACTCATTCTGCTCGACTTTTGGCCAGGGTGGACCAAAATCAACCCCAGATCTTAGAATTCCTAGTTACAAACATTGGATCTGAAGACGTAATTTTAGGGCTCCCTTGGTTACGTAAGGTCAACCCTGACATCAACTGGCGTGATGGGCAGATCCAGATCCCTGCAAAGCCAAAGATTCAGCATCATGTAGCTATCGAGGAGATCCCAGAGCCCAAAGAACCCAATATCGGAGGAAATACAGAACAAATCCTAGAACCTAATAGAGCAGAATCAAATGGCCTTTCTCACATTGTTCCAAAAACTGAGCTAGGTCCAGAGACAGCTGAAACTGGCACGTCCTTGGAAGATGAGCTAGTCTTTGAGGAATCAGGAAGTCCACTGTATCGCTTGACTGGAAATCGCAAACGACGTCGTGCTTGGCTCCGTGCTGGGTTTATCCAAGAGGTAACAGAAGAGCTATGGTGTGCTGCCGGGTACACCTATTCCCAACAGCTTGCCGAAGCAGCAAATAAAGATAAGCCCCAGAAAACATTCGAAGAGATGGTGCCTGAGCCATATCGGCGTCATGCGAAAGTATTTTCCGAGAAAGAATCCGAACGACTACCTGAACACAAACCCTGGGATCACGCTATTGACCTGAAACCCGACGCCCCCGAAACTCTACGCACCAAAATCTACCCCATGTCAGTAAATGAGCAGAAAGAACTAGATCGATTCCTGGAAGACAATCTCCGGAAAGGATATATCCGACCATCCAAATCACCACTTTCCTCACCTGTCTTCTTTGTAAAGAAAAAGGATGGCAAACTACGATTCATACAGGACTATCGACGTCTGAATGAATACACTGTCAAGAATCGTTATCCTCTCCCTCTGGTCGCTGACATCATCAATTGTCTACGACAAGCCAAATACTTCACCAAGTTTGACGTACGATGGGGTTACAATAACGTCCGGATCAAGGAAGGCCATGAGTGGAAAGCAGCTTTCTCCACTAACCGGGGACTCTTTGAACCACTGGTCATGTTCTTCGGCCTCACCAACTCGCCAGCTACATTCCAGGCCCTTATGAACTCCATTTTTGCTGATCTTATCGCGGCAGGAAAAGTAGCTGTGTATCTGGATGATATCCTCATCTTTTCCGCATCCCTACAGGAACACCGGAAAATAGTTCATGAAGTTTTGGAACGATTAGCCAAGAATGACCTCTACCTCCGCCCTGAGAAGTGCGAATTTGAACAAACCTCTATTGAATACCTGGGCCTAATCATCAGCGAGGGAGAGGTTCGTATGGATCCTGTCAAAGTTGAGGCGGTTAAGAACTGGCCAGCCCCAACCTGCCTCCGAGATGTCCGAGGATTCCTAGGCTTTGCTAACTTCTACAGACGCTTCATTGATGGATTCGCTAAAAAGGCGCGAGCACTGAATGACCTCACCAAGAAGGGGGTGGGATGGTCTTGGGGTACCAATGAGCAGGTAGCATTTGAGGCGTTAAAAGAAGCTTTTACCACAGCACCCATTCTAGTCCTCTGGGATCCCGACAAACCGACACGTATCGAAGTGGATGCTTCTGGGTTCGCAACTGGAGGGGCGCTATTACAACAGCAAAGAGATGGACTTTGGCATCCCGTGGCATTCCGATCTGCTTCCATGGACCCTGCAGAGCGGAACTATGAAATCTACGACCGAGAGATGTTAGCCATCATCGAAGCCCTGAAAGACTGGCGACACTTCCTAGAAGGACTCCCAAACCCCTTTGAAATTGTGACCGACCATCGAAACCTGGAATACTGGCGAACTGCACAGGATCTAAGCCGGCGACAAGCAAGATGGGCCCTGTGGCTCTCACGGTTTGACTTTACTCTTACACATAGGGCTGGTAAAGCAAATGCACAAGCTGACGCTCTCTCCCGAGTCTCTCAACTCGAGGTTATGGATGCTGATGACAACCAACAACAAATAGTTTTACGGCCAGAACACTTCCTCCGAGCTGCTACAGCCGTCTTGTTCCAAAACCCCCTTGAGGAGCGCATTCGGAAGGCAAGCGAGCGAGAATCGGAGGTTCTTGAAGGACTACGTAAATTGAAGACACATGGACCCCACAAACTTGTGAATGGTCTAGCCGAATGGGAAGAGAAGGAAGGAATTGTCTATTACAAAGGCCGGGTGTATGTCCCACCTGATCCTCAACTACGCCGGGATGTCGTAGCACAGTGTCATGACGCACTCACAGCTGGTCACCCAGGAAAGCACCGCACCCTAGAGTTAGTTAGCCGACAGTTTTGGTGGCCTACGGTTCGATCATTTGTTGATAAGTATGTGGAAGGATGTGACAACTGTCAACGAAGACGTGTAAGGCCGCAGCCACAATCATCTCTAGAGCCTCTGCCTGTACCAGGAGGACCATGGCAGGACATCGGCGTGGACCTCATTGGAGAACACCCGATGACACAAGATGGACACAATGCGGCAATCACCTTCACAGACCATTACTCCAAAATGATTCACTGCTTCCCCACTACAACCGAACTGACTGCCGAAGGAGTTGCCGACTTCTATTATAAAGAAATCTTCCGACTTCATGGACTGCCCAGACGATTTATCTCTGATCGAGGACCACAATTTGCTGCCGACATCATGAAGGCCTTGCTAAAACGGTTGGGTATTGAATCTGCCCTGACAACGTCATACCACCCTGAAACAAATGGCCAGACTGAACGAGCTAACCAAGAAATCGAAAGATACATCCGGATGTATGTTAGCCGACGTCAGGATGACTGGGACCGTCTTCTTCCTACTGCCGAATTCGTTATTAACTCTCGAGTACATTTTGCCCACGACAAAGCACCATTTGAAGTGCTCTACGGTTATACCCCAGAATTCTCCATCCCCATAGGATCCTGGAAGGAATACCCTTCAATCACAGATCGGCTAGATGCACTCCGCTATGCTAGCATCTGCGGAACCATTAGCTCCTGCTGTCACTGAGACCACAGCCGACCCCGATATCGAAATACAATCAATGTCGCGACGAGGCAGGAAGCGGGAGGCAGGAGGTCCAGATATGCCTAGGAGCGACAGTGGCAGAGCGAAGAGGCACAGAAACAAGCACAAAGCACAGATGAAAGAAATAATGATCTCGAACAACAGTGGGATAGCGTCCAAGGCCAATCACACCAGCAATCAAAAGGGAATCTAGTTGCCCAATGACCAAGTTAGATAGGTAGTATCTAAAAGGATACAAGTACTTGCCTAGTTGCCCAATGACCAAGAGGTCGAGATGGGGAACTAGGGCCTGTCTACTGTCCTTTATATACTACTCTTGTCTACTGAGTAAGCGATTGTAAATAACGATGCGATATAGAACAAGAGTGAGGAATCAATATATACGAGTAATAATGAGTCGATAATGAACCATAATGAACTAATCGATGAATAAGGATGAGTTGTATGGAAGCGTACGGAAACAAATGGAACTAATGGGATGATCGTGTGATGAAGTACAATAAACATGTGAAAACAGATTGATGGGAACACACCGCGCTGATGGCGCATCAAAGGGCGCATCATGAGACTTCATGACAGTTGATATCCTCCTCCTCACCCTCTCCTTCGTGTTCCTCCTCCTTCTCTACTTGAAGGGGTATTAAGGGAACGTGCTTTTGCGTAGTCGGAGGAATCGGAGAAGAAGGATGGGGATGGGAAGGAGGAATCCCCTCTTGTAGGATTTGGTGGATCTGGATTACCTCCGCCTCCACCTCACCCTCCACCTCACCTTCTCCTTCTTCCCTCGGACTCGAAGTACCCCCCATATCCCTCCTATCTCGAGTATCCCTCAGATACTCAAACACCCTTGCAACGAGGTCCCTGTGTTCTTTGATCCCTGTGCCTAGGCGCAACCCTATCTCCGTCCCCACACTTTCCCTTTCCCTTCCCATCTCCCCCACCCCTGACAGACAGGTGGACCGTCTCGGAACTACTCGGAACCAGCACACCCGAGTCTACCATGGAGGCTACCCCCGTCAATTTTATTAAACCTCAAGGCCTCACTGCTCCGGCAGCTTTGAGCAAGAGACAGAGAGAAACAATGGAAATTGGAAGTTATCCGAAGTTGGGTTTGTATATAAACTCACGCTTTACTTTTACACGAGCCCCAGTCACAGATATTGTGTAAAAAAGGCCAGGTAGTAGCATGTCTATAATGGTACACAATGATAGCAAGTCATCAGAGATGGTGGTCAGCGCATTTTTGCACAATCGGTTTTGCACAATCGATTATATTACGGCAGGCGCTCAGCATCCTCATTTGGGTGCACCGCCAGCAGCCGCCAGCCTCCCCGCCCTCATCTATCTAGATTTGCAGATCCTGATTCGAAGCAGATCTCGTATCGAAATTGTACCTTTGTACCTAGATATTCCTAGTGGCTTCCTCTTCTACGCAGTACGGCTCCTTCCTCCGTCGGTTGTTGGTACCTTTGATAGATAAGATTAGATATGCTCAGTACCTTCAGATTATATATTGACCTTGTCCTTTGCCAATACTAGCAGCTTGTCCCATTGCCATTAGTCAGGTGAGTTACAGCGCACAACTACGGGCATAGTGGATGCTGGATGCGGCGCTCCTTCATTGTGACTCACATCCTAACCCAACGGGCACTTTCCATAGCGTGCACATGCATGGGCGCTTCCTGGCATTGTGCACAATGCAGAAAAACTTCCTTCGTTATGCACAATGGAAATCCACCATCCTGCTGACTGACCCTCTTCTTCCAACCTCCAGCTTCAAGCCTCATCTTCTCAACGTTTTTCACGTACATCGATTGTGCACAACAGTCATATACCATTCACGTCCCACCATGCTCAGTCCTCGAACTGCCACCTTCATTCGCGTACACCAATTGTGCACAATGAACGTCAATTCTTCTTCAGCACGCTATGGTACTCATCCTTGATTCCTTCCTCCCGTCTCTCGACATTCTACCCATCCTTTTCAGAGCTCAATTCCACAATGGACATAGTTTCGAATGAACGTGATGGCAACACAGTTGTATCTCTCACCTCAATATTGCAGAATCTCCACCTTCAACTTGACCGAGGTATGTCATTCATTATAACTACTGATCTTGATTAACGATTCGCTTCCTTGTCCTCGACAATAGCCTTGAACCAAAACTCTCAGAGACAGGATACTCCCCAGGAACCCGAAGTGGTGGCCGCAGCAGAAGTTCCGGGAAATAGGGTAGCTGATATCACTGGTAAGCTCAACGCAAAATTCCAACCGACTCCTGCCTAACATGTTCGTGTCTATTTTAGTTGAGGACAATCAAAGCTCTACCTCGTCTATGTCCTTCATCAGTACTCTATCCTCAGAAAACCAAACTTTATGTCCCATTTGTAGTGGATCTACTCCCGCTGTGCGTTCCTCTCACCGACCCGCCTTATGGTATAGTGTCACAGCTGGACTTGGAGTCGGCATCTTCCCATCGCTGTAGGTAATCTCTTTGGAATTTTGGGTACGCAAATTCATTTTTATATCAGACAGCTTGCCCAACCTTTTGTACATAAGGTCAAGGGTAATTTTATGCGGGGGTTTACCACACGTGAGCAAGCAGAGGCGGACTTCTGTCTGGCCAGGGACCTCGGGTTATTGCAGATCATTCAATAGTTATATTTTGTATCCTTTCGCGTTGCTACTTGCTATGGTCATTAAAGCGCTTTCATGAGCTTGGGTTGTAATTACCGGTGAATTTTATTCAGTTAAATGGCATCCGGCCCGTGACTTCCTAGGTTCCTGGGTTACCGGTACGGCCACGTTGTTATTCCCATCTTAAGTCGCCGGGCAACAGACTTTCTCCGTATCAGCCATATTTTTTTTCATTTCCACCCCGGCCGGCCATCTTTTCTTTTTTCCTACAATATTTGAATTGCAAACATATGGATCAATGGGCAAAACATGAACATCAGAAATAGAACGTGCTTGGCTTATGGCCAGAATGCCTGATTTCCTTCAGGCTCAGGCCGACTCCAACATCCCCAGCTTCAAAGTCAAGGTCACTTCTGAATGGACAAAAGCATTCCCCATTATGGGCATGGACGATGATACACTTTCGTCGGAGGCACGGCAGAAAATTGCTGAACAAATGCAGGCCCAGCACACAGTATGTTATAAGCTTTTCATGTTTGGCTTCGAAAGTGTAACTCTATCTGCAGAAGGTGGTCCAGTGGTTTTACAACGCAAGCGACTCCCGCAAGCGAAAAACTAAACCGGGTGCTCATATCAAAATCGATCCCGGGAACTCCACGCGTGCTCCTCAGAAAATCGAAATCTTCGAAAAGCTCTGTGATGGGGCTGCGATCATCCAGAAGGAATTGAGCGAGGAAATCGCGCAGCTATCTGCCAATGGCGAAGTTATTGATAACAGAGTACGGATGGAGAAGCGTAATGCCATTCGAAAGGCCGCATTGGCTAATGCTGACGACAGTACGCGAGCCAAAGTCGATCTCTTGTACAATGAGCAGATACTGGAACACCGATCCAAGAAAAAGCAGAAGTCTTCCACTGATGCCACTTCTCTTGAGCCTCTGCATGGTAAGGCCCGTGCAAAGTACGTCACTACATAATTGTCTGCTTTGAATACCTCTGTTAATATTTTTCAATATAATGTTAGGTTTCTCAAGAATATTCCGACTGCATGTCAAGAGTTCGGCGACACTATATCTTCTTTAGGAAGTGCAACGACACTTACACTTGTCAGTGCACGCTGCCCACAGAATAATGGTCATGTCTGTACATGGGGGTATATTCTATTTAACTTGTATCATGGCATGAGTGCTAATGAAATCGTTCTAGACACGTCGTTGGTAAGAACATGGCTGGTTTGAACTTCTCACAAGCGTATGCGGGATATCATCAGCATGTAGTCCAGGCTTTTGCTCAGTTTGCAGCCGATATACTTCGTATGTAACACTTTTCACTGGTTTATATGTATTGTATTAATCAAACAAAATCAGCTCCCATACCGGCTGCAGATCTCATCAAGAAAGACAAAAATGACTCTGTGCAGGACGTAGATGGTGACTGCTCAATGACTGCGGAATCTTCAAGCGCTCCCACTACACCCACAACCGTTAACTCTTCTGACGTGGCGCTGTCAAAACCTCCAGGCGAGGCTGCTTTGACTGCACTGCCACCTTCATCGGGCTCTCATGACAAAATTGCACTACCATCCCGCTCATCTGACTCGCCTTCAATGCCTAGAGTTGTAGACCCTTTGACTGCACTTTCCAGCTTATCTCACGAGGCGTCAATATGTGGAGCCGAAATCGCTTCAGCTCGGTTACCTTCTAACTCTTCTGGCTCGGCATCAACGACAATAACCGAAGGGGCTGGTCTCATGGGTACAGGTGGTTTACCAGGCGTTCAGTCACAGGCTATCGTCAATACTAGTGTTACCGGAGAGTATCCAGGGGTGGTGTCAGCTTTTGGAGCTCAAAACTTCCCTGCATCTACATCATTACCGATGTCTCCTTCATCCCTCTCATCTCAGAGTCAGTTCGGCAGTCAATATGCCCTCACCAATGATTTCTCTGCATTCGCACCAAACACGTATGGTCTTCCATCCAGCGCACTTGACGACCAGCTCCTCTGGGCTGACGGTACTTTGAACAGTCTGAATCATAATATGATGAATCTTTTCATGGACGCTGATTTGGGACCAAATATGATGCTCTTCAACGATAACGCATCTTGGAATACCAATCTCTTCTCCGGAATCAATATAGCGGGACTTGCTCCCGGAAGTCCTGGGCTTCTTTCTCTTCCCTCGTTGTTGCAACAATCTGATTCTACTATCAGCTCCTTCCGTGGGTCCTCTCTTGAAGGGTCGCTACCTATTTCATCCAGCTCCTCTGTGCAAAGCCTCTCTCCAGTACCTGACTCCTCCATAGGTATTTCCTTGCCAGAGTTGAGTATCGAAGGCACCTCTACTTCCATTGCTCGCGTTACAGGTCCAGCACCTAATCTCACCTATGAAAACCCTTTGGGTGCAACTCCTGCTGCCATAGCTCCCTCATCGGATCCAAGATCCTCCATCAGAAAGGCTGGCACAAAATCCGCCGCTGCAATTGATCCAGCAGCAAAACCGAGGTCCTCCATCGCAAGTACAGTGGTATCGAGCACGGGCAATCTGAATACCTCTCTCGAGGACTCAACTGCGAATATCATGGATTTTTCTCTAGCAGCACTTGAATCGTTCCAGCCATCCGCGGATGCCTCTACAATGCTTCCACCTGAATTCACGTTCGAGCAGATGACGGCTGGCTACCAGGGTATTCTTGACACTGGTCTGTCATCCTCTGTGCGTCCTGTTTCAAAGGTACTTTCACCTGTCGTTCCCCCAGCTGTCATTACCCCGCCTGCCGTTACCCCGCCTGCCGTCACCCCGCCTGCTGTTACCTCGCCTACTGTTCCCCCACCCGCTACACCTTCTGCTCCCCCACTTGCTGAGCCAAAAAAGAAGCGGGGTGGTCAGAAAGGAAAAAAGGCTAAAGCTCAGAACACCGTGACAAAGCAAAAGATTGCACCGGAAAATGTGAGGATTGATGCCACATTAGAAGACACCATAGGTCCAGATGAGAGGACTCAGAAACGGTCGAGATCTTTTTCTAAGAGTGAAGACATCGATGTGTTAAACAAACGTTTGAAGTCGGACTCAGTACAGCCGCAAGTTGATCAGTGTTCTACAGCTACCAGTGCTTCAGCAGGAGTTACAACAACTCATAGTGGGCGGACTACAGTTGCGCCCCGGCGCTATGTCGAAGAGTAGGTATATCTCGCTATCTCATTTCTTGTTATTCCCTCTTGGTGACCATTACAGTCGATTCCAATATATCAACTTAGTCCTTCCCTCTCGAGTCTCATAGCATAGCGATCTAGTCTGATCTAGTCTTGATGTCTATACAAATCAATTGTGAATTATTACCGCAGTTGTGATGATACGTGGGAATAGGTGGATTATATAGACTTGGCCCAACCTGAGCGCTCCTGAACATCAACTTCAAGCACCATTCAGTACTTCAGTTCTCAGACACCAATTTTCAACCATGTCATCGCCGAACTTTGTACTACCCTCTGAAACTGTAACCTCTTTGATTTCAGTTCTCCAACAACTGACCCATACCATTGGTACGTTCTCACACCGTTCATTTCATGCACCTCCATAATGTGCTCCAGCTCAACAAACCCAAGCCTTGCACGACATTGGCTCTCAAAGGGCACAGTACCACCTGCAGAGTATGTGATCTTGAAATGGAATTGAGCAACAATTGCTAACTTATCGAGCTCACAGGTTCTGCCCACCCTCTCAAAGACGCTGTCGTCGTACCTGCCAAGACTGTGACTATCGCTTCTGCTGCTGCTGTAAATATCGCTGCTGCTGCTACTGCCGCGCATTCATCAGCTCGATCAGCCCAGGTTGAAGTATCTGAGGGAGAGCCAGTTGAAAAACCAGACACAGCGTATCATCATTGTGTAGGAAAGAAGTGGTATAGCGTAACTGCAGGCCTTGCTGTGGGTATATTTCCCTCGACGTGAGTTTGCAAGGCCCTCAACTCTGCTATTGCAGCTAACCATCATGTTTGAAGGTCATTTGCGCAACCTCTAGTTTTGGGTGTCTCCGGGGGACTTATGCGCGGGTTTCCAACACGCGAAGAGGCCCAGGCTGATTTTGACCTTGCTCAGAAGAACGGCTTGCTTCGTATCATTCAATAGCTTACCCTTTATTCCTTTCAATGAAATTCGTTGCATATTTGTTTCCATCCATGCTTCTGAGCGAACTACGCCCCATTGAGCACCCTGGCCACGCAATAAAGTATTCAATTGAATCTGTTCCAGAATTCGCTGTCTTTGGGATGCACAATGCGCGGTAGATCCACAAGGCTCGGTAGATGCACAAAGCTCGGTCGTGTACAGGAGTCCGTTGATGCACAATGCACAATGCACAATCATTCGCAGACTCTGGTTATTTTGTGCACAACCTACAAGAATACACATAAGAGAATTAAACGCAGGCCCGCATTAAATTTCTGGATAGAACTGGCTTTCGCACCATTCCACCATTCCATCCACACTCGGTGTCATGGAGCAGCTTCTGAACGCATATCTGAATCTTCACAACATTCTGCCTATCAGAAATGAACAGCTGGGCAACATACAGTCTTTGTCTCATGATGAGATTGCAAATATTCGCTTCACGCATGAGCAGATGACTCTCAAGTGCCTTCGTTTGGTATTTGTCACACTTCCTTTCCTTATTGATGTACTCAGTGAACAACATGCAATTACTGCATGGGTCGAGCAAAATCACAGAGATGATTATCCAGGTGCTCTGGAACATATCTCTCTGCTCCACATTGATATCGAGCAGGCAGTTGATGTCAGCTTCCAACAGCTGATGCTAGACGTAGCTTGTGCCTGCATGGCTGCGAGTGATACAGCCCCAGCTGAACGCATCATTTTACCGCCCATCTTGTCTCCAAAGGCTGGCCCAGCTCATCGCCTTATAGGCAAGGAAAGCAGCACTCCGAGAATCCGACGGACAGGAGCCAGATTCTGCAGGCCATCTTCTCGGATCATGGACAACCTTGACAAGGGATATGAGCACTCAATTATTGGGTCCACAACGCGTGACCTTCGTTGGTCATACAAGCAGGAGCGGTGTATTTAGAAAAACATGTACACTACATCAATAAAAAGTCTCCTATTTGATTGATACTTTATCTTGCATTAGGCTGCAGCTACTGGCCTCACATGCCTGACCCGTCGAAGGAGCTACCCCAGATTGAGGGCTCACAAATGCGGCGGGACTTCCAAGGAAACACCTTACGGCGGCGGACTCTCTCTCGCTCAGCCGAAGGATAAAGCCTTGAGATGGCAGACTCTCTCACGCTCAACCTCAGTAGGGCCCCCTCTCCTCTCCTCGTATCTGGATTTTATACAGGGGGTCAGCACTCCGACAATGGCATGGGGCAACAATGCAGGCAACAATGGGGACAACTTACCACCGGGAACTCTATTGTTTTTCTGCCACCTACGCATGGCCATCAAGCGGTAGCTAAGCCCTCAAGAGGTAATTGGCCAAAGGAACATTGAATGGATGTCGACTTACCTATATAAGGACAGTCGTCAAATTTACCCTTACGGAAAAACTCCCTGACCACTACCATGCCTAAGACTCATCGAGGTAGACGCAACCGTGAAAGGGTTATACAGCGGATAGATCGTCACTGGGCAGAAAAAGGAGGTACGATAATTCATAGTCCTTGGAATTGAACACTCACCTTTGGACTGCGCTACAGCTACCACTGCCACAGTTGAGGTAGACCAGGCTCCCAGTCAGTACGCCCGTATGAAGGCAAATGGCAAAGAACTCCTGCGACGACTCGAAATTGACTACCCTCCGGAAACGAGATTGTTGGCTCAAGCACCTCAAACTTCTCAACTGAATATTATGGCACCTTCTCTTACAAGAGAACTGAAGCCAGGTTTGACAGCGGTGCTACGAAAGTTCGCAGACGTTATCAAACCCCATGCACAAGCCGAGATCCAACGCATTTTTGAGGAAATGCAGGCAGCGGGAATCCGTTATCCTCGGCTGAAACGTGGTTCGAATCAGTCAGAAACACCAGCGCTGCACTTAGGGATCTGGGAGAAGTTTTGAATGAAGCCCAAGATAACCAATGAATTATGGAAGATGCAATGCACGTCAGTGAGAGCCCTGATTGCACAGCTTTGTACAATTGTGTCAACGGAAATTGCACCGACAATGGTCGGCATCCTAGGCTTTTATTACCCAGAGCTATGGGAACGACAGCAGAAGTAAGTCCTTGGACATGCCCAGTGAGATCCACCCACTTACTACTACCGCTACAGAATTCTCTACCGTGTGCGAAATGAACTTGGGGCAGAATTTGAGGAAATGCCATGGCTTGACTTCAAGGGTGCATTCTTTGCAATTGCAATCAAGGAAGGTGGCAGTGAAATTAACCATTTAGATTGGTCAGACGATCCGAAAGGGTTGATATGGGTTGCACTTGTTGGAACCTGGAGAGGAGGAGACCTGAAGACAATTGAGATGGGGTTACAAACTTCGATCGGACCTGGAGATGCAATAATCACCAACATGCGGGAAATCGTACATGCTGCAGCACCTGTGAGTCAAGGAACAAGGATCACTTTGACAGGGTTTACTTGCAGTTTCCTCGCAAAACACAGTGTTTGAAATCGGATTAGATAGATTTTGCATCTGAATGACTGGACGAAATTGGTACATATCAAAATGTTTAGCACTGTAGAGTCTGTAATGTGTACGTCAACTCCTCCAGACAGAGCGTCATGAAATTGTCAACGGTTGAGTGACCAGATAACGAATCCGACCACCTTCTCTCAGATCCTCTCTCAAGGCATCTACACCCCACAATGCCGAGCGGTTGAAGCCCCTCAAGTCCTCTAGCCAAATAGAAATCTCCTTCAGATAGCCATTGACTTCTCTGAGTCCTCCTTCGTCGCCATCGGAGTGCTTCTGTACCCTGGCCACGCTTGATTCCATTTGGTCAACGACAGCGGTGAGGTCTTCCTCGAGCTCTTCAAGGTCTTTATAGTCGTCCGTTCGCCTGAATTGTTTCCAAAGTTGTCTCCAAAATTCTCGACGGCTATCACCTCTGAATTCTTCAAAATCGTCATAAATTTTGCGTGCATTTTCTAACGCAGCGTCAAGCTCTGTAAAACTAAGCCTTGGATGGGAATTTAGTGCCTGAAGTTCTAAAGAGGTTATCGACGCACTTGGAAGAGCCGGTGAGTAGGGATGCAGTAGCTTCTGCTTCTTTAGTCGCGTTGTGATCAATTTCATTGAAATTCGGCCTTGGATACGATGTTAGTACGAGAAATGGTCAGGAGATTATGGGCGCACTTAGAGCAGGCCATAGGTGCTATTACAGTCGCTTCCGCTTCTTTCGATGATGAAACATCAAGTGCAGTACGCTTGGGGGAGCCCAGAAGCGTGGATGGGGTATTTTCAGATTCTTGAGTCACTGATTGGGCCACCTTCCGAGTTTCCCGTCTACAGGTAGAATAGATTCAATGTAAAAGATAGGATAAAGCAGATATAGACTTACTCCTGGATCTCCTCCGCCAGCTTTTTGTTGACTTTTTCTTTATATGTACTTCGGCGACTTTCACAAATAGTTTCCCGATTCTTGAGAGAAGGTCCTTAACAATAACTCTTATATAGAGCATCGACTTACTTGGCATAATATCTGGTATTTGTTGCCTGTCGTGCTAGCCACTGTTCCTGTGCTGTCTTGTGCTTTCGTGAATGTCGACGAGCAGGCATTGAGATAGAAGAAGCAGTGATCGAAGCGTGGAAAGGTTTTGATACGTACTTGAATGCGGGGTGAATTCATCAGACATATTCTCTACAGCCATAGTATTCCCCTTAGGCCTTCTTTGCCCTTTACGAACCCCCTCTTATCAAGTCCAAGACAAAAGGTTTGAATGGCATTTTGGTATTCAATCCTAAATACCCGAATGATTGAGTTGACTAACGGAATTAACCCCTAGCCCAATTGAAATAACATTCGACCACTCCATTTCAAATCTTCATCTTTCCACCAGCTCTTGACTATCATGCTAATTTTGCATGCAGCATTCACTTCCGATGGGCATCCCTCTTTCATACCACGCCCCGCGTTTGTGAGGTTGTATTACGACCAAGTGCCGGCTCTGCAAGATAATTAAGTCTGATACATCCTGCCTAAGCGCCATCTACGAAATCGTCAGATGCATTCTTTAAATACATCACCACGCAAATTTTGCAATGGAGCATACATTTTCACTAAGAACCATCCTTGAGCAACACACTCTGTTCCTCATAGAGACTATTTCGCCTGCGACAGAGTTCCGCAAGTGAATTGAGGTACATACATGATCTCTAAGCGCCCTCTGCCAAATCGTCAGACATACCTCTTTGAATCCAAAGCAAGGCAAAGGTCTAACAATACAACCAATGTGTACCCTATCTATATCCCTAATACCATGCTCAGGCTTTTTAGAGACTCAATTCACTGGAATTTCGCTTTTGCCAGCCAATTGAGGCGAGCACACTGCCTAAGCGCCCACTGCCAAATCGTCAGATATCTTAAAGCTTTGCAAGCGCTAAGTTTATTGGTGCTTTGACTCTACTTTATTGAGAGACAGCGAAAATATCACAAATATTCTAGTCATTCTGTGCTTCATCTGGTGTTTCTTAAATGATATGGGTACTGCGCTTCACGGTATGCATTTCTCAAATGATATGGAGGACCGAGGGCGCACATTTCATGTGAAATCAGCAGCAAGATGACTACCAACGACGACGGCGCTGCAAATTAGATTTGCAGTGGTGGTATTTCAGGCGCCCTCCGGTACTTTGTCTCTTCCCTTGGAAATATGTCTTTCTTGTACTCAAAGCTCTTACAGCCCCATCGAAGTGATCCCGCCTATGACAATCCAACATTCAGGTTTCCTCTATTCCGCTTGATCATTGAATCTCAAATGTCTCGATATCCTGCTCAAGTTTCATCAGCACAACTACTTCTTCCAACCTGGCAGCAAGCTCTCAGAGAAGATGCTCGAGAGCAGTTCTCAGAAATAGCAGTCATCGAATGGCTTGCGGTCTTCGTCATAGACTACCCAATTGGACGGGATCATTCTTTCCACAAACGAAGTACTCATCTCAAAGTATGTGAATTGCGAGTCAACCAACAGCCCATTAGCAAGAAAAATTGTTGTTGAGGTCTGGATAACCATTTCAGTCTCGAATCAGACTCACCTGGTCAATATACTAATAGATTTCCTGGAGAGCTGCATCTGCGAAATTGAGAGGATGCATAAAGACTTTGACTCAGAGCTTCCTCGTCCTTTCTTTCATGAACCGTTAGGCAAGGTATGTTCTAAATTCATTCAATATGACTTGATCTGAAACGCATCACTTAGATGAACGGATTTCGATAGCACAGAAAGCGAGGAACAAACAGATTTAGATAGTTCAGAGGATACAGATACTTCAGGCTATTGATGGTATCTCAAGCTGGGAAGCTATGAGCTCAGTACACTTCTAATCATATATCTGGATTTTTTTCTACACAAAGCTTGGAGCACAAACTGCTTGTTTTAATCGGAATGCATCATCACGGTCGTCTACATTGGTTGTATATCCTAAGCTTTGAGCACCATTTCAATTTGAATGATTTCATTGTGGTCATCTCCATCAGTTGTGAACATCCTGACTGTCAATGTATGGAGTACCTGTATTGTACACAATGAATGTGAATGTGCCATCCTCATTGTGCATGTACGTCTATTGTGAATCATCAATTTGTGTTAACTGTCTACTTATATCTCTTCTCTTATCTTCGTATCGCTGTCCCTCACTCCCTTCAATCCAAACTGTATCGACAATACCTCATGGAACGACCCATCAGGAAAGTATTCTACACTCCCAAGCACATAGTGATCTTGAAAGTCATTGTTACAGGAATGAATTTTCAGCATTTGAGGCAGGGGAACCTGAAGCATCATTCAATGCTGCGACAGTCATTAAAAATACTTGGAATGCCCTCGACAAAATAAAGGTATAATATCTTCTTACTATCTGTGTTTGTTGTGTTAATTTCATCTACAAAGGCGTTGTCACAATTCAAAGTCCCAGGCTCTCGCAAAGCCTCTCAAATCAAGGCCGTTGAACGAATCATCGATGGTACATTTGCTCGTTCTCTGGTTCGAATCACCGCTAACTATGACTGACTGCAATGCATCAGCTTTTACAATATATCTAATCGACGCTCAACTGATCTCCTTGTCTGCACTTACGAGGATAGACGACGCACCACAACCATCCTTAGAAGCTCATTTGATTGCATGTGATGCGACTATGCACTCCATTGAACTTGCTGCAAATTTAATTGATATTACCCGTCAGCTTGCTTCGGTATATAATATTTTTGCCGATTGTTCAGTCTAGTATCAATGGAATGATTTATCAGTATATTCAGCTATATAGTGCTTGTACTTACCGCATAGAGTGCTTGATTTTTCACGCCAACTTAACTTCCCAATAAGCTTCTTATGCAAACTAATAGCTGCGTTTCCTGTGCATCTCTCTAAGTGAGAATTTCTCCCAAGAATACGTGATCCTGAAGGGGGGAATATATGGCTATTTCCTATAAAGAGACATCTGCTGAACCGAGTCTCACTCTTTTCCCTCGGAAATTTTCACTGTCCGACATGCATTCGTTGCAACGGCAGGTAAGAGCCCTGCAAAGTGTATAAGTCATATCAGTTTCTGATTGTTCATCCCAGGTCAGCAACCAAGAGTCTTCAACAATGAGTACAGGCATCAATGCCCAAATGAAAACCCTCGACGCACCTGATAAATTGTTGGAAGCCCAGGTCAATCAGCAAGAGTCATTCAAGGATCCTGCACACATGAATACTCAGACACAGTTTCAGAGCGGGACGAGGGGGTTGGAGGAGAAAGTAATGGATATCAAACAGAATAATCTCACCCAAAGCAAACCGCGTCCGCATCCGCGACCACACCCTTATACAAAGGACAGAGAAAGCACTGCAAAAGATAGCAATGACGCGAAGGTAGGCGATGCAGTGCTCCTTACCTTGATTCTTTCACTAAATTTTATTGCAGTACTATAGATTCGACGGTAGTGGATTGAGTCCAGATCAGAAAGGATGGGTTCACCTTTACCTCACAACATGGTTCGATGTCAAAAATAATCCAGAAGACACTCGAATCTTCATTGAGCAGATATCCGGCGAGTTCTTGACGAAGTTTCCTGCGAATGACCTGGTCCAAGAAGGATCCGCCATCGATAACACACATTTTCGGGCCTATACTTTGACAAAAATCAAAAAGGTGGTGCTTCAGGTATTCTCAATGTGATGTTTACTGAATGTTTTCAAAGAGTATTATCATGCATCTGAGATCCCTTAAATTGTAGTGAGCGAAACAGTAGCTATGTAGTGTCATGATTGTTACCTCTGTATTCTCTGCGCAAAGTTGAGAACAAGCGCTGGATTTGAAGACGAGCGCTAATGCCATTACACTCTCTGACTCTCTGTTACACGCCGCATTCATGAGTACACTCGGAGATATTTATGAGACCACCAATATAGGCTCCCCAAACAGGTATTTTGTACATGTTGTGCAAGTGGAGCTATTAATCTAATGTAGCCATTCCTACAGCTCACCGCCTCGCTCTGTTTCCCCAACAGACACCAGATATGAATCGCGTGAATGGTCAGAACCTCCCCGCTCCACCACTCCTATCGACACCAAAGAGGAATCGCGCAAATGTTTGGTTCAGGCTATTGTCGAACCTTTTGGAATACTTCTGTGCAAAGGAGACCGAATCGAGCTCATGTCATTCTACCATGAGATTCAACAAGCGTGGTTTGCTATCTGGCCTGTTGATGTAGAAAACCCTTCTCAGCGAATGAAGCAAAAGAAAGAGGAGATGAACGTGAGTCACCAGATTGCTTTGTCGTCTCCTGAAAACTGATTTCTGATTGACCAGGTTATTGTACACGATGTGACCGCGCTTCACTTTGAACGCTTTTTCAAGAAGGCTCGGGCATTCAAGACTGGCAAAGCATTTCCTCATCCGAAGCTGTCTCTGAATGCGGATTGGCATGCTATGTTAATAACGGGAATTGCTAACAGTGGATATCAGGCGTGGAGTAGCTATCCGAATTAGATCTTGGTAATGGGCATGCTCGTATAACATGTACCTCAAATCATTTCATGAGCTTACGATGTCCCTGTCATACAGATTGTGCACAATATGTTCGTCTTACGGTTGTGGTGGCTTCGAGCACCAGTATTGTGTACATACGGTCTCATTGTGTACCCTTATCATAGATTGTGCACAATTGAGAATCTCAGTTTGCTTCATCCATTGATTCTCTGCTCGCTTCATCCTTTATTTCTCATCTCTGGAACCGCCAGTCATGTCGAGAAATTTCATTGAATCAGGGTGTTATACTGACTCAGGGTTCGCTGAGGACGCAGAAGAAGATGGAGCGGTACTGTTCATTCACTTCCTGAAAAACTGTCAGCTAATGTTTCCACCAGGATCTCGATATTGTTCTGCGAACCAAGCTGGCCTGGCATTTCGTACCCGTGTTTCGCCAGGTGATGTCGACACCTTTTCAAAAAGAATTCCTGGACTCTTTAGCGAATATATGGGCTTCACATTGGCCCGAAGATACGACGTATGGTCGCAAGGACAAAGACCATCGAACGTTGCTTTCAAAACGTGTTGTCTGGCCTCCGGGTGTAAGCTCAGGGGAGTTCGATATTGAAGATTCCGAGATACGACATGCTGTATCTCACGAAGAGGCACTCATTAGAAAACGCGATGCGGTAGGAACCTTCACACTTGAGTGCATCTATTCTGTACGTTCTCACCATAGCTTTGATGGTTGTTCGCTCATCATACTTACAATAGGAGAATATCCGCACATACAAACAAATGAGAAAGTTTCTCAGTCACAAAGAGAAACGAGATGCTTGGTTCGAGATGAGATGGGTACGTTGAGTACATTTGAGTAAATACCTCCTGACTTTGAAACAGTCCATCTTGAAATTCCTCAAGGCAGCCGTCGAGAATGTTGGCGAATACATTGCTGGTGTTGATCGACCCGCAGCGGACTGGAAGGAATCTCTCAGGGAAGCGGTTTTCCTGTGGGGTGCGCATAACCACCTTCCAGAACACTTCAAACAGGAGTATCCTCATTGGCCAAAGTACCGTTACTTAGTCGCAACTCCTCCCAATAACGAACATCTCCTTATCAAATGGGAGTATCCATCGCTTCCCTCACCTTTATGGTACACGTCCCCACTACCCTCATCCGATGAAGATCGTGCACCTACTCCTCCGTTTCCATGGATTGGTAGAAATCTGTAATGTCAGGAATTTCATTTGGTAGCACTATCTCACCTGTAGTCCTTAGTCATTGTTGGTAGGCAGTAACGCAGTCAAAAGTCACTACTACATAGGTGAAGCTTCTCACAATTCTGCAGACCTTTTTACGACAATATTGGTTGTGAATCGAAATTGAGCGTCATGATGTTCAGATTTTTCTCATAGATCAGTTGCAACGCTAGGCTCACGCGCTGACACGCCTAAATTTTGGCTAGACGTCTATGCTGTGAATTGTGACATTTTCACGTATAGATTTGTATCAAGAGGACTGTAATTGAGACCCAGATTGACAGTCAAAGTCAATACTGAATCAGTCTAATAAGTTGAAGGGACCATATACCCATACTACCACAAGTTGGTTAGTTTACCCATCCCCGATACTACCTACGGATAGCAGTCTACCTGTTTGTCAAGCAGGATTATACCAGACTCGGACTACATCCGAAGGATGACCATTCACGTATGACATACCAAGGGTATTCTTATTGGACCTTACACTGGCAGGAGTTTGGAAGAACTTACTCAAGTGACCATGAACCGAGGATTGACTCGAAATGACTTTCTAGAACTCAGGAATTATCAAATACTCCTTCTAGAACAAGATCATGCATTAATCTAAAGGACTGCGATTTAGTCTAATAGACCAATCAAGTTGCATGGTTGAGGAAAATGACTAGAAGAATGATCGAAGTACTGCGAGGCTCCGAAGACATATCAAATGAATGTCAAAGAGTCCTGACGTAGAAAATATTGAAGAATGCAATTAAATGAATACTATGTGTAACTCCCTTGATTGAGTATAGGCACAATGGGTGTCTATTGAAAGAGAGAAGCAATTAGTTTAATCCAGATGGATCAGATTGATAGGATTAGAATCGAGGAGAGCTGATTTGCCTCCGGACGAGATGACAAACGATCGAAGTAAGTGTTGAACCGCAATGACAGTTGAACACCATTCGAGTCATTCTCTAAAAACAATTAAATTAAATGAATATTGAAGTACCTACCTATGTTTGGAGGTATACTAGAATCTTGGAACCAATATGGACCAAATAAGGACATGTAGATTCAAATTAAATGGTATCTGACTGAGTGTAGAAGTTTCCTTGCGGTTCCGAACGTTTATTGTATTAAATTAATTGTACTATGCGACTCTATATTCTGTAGGTATAAATAGCGATCCGATGTATCTGGAATACAAGTGATTTTGGGACGACGTTGCAGTGCTAATCCGTAAAAAGGAAAGACACACTCCCGCCAGACTGAAACCTCTTCGCTAGCAGCCATTCGGGCCCGGCACTTGTGAGTATAGGAACGTCGTGTTCTGCTCCTTGTGACTGCGAGAAGTCTATCCAGTTGTTGGGTATTCTTCGAACTTAGGATCAGTCGTTGGTCTTAAGGGCAAATCACGCTGTGTGGTTGTGCCAGCACATAGTTCTAGCCCTCTGTAGGGGTCTGTGTGTTTCGGTTTTAATTTACTTTGATTCAAACCCCCAATTCTTGATATACCCAAATCAATACAAACCAAAGCACAAATTGTGCTGAATCTACCTTGATCAAAGGAATATATCGAATCCTTAGAACGATTCAAATTGATTGATCAAAGCTTCGTACTTAGCTCTCAAAGCTTTGCGGAACCTTTGCCAACGCTACCCCTTGCTATTAAATAAATTTGATAGCAGTGAACTCGCATATTGTGTATTAGATTGGTTGGTTGGAGTGCCCATTAGATTCCTTCCTTTCTCTTTCACACAAAAACGAGGCAAGCTCGTTATCTGGAGCCCACCGCGAGGGGTGGTTTTTGAAGCTACAATTAGCTTGATAAATTAAATTGAACGTTTGTTCGGATTATATTCGATTATTTGGTAGAAGTGTGTTGATCTTGTGATACCATTTCTGTGAACTGTCAACATTAGTTCATCAGGAAAACCGCGTACTTCGAAGAATTCGGAGAAAGCAGGAGTATTGACACCGGAAGAATATCGTAAAGCAGGAGTTGTATTTGGGAGATCTACGTTCGGCACATCAGCTCGAACATCCCTATTAAATCCTACGAACGAATCCAGTCGTCCATCCTCTTCTCAAATAACGACAGAAGAATCGCGTGGAAGTTCTGTTTCTAGAGGAACAGGATCATCTATATCTCGAGGAAGACTTACATCTTTGCCGAGGAATTTGAAGAAATCTAATCTCGATCCGAAAAGGAAGAGAAAAGAAATTAATCCGATTGATATTGAAGAAGATATAATTGAATTGATCGCTCCAGAGTCAATTTCAACATCTTCTACGTCGATTGAATCAACTAGATTGATAGATACGTTACATCAGACTATCTCTCAAACAAGTAATACGATTGAACCAGTCAAAATGACTACCAATAATTATGGAATGCCTGCGTTGTCAGCTGAAGCTAAGGCTGAGATTGATAAAGCCAGTGCGAAACTTCCAAGAAAGTATAAGACAGCACCATTATTCGATATAACTGATCCAAGTCAAATGATCCCATGGTTCGAAGCTACTGAAAGCATATTTGAACATGGAGGAATTACATCTGACGAGGCTAAAGTAAGATTAGCTTTAGAATGGACGTCTTATAAAACGAGACAAGCATTAAGAGTCTTTGATTCGGTGAAGAAACCGAATTGGGATCAATTTAAAAAGGATCTAAAGAATATGTTTCCGCAATCTGTAGGAGACGAAAGAGGATCTAGATTATTGCTTGAACAATTGGTCCATCAATTTAATCCAATTGATGCAGGTGAACAGGAGAAGATGAGAATCTTCAGACTCCTCTTCGATGCTGAAATGAAAAAGCTGATGGATGAACCGAAAATGATCACAAACAGTGATGCAGTAAGATTGTTCTTGGCACCTATGACTCCCGAAGTAAGGAGAGGCGTGCTAGAAACAGTTGTGAAAGATGTATCAGTTACTTCTATGTCAGATAGACGAAAGGAAGACCCTTTTAAGATTGACGAAGTAATGAATGCGGCCGAGAAGTATATGATTGGGAGTTCATTTGATAACTACTATCAAACACTTTCCATTGCTTCTTCGAGCCCACCAATTAATAACCCTAATTCATTTAGTAGGGGACACATTAATTTACCGTTTGCTGCAGATGTTCCCAAGACAGATAGGAACTATCTTCAGGCATTGAAACCCAAAGTAGAAGACGAATTTAAGGATCTTCTGGGAATTAAATTAGAAAGTTTGATTCCAAGGGAATTGACGGAAGAACAACAGCAGATGGTTGCGTTGAATAAAGACCTCATGGAGGCAAACATGAAAGAAATTAGAACTGTGAAGTCATTACAGTCGCACTTCAAAGAAGGAGCAGACATTATGACACAGTTAACAGCAGTAATGGCACAGATGGCCAAAGAAAATGCTAAAGGAATGATTAATTCGATACCACCGAGTGGTCCCTCGAATCAATCTAATAGATTTGAAAGAAATACGACACCGAGAAGTTCGAATGGAACTCAGTGGGCATGTTTCTTGTGCAAGTCGACAGATCATTTTATGAATGAATGTCCACACTTGCTGGAATTTACGAAAAGAGGTTGGATGATGCCTGAAGGAGGTGACTCGAAGCGTTACAAACTAAGAGACAACGCTAGAATGCCTCGAGACGATCCAAATGTACCTCGTTACAAGAAAATTGAACAAATGGCGAAAGACTTGGGATGGGATCGTGCTGAATCCTATTTTGCAAACATGGAAGATGACGAAGATGATAAAGTCATGGACCAGCAGATGAATCCTAACGTCAATCTAGCTGTTTGGATGACAAGAATAGAAGAACTATCAGATAGACTTGGGAATTTAGAAGCACACCGAGAAGATGATGTCCGTGTGTTCAACCAAGATAGTTCAAATGGAAAAAAATAAGTACTCCAATGAAGGAGCAGGATCGGTCCATGAGAACTTTAAGATCCAATGCTGTAGCTCCGGAGGAAAGTGAGAAAGCAAAACGAAATCAATTTAATGAAAATACGAAAAGATTAGTATTTGATGGGGTGTATATACCCAAGAAACCAGGTTTAATACCAGGGAAATTGGTTGAAACGACCAATGGAAATCAGAAAACAGTGAGATTTGAGGCTCCAAAGTCCATAGATCGGCCTTTGAAGAAGCCTTCAGTCACGATCGAAGATGTTAATGAATCTGATGACGAGGATGCTATTAAATTAATTCCTTCGTCAAGACCAACGAATCAAATTAATAACGAACATAGACCATATGATCATGTTCAACCTAGGACGTATCGTCCTATTCAAATTAATACACCTACGAAGGTACCGAGAGACCAGACGAATCAAATTGATAGTCATGGATATACTCCAGCCTATAAAATTAGGAATGAAGTCTCGAGACCAGGTGTAGAAGAAGATATAGCAAAGAAGATATTCGATGCTAAAGTTGATTTGAGTACCGAAGAATTAGCAGCTTTATCACCTGCTATCAGAAAGATTATTATGCGCAAGATACGCAATAGGAGAGTCCGTCCAAGGACTAAAACGAATAACTACGTATCAACTTTATCCGAAGATGGAGAAACTGAAATTTTGGATGATCCATCTAGGGTACAGATGATTGATACATGCATTAGAATTGAGGATCTTTGGCAGGATCAGACGGATATGTTTGAAGTCCTGACTGAAAGTCGTAATGACATTCCTGTGGGATCTATAGTGCAGAAAGACATTGTGGAAAGTTTTCTACGAGACCTTTCCATTGATGATGAACGAAGGAACATTGCCATAGTTGCTAATCAAAGCGTGGCATATGAAGACCATAGTGATCATCCAGTGGTAGTAGCGAATCAATCAAATGGATTACGTGCTGT